AGTGGTATGAATGGCTAACGTTAATAATGCTTAGGAAGCTGTTGGTGCCTGAAACCTTATACTTTGGAGGATTTGTAAGTCCAGTTCTGAGGCAGGTAGGGCGTTGTGAGGCAAAATAGTACCCAAAGAAGACTTAGGTTGCGTTTAAAACCACCTACTACCATATTAAACAGTAAGTCACAACTAATGCACCATCATAAGAAGTCCATTCATTAGTTTACTGTGCGGTTTTAAGCGTGGCTTTAATTTTTTTTCAGATTTACCGGGACTCACTACCACCCAGCAAACACACAACGTTGTCTACTGTCTTACAATGTTGTCAAAAGCTGCTGTTTACGTTGTTTGGACAAGGTTGTCACAACCTCATTGTTCACTTACTTTGCCGTGTGGTGTTATTGCCATTACGTTATCACAATGTTGTCAGATAACATTGTCACAACTTTCTGAGGAATAACATTTTAACGTGACGATGTTGTGGGCACCAAAACAGTTTGTCACGACATGTTTGCTGGGCAACATCACATAAAACTCAGACGCGTGAATCTCCGGAGTTGGCGATGTTTACAATACAAATATAGGCAATAAGTTTCTCTACAGTGAACCGTCTCACATTAAGCCACTCTGAATTACTTTTGTACATGTTAATGATTCAACTGTGCAAAAATGTAGAAGAAAAATCCAAAATAAACAGTTCTATGGGAGTCCAGAGAGGCCATGAGGTAGCTATAATTTTCTGGACTGTTGTCTTGATATCACAACTTACTTGTCTTGTGATCTCAAAAGTTTTCTCGATATCACTTATTTTTCTCGTGAATGTAAAAGTTATCTCGAGAACTTGTCTTGAAGCTGTCTTGAGATCTCAAGACAAATAAGTTGTCATCTTGAGAAAACGATATTATCTTGAGCTCACAAGACAATAAGTCATAATCTCAAGATAACAGTCCAGAAAATTATAATGACCTCATGGCCTCTCTGGACTGCTGTATAATGAACTTCCAGTTCCACAGTGATACAAGAGTACAGTGTTGAAAATGCATTAGCTGCTTGGGCCACCTCTGAAAATGGAGTCATCATACCGTCTCTGTGTGTGAGAGTGTTTGTGAGAGCTACATTCCTCACCGGTTGCTCCTCAGACTCCTCCACTCTTGCTTCAGTTAGTGCAGACTAGCTTAGGGAGCGTGGCCAAAGCACAGCATAAATTCAGCGAGCCATCAGCATGTGCTGGTCCTAATGAGCTGGAGATAGAGCGGCTATTTTAATCCTCTACCAGCCACCAGAGGAAGCAGTAAAACGGGTATTCGCTTGGCTCCAAAGCTCATTCTGAATCACAAAGCCTTTAGAGAAGTCTAACAGCGTTAATACTATTGAAGTCACTGTATGGCAGGCCGACACAGTGACAGAAAATGTAGCCTTACTTGGAAATGAATTAAAGTTAATGGCACTGGGTGTTTTTAGAAGCTTGAGTGGTGATTGGATATTGTAATAGTCACATGTGTAGTGGGGACGGGTAGATCAATGATGAGATATTTAACTTCTGATCTTGACATTTACTTCAGAGAATTTACATAAATATTTGGTTTCTCACCAGGCATTTTAATGTAACTGTTTAAAGTGAGTGTATCATGGAGAACCGACTTTTTTTTTAACAAAAGCTTAGTATGTTCTATACAAACAATGTTAAAGTCTCAAAACATACCACTCACTTCCCATAGTTCATACAGTCCAGGGCAACCGGCAACCAGAATGTTAAGAAGAGCCATTTCGTCCTTTCAACAAAAACCAAATAACCTTGGGAGCCACAGCATTTTATGTTCATTTTACCATCTTGAGTGTAAATATGTCTCAGGATGTGCTAAAGTGCTAGTATAGGCTAAAAATATAGACAAAAATGCAAGTTTACTTTGCTCTGCTTTAAGCTTTAGCTCAACTATAGCCGCTTTTCTCACATCTCTAGCAGGAAACTTTTCCTCAAAAGTGGAAGTTTCTTGTAAAATGTCTCTCAAAGTTCGACTTTTTACCAGTCTGAAGTCGCTTCTCATTTGCCAGCTTGTTCGAATTTTTCCGTTCCACCTTAAACGGTGCCTGAGGTGCCAGAATGTAACTGCTGCACCATTTAAGGTGGAAAGGGAAAATGCGAACAAGCAGCGGGCGAGAGAGAAAATGACTCCAACTTTAAAACTTTTTGGTGTTGATAGTTTCTCGTTGCAGATTAAACGTATCAGGAAAGCAGCTGGAGTGATTATACATGCAAATAAGTCCATTCGTCTCCAAATTATTGATGTTCATCTCAAATCTCTCTCTTTGCCGTTTTGTTAGCTACTAGCTAGGCAAGATTTTTGTCTGTGTTGCTATGGTGACCAGCAGTTGCACACCGATCTTCAGGATTAAAGGATGAATTAGCAGTTCTACATTAACTCCAGCGTTTAAGACCATTTAGTGTTAAAACTGTGTTGAATGATCAGCAGAGCTTTATTTTACTGCAAAGGAGGATGAATTTATTTTTACCTAAAATCAAATTCTGCTGTGGAGCCACAACAGGGCTGCAAAACTATGCTGCAGAATCTGCCTGCTATGAAGTTGTTGTTTTGTGATGTCACCAACAACACATTTACATAGATCCTCATATTAAGTCTGACTGACAGGCCATTCGGCTTAATGTTAGGGTTGTTTTTTATCATTATGTCCTACCAGCACTTTCTTGAAACACCAGATATTTTCTGAGAAACACCATCTCGCAGTAATAGCAATGGGGAACCCTCGATGCCCTCTAGGCCTTCAGAGAGGCCTGCTCATTTCTGTGAAATAAAAAAAATACATCTGTCAGTTTTTGGTTCAGTTTTGTTTAATAGAAACATGTTTGTTGTGTTTAAACTCTTGAAGTTTTGTAGTAAATCTCTTATTACATCATTACATTACATGGTTGGAAACGAAAGGGCTAAATTCTTGAAAAGCTCAATCTTGTCCAATCAGATTTTTTTCTCTGTGGTATCTATGTAGAGACAGTCAAGCGAGCTCTCCCATTGTTTAGGACTTCAGGAGCCGAACTGAAGGCAAACCACTAACATTTTCACCTGAAAACCGAGTTTTCACATTTATGGCCCAAACTGAAGGCTATGCTCTAAAAGTCTCTGTTTGCTGCTAAATAATAGGTCACAGAAGTGAGCATAATTTAATTAAACAGTTTTAATTATGACTAATGCAAAAAGTGTCTGCATTAACGTGTTTCCCACTATAGGAATCACAAAGTTTCCCCTAGTGAAAGTGTACAAAAGACTTTTAAACCTATTAAGATTGGTATCAGGATACTAGCCGTATGCTATCAGATTGAATAGAAAATCAGTGTTATCGCCCATCGCTAGTATGTAGCGCTAAGATGGCAGTAATGTCTGTGTAGTTGCTTCTTGGAATCTAGTCTGTAAATGCAGTAAACGCTTAATGAACCTAAGCAGTTTAACAGAACATACAGTGTTCATACTTATAAGCTGATCAGTAAACACCACAAAAATGACCATCTGTACCTCCTCAGTCACACATAATCAGGCTACAAACTAATTACTTTTCCCTACATTTGATTTACAGAAGAATCACAGTGTTCTTGGACGAGCATCACAAATATAGCCCTAATTGGTGAGAACATGAAGTGAAGGTGCTGATGAATCTCGCAGCTTGGAACCAACATTTGCCCTCGTTCTCTTGGTCTGTAACCCCTGCCTTAGTGGAATGATTCTTTTCGGTCCACTTCGGCTATTAATATGAGCGAGAAGGCTTTTATCGGGCAGCTGAGCAGATTTATAGAGTTATCCTTGACCACTGTACCATTCCTAATGGACCGGAGCCCATGTTGTGCAAGAGAAAAAGACCTGAGGCTTTGGATGAGAATATCCGAGGATGCTTATCTCCAGTAATGTCACAAGCGAGCGTGCAGATAGTGCAGGGATTATGGATTTAGCTGAATGCAGAGTTTGTTTTGTGTTTGGTATTTGTTTAAAAAAAAAAAAAGGCCGGAATTGTCTTGGCACCAAACACGTTTGTGAAGGAGTAGCCTGAAAGTGCTTATATCTTGAAAAATGGTCATGTAAAAATGAATTACAACTATTTTTATATGTAAATCCAGACATTCGTCAGGGGAAAAAAACTAAAACACAAAAATGTATTTGAAACTGTAATGGAACTAAATCTGTGCCTGATACTCTAAAAAGTGAAAAAAATGTAGCAAATAAATGTGTAGAATAGAAACACACAAACACAGTTATGTTCCAGTTATAGCCTATGGTGATAGACCATTAGGCCTAATATCAAGCTAATTATTAAACATCTATACTTTTTTGAGGAGCACAATACGTTGATAAATAAGCTCATACAGGCTTAGATTTGACAGTTTACTTAAGATTAATGTAAAAACCTGAAAATATATTGCTGTATTATTAGCATTATCAGCTAAATGGAGTTGTCTTTGATTTTTGATAAAAGTGCTGGATTGCACTGGCACCACGCCCCTTATCCCTTTACTGCATGAAGTATGAAATAGATACGGGGGGAAAAAGAAAAAAAAAAAATTGGGGGTATGGTTTGCTTGTTGTTGCCTTTTGGCAACAATGCCACATGGCATTGTTTTCTGTATTTTTATGTTCTAAAAGTACAGAAAATTATGAAAATCATTATTAAATTATGAAGAATGTGAATAAATGTCCAAAGGAAATTGCAGGGTCCAATAGGAGTGTATTCTCTCTGTATTGTAGATTGCGGCTTCATTATCGCATGCTGTTGCCATGTGGCAACAAATATAATTTATCTATTTATATCAAATTGATAGCATCTAAACTGGTTTCATTTATGAAAGAGAAATAGTAACTTCGCCTAAATCATGTTTTTGTTTTCTTTAAGTTACTTTCTAAATTTTGAATTATAAACACACTTTAAGAGGGCTTTAGAGGCCAGGATTTGATATGTGATGTGTTCAAAGAGAGGAGTGCACACCAGATTAGAAAAAAATGCTATACTGTTTTACAAATAAAGCCTTTATTTTCTCAAAGGAAAAGAAAAAAGTAAACTTTGATATTGTAGTTGGTGTTATAGTGAAAAGAAATAAAAGAGAATTCTTGTTGCCATATGGCAACGCTATGCAGCAAAGGGCTACATAGACTATGCATCTGGGTACCCTGAAACATGCTTGTATCTTAAGTAATAAAATCCCAACATTTTTGAATTATTACTGAGGATTTGCTTCACTAATACACTTAGGCTAAGTGAAGTGAGTTGTTGTGGAATTAATGTGAGATCCTGCTGTGGTGGACATGATTAAGCGGACATGGAGGGTCCTCCTCTCGTGTGTGGTTGCCAAGTGTTCCCCATAACAATCCTCCCCTTCTACTAATCAAGACCTTGATTCACTCCCATTTAGTACAAGACATTCAAATTAAACCCAAACTTCCCAGAGTGAAGATGAGTCTTCCGCTGCTGAAATGAGATCTAATCGGAAAGAATTTGCACAACATTATGTTGGTCAGATTCATCCTGTTTACTTAGGCCTTACACACAAAGATAGGAAAAGAGTGCATGGTAGAGTGCAGGACTGTGCAAAAGTCAGAAAACCTTTTTCTTTATTTCATTTCCAGTTTAATGTAAATTAAGAATAAATTATTTGTTTTTCAGTGTAAAAAAGCAGGAAAGATATTTAAAAGTAAATTAAACAACACTACGTAAAATATTAAACCTACCAGTGTCTAATTTATCTATTGGACTCCAAACAAATATGCAAGATCTGGTGGACCGTAAAAACTGTCACCATCAGATAAACAGCACTTAAAGCTTTGATCTTTGAGAAAGAGGGGAAAATCGAGCTGCTTCAGATCTGAAAAATCCACAGGTGTTTCTGTCGATCCTTCCACTGTGAGAAAACAGCTCAACACTATGAGTCTGAAAGGATATGTAGCTGTCAAGAAGACCTCACTGAGAAAAGGAGAACATTTTGCACTAGAACATGAAAAATGGACGTCGGATCACCAAATCTGAGATCTAGAGTGATATTTTATGGACTGATGAGTCTAAATCTGTAATTGGGATTACTTGCATTGTAAGAAGCAGAAACAACATTGCTGAACAAATATTGAAAAGTAGAAAAATGAAAGCAAGTCTACTGAAACGAATGGAAGCTGTACTAAAAGGCAAAGAGTGGACACTAAATACTGAAAACAATTTATGTTATATTTTGTTGTTGATGCTTCTGTGTAATTTTCTGTTATATGTCTTCTGCTTTTCTTTCCAGATACGTTTTGATGGCTAACTAAGTCAAAGAAAGAGTGGTCTCTGACTTTTGCACAGTGCTGTATATACAAAAATATATTTTAAATATTTTTTCATATTTCATACATATGCATCACCTTCACCTCTCGTAGAGACAAATGTCATGCATTTAAGTTTAAGCCTTTAGATCAAAAAGATCTTTAAGATTATGAAAAACACATTCAGTCAGCTGTGGCCAAAGTACTGTAGCTGTAGTCACACAAAATAGATAATGTTATTAACATGTTAATCCGTCTGTCAGTCAACCTTTTCAGAGGCTTTTCCTCATTCTAACATACAGTTACGGTCAGCCTGATTTGATCTGAGCCGTCTGCGAGCTTCAGTCTGCTTTGACCTCAGCTGCACTCCCGGGTGGGCATGTCTCATCTTGATTGGTGGACGCTCCTGTCAGTCGCTCTCCAATGCTCCCACAGTAGAGCAGAGAGCGCATAGGCCACTTCTGAAAAGGAAAATACATCTCAACACAAAATTTATTCTTAAAAGCAATAAACACACACACTTACACTACTACACTAATTTACAGCCAAGACATGCTTGGAGTCCAAAGTTTCTAAATGACATACTGTAAAAGTTGAAAACAATTCTGCATAATTCAATGGTTAAGATGTACACTGTTGTGCAAAAATGGGCCAAAATGGCAAAATATTAAACTTTTAATGGTCTTAACAACAATTAATCAAACAAATAGATAAAGTAACTTAATATGTGGGCTTTTTCCTTTGATTTCTTAATATGTTTAATATTTGTGTGTAAATTTACAGAAAGAAGAGTCTGTATTTTTCCCTCAGCATTAGCGGCTTCAGACAGCTGAAAAACATTGCCGAGCTAATTTGTGTTTAATATGAGACCAAATATTCTTTATAGGATTTAAGTCTAGACTCTGATCAGTGGAAACCATGAATAAAAACCATTATATTTTGGGCTTGGCCCATATTTTTGCCCAGGAGTGTAAACAAAGCCATTCACGGTGACTTGAAGTAAATTGCTCCATTCTAGAGAGACTGAGAATTGTTCACAGTGGTGGTGATAGGAACCAGATGTCTTAAGAGTTTAATACCTCTATAATTTACAACTGCGCTGCCTGATGCCTGAGACACTGTTTTATAATAATGTACAAAATACTTTTAGCCTAAAATGAATTTTTGAAATACACACAATGCAGAGTGGTACACACAAAACATTGTAAGGTGAAGCAAAATAGTCCACAAGAATGTTTTTGTCCAGATTTATCGCTATTTATGCATAATAAACAGTACACACAATAACTCAGACACATATAAGTTCACTGATTATTTTAGACAGTAATAATAATAATAATAACAATAATAATAATTTAGAAAAAAGGTAGAAGAAATTGTTTATTTTTAAAAAGTTAGGTAGCAAAAAACGTACTCAATTGATATCCAGACCCACATGCCGTGCTCCTGCATCTAGGTAAGACAGTTACCTTCTCCATTTAAAGTGAAACTTCTCTGAATTTTTCTAAAACCTAAACAATAGATTTCTAGTGCAGCCAGGCTGTCCATGAAGTATGCTGAAATTTTGAAAAATGGGTGGAATTCTCCTTTAAATATTTGGTGTCCAAAGTTTATAGATCAAATACTATAAAAGTGGGCAAATGTACGTCCCACTGGTCTTTGTAAGCTATATTTCATATAGAGGCTCATTTATTTCTATATTATTCTGCGCAATAGAGCGACAGGCTGGGTTAACAGTGAGTATCTGACCTTCACAGGGTGCAGGTAGCCTTCCGCTCTCTGCAGCACTGGATGATCAGACAGTCTCCCCCCCTGGTCCAGAGTCTCGGTCAGGTGGGCGATGTAATTGGTGGCCAGGACTAGCACGTCCAGTTTGGAGAGCTTTGTGTCTGGAGGAACGGACGGCAGAGCAGCTTGGAGGCTCTGAAAGGCCTGGCGAAGGTTCCGGACCCGACTCCTCTCCCTGGCTGCGTTTTCGGGGGAATTCTGCGCCTTTGGTGACCTGGTTTGTAGTCCAGGTCCAGATTTAGCCTGTGGAATCAGCAGAAAGGAGAACGATGTTATGTGTGTTTCAGAAAGGGTGCAGATTTTATCCAGTAATATAATAATATCATAAATGTCAAGTTACCATTTGCTTTAATCCAACTGCATAACGTTGACATAACATGTCACGACAGGGTTCAAGTAAAGTGTTACATATTTACGTATCCAAAGGTTCTATGACTGTGTTTTGAACAGTCATATGCAAAAGTGTGGGCACCCCTGGTCAGACTAGATGTTTTTGTTGATTTTATAAGTGAAAATAACATAAAAACACCATGTGAAGGGTTTAAAGAACCGCCACATAATACAACTACAGGTCTTTCCTAGAACTGTATTTCCAAGTAAAAAACCATACAGTTTTATGCAAAAGTTTGGGCGCCCCGGTCAAATGACATGTTTTTTTTATTTACTAAGTGAAAATAACTTACTACATCCCCTACAATGAACTCACTTCTGCATATGTGACACAATTACTGTTAATTGCTGAATTTAAACATACTGGAAAAATATAAAACATAAATGAGGCCTGTGCAAAAGTTATGGCACATTTTGTATTTCATGATTAATTTTTTCCCAAAATACGTTAAACTTGGCAAATAAATAGAAACTGGGCGCTAAACAGAAAAATACCATGTTTAAGTTTGTTCCCTACAGAGGATGTGTTAACTTATTTTCACTTAGAAAATCAACAATACATGTTGTTAGACTAGGGTGTTCAAATTCTGCATACGGCTGTATATACTTTTAAAAATAGAGATGCCAAAAAGACTTCTTTATGCGATGCCAAAGAAAAAATGCTTTAGGTTCCCTAAAGAACTGTTTTTGTAAATAAGTGTGTGAATGTGAGGAATAATTCAAAGCTTTAAACAACCTTCACATAGTGTAAGGGTTTTATACCAATTTAAGGCTTTATAAGTTTTTCAACCCTTAAAAAGGTGGTTCTTCATCCTCACACATCTCTTAAAAATGGTTCTTCAAAGAACTATCAGTTGAAAGGTTCTTTAGGGGACCAAAAGTGACTCTCCCATGGCAGCGCTCAAAGCACCATTTCTAGCTCCATTTTATTTTTTTAAGAGTGTAGTGTACACCCATTGCCTTTACTAAGCAACTCTTGAAGAACTAGTTCAGGGTGTAGTTCCTTTAAAAGTTAGTGTGGCCTTTAGGACTTTAGGACTTAAATCAGCTCTGGACATATGTGAACAAATGACCGTTTGTGCAGTTGTACCACACCAGTAAATTAAACAAAAACAAACAAACAAACAAACAAACAAAAAACCTGCACTCTTAAAAATAAGTGTGCTATTGGAGCGATGCCACTGAACAGCTTAAGATTCTCTCAAGAACCTTTCAGTAGATAAACAAGATGTGTGCGTGAGAACCTTTTAAAGGTTAAAGAGCCTCCCTATAATGTAAAGTCCCTCACCAACTACAGGTTTCTCCTAGAAGTGTATGTTCAAGCCAAGAACCATATACAGTTGTAGGTTTTGGCATTCCTGGTCAAATGATACGTTTTGTTGATTTTCTAAATGAAAATGAATTGAAACATCCTCTGCAGAGAACACAGTCCTGCACATTTGTTCGTTTGCTGAATTGAACATTTTAGAAGAAACATAAGAAAAGTTATAACAGAAAAATGTTGTGTGTTTATTTATTTGGACTTTAACAAATCAACAAAATATCATTTTTTGACCAGGAGTGCACACGACTGTAGAAGCGGTCTCTATCGTTCTTTTTGGGTACCTGTTTGCTGGAGCCTGTTGATTACTCACCCACTTCTTCGCCTCTCGCCGCGCCGCCTGTCTCATGCATGGCTGCGTCCAGCGTAGAGTCTGAGGCAGACTTCTCCCTCCCATCTCTCCCTGCTCTTCGGACAGAGCCTCCTCCAGAACGCTGTCCGCCATTCAGGAACTACCAGCAGCGAGTAGCCTCTCCGTGGCAGTGCCCGGGGGTATCACGGATGAACTGCGCAGATGGGGGGCTTCTCTCTTCTTCTCTATGGAGCTCCAGCTCCCTCCCTTTTGCCTTATCTAGTGAGGTAATGTGGGGATCTTCAAGCGGGTCCGTTATCTTCCCGCCCTGCCTCCCCCGGTTGCTCGCTGCCAAAGGGAGCAAATGCTCAGGGGAGTTGCAGGGTGTCCCCGGGCAGGATAGTGGGATGGAGGGGGGCTTGGGAAAAGTAAAAGAGCCCCTCCGCAGCTGCAGGCCCATCCCAGACGCAGCCTTGGCCCCGCTGGCCCGTGCGGACAAAGTGACCTAAACAATATGAGCTGACAGTGCTGACTGTGTCATGCAGCTCAGCTTCATGAAACATCTTAAAGTACTTTGTGTTGTGCATCCTAATGCAACCGTGGATTTGATTCCAAAGCAACCATTCGAGATGCTTGCTGGCCTTTGGCTCCCTACCTACAGTGGCCATTGATGGAGGCATCCAGTGGCTAGATTAATAAATGCTGTCTGACTTATGACTGGAGATCTTCCTGCCTTCTCTATTCAGAGGTATAGAGGCCACAGATTCAAGGCGAGAGTGGTGGTCAGTTAAGCATGCAACGAGCGCACAGTCTGGCCATCTATAAGTGAGGACGAAAGGTTTCACTTGAGTAGCTATAATATTTGACCAACTGAAAGAGATGGATCGTAGCTGGTTGCAGAAATCACTTGCAAAACTCCTGCTAATGGATGTTGGTTGGAGATTTTAAAAGAAAGCAGGAAAATGGAACAAAGTTCTTCTGTTCTTGCACAACAGGAACAAGCTTAGACTGCATGGAGAGAGCAGAGATCATGTTGGCCAAAATGTCTTCTCTGTCCTTTTGCTAACAAAAAGGGTATCAGTAATGCTCCTGAGTATATGACTTTGTGGACAATGTTGAAGAAGAATTCCATTTTTCTGCATAATTCAGTCGTTGAGACTTCAGACTTCTTTACAGTGGTGGTGACAGGAACCAGGCGTCACAATGTCTGCAATGCAAATATAGCCATTTTATTTATTACTAAACCAACCAGTGAACCTAAACGTATCTTCAGAGTTTTTATATGTAATGTTGATAGTGGTAAAATAGTGGTAAATACAAAAAATATGTTTTCTTTAGGGGCTATTTTGCCTTACAACTCCCTGCATGTTCCTCTCTGGCATTAAAAAATACATTACAGACCAAAATCTTACCTCAAAACTATCGTAAAACGATGTTTCAGGAATCAGGGAGCATTTTCATAAATGTTTCATGTAATAACCAGTCTTTGAGAGAGCTTTAGAGGCATTAAACACTTCAGACGTCTGGTTCCTATCACCACCACTGTGAACGATTCTCACTCTGTATTTTTTTCTAGAATTCAGCAATTCACATTAATCCACCCTGAATTACTTTGTTTACTGTTAATACATCATCAGTGGTCACTGAGCATTTCAGATCTTTCAACAGACACCCTCTCTCGTGACCTAGCCAGGGTTGATCAGAGTAGAACTTGCATGGTTCTCCCCTCATGATCCACAGCCATCTAGAGGCCTTTTCCAGTGCCTCTGTGACGGCCTTCCTCGTTGTGCCTCTAATACTCAGCCTGATGCCTGTGCAAACCTTAAACTACCTCCTTCAGTGCACTGAGCCCTTCATCCCTGTCTGCGGCCTTCAAGAACCACATATGAATATTTACCTCCGCTCTCCTCCATTCAGTCCTGTCATGGGATAGTCGGCTCCGAGATGACCACCTGTCCTGATGTTTCCCATACCAGGGTAGTATCTGGCCTGAGGGTGGTTATTGCAGTCTGTTTATAAACCTGAGCTGTCCACTTTCAGTTGCCAATCCTTTGCTGACCCCAGCGCCCTCAGTGTTGCCTTTAATTGATAGTGGGGTCTTCCCCATGATGGTTTGTTTTGCTGGATGGAGATGTTTGCTGTGGCTGATACCTTAGCAGATAGTTTCAGCTACCACCTTCAGCACCTGGTGGTGTAATGATTGGTTGGACTCTGCAAAATCCGCCTAGCAACCAAGTTGCATTTTGATTGGTCACATTTGGGCCAATACTTTTAAAGAAATAAGAAAAGTGAATTAATATAAACATTATGTGCAGTGAATGAGGCTACCAAGGAAAAAAGCCTAAAGTGATGCAGTGCTGTGAAGCTGCGCAGCTGAAAGGAGTCTGCTAAGGTCACTTAGCTGACGGTGTAAACTTAGATTAACGGCTCAATACTAAACATACTGTGTTTCATGGTGATAATCCATTGTTTAATATTCATTTAAGTGTTAAATATGATGTTTAAACGTGCTACAATGCATTTCAGCTGGCCGTGAATGTTTTCCACACCCCACTCATATTCGCATCCCTGGGTTTCCCCACCCGCCATGTTCGTGTGGCGCTGGGGGAGGGGCGGGGGGGCTTAGATGGTCTTGCCAACCGATTTGATGGAAAAAAGGATATATGACAATGTATCAGATGTATCGTTGGCAAATGTCAAGAAAGTGTTTTTTATTACACAAACAGGAAAAGTTGAAAGTGTACGGAATACCGTGCTCTTCTTCTTATCATCATTATTATTATTATTATTATTATTATTATTATTATTATTATTATATACTGAATTTTTCCAGAAAACTGGAACCAAAGCTTGGAAACTTTTTTGCCTACCAAGCTGGACTCGCAGGCATTACCAGTGGCAAACAGCCTTATCGAGTTGGGACTTTCTGCGATCGACTGGTACTGCCTGTGTGTTAGAGCACATGGTGTCTGAACTGCAGTGCCGACTCCACATCGCTGACTGCGCAGGAATATTTAGATATTTAATGACTTTCTGTCTCTGAGCTACACATTTTGAAGAGCAGAATGTCGCAGCTTCAGGCGAGGTTCTTCACCGAAAACAAAAAGTAAGCAATTCTTGGTTGTAGTGGTTTGTAATCTTACAGTTACCAGCACCGTTGGCTGTTTTGGGTCACGAAGATGAGATGTCCAGCTAGCTAACCTAACCTAGCTAGCTAGCTTAACTTTTCCCCAACTAACTAGGGTCATTCAGTCGCTGTATGTAAAATAAATAAAAACGAATCCGTTTATTTAGCCCGTCTTGTCCTGTGTGAGTGTAGCTGTGGCCTTTCACGCTGGATAAGCAGCCGTGGTCGGTCGGTGCTGTCGTTATTAAACGTTCTGTGAACCTTAGCTTGAGTAGACATTTGTTCAGATGTTCTGGCAGTGATTTTGTCTCTTTTTGTGCAGATACGCTATAGATGACGTTCCTTTCTCCATCCCTGCTGCCTCTGAAGTGACAGACTTGAGCAATGTCATCAACAAGCTTCTGGAAGCCAAGATCGGTGAGCTGATCATCAGAGTCTAAGTTAGCTTGACACTTTCACCTCATTTCTGCATCACTCCAGTGATAGTATATTACTTTCAGTGCTTTATATTCATAGTACGGTCTTCATCAAAGCCTACAGTAGTACATGATGTCATTATATAAGCTGCTCCTATACAGAGTTGAGCAAAATACTTTGGAAGAGTAGTGATGGCTGAATACTGAATAGACTCTCCTTAATGTATCCAGTAATATAAAATATTATGTATTCAGAATAAATTTACAGGACATCTTGATAAGGCAGATAAGGCTTTTTTTTAAACTTAATTCAAAGACCTCTGCTGTTACTGGATGGCACTTTTCTTCAATTAAATCTTCTGTTAATACATTTAATTAAAATTTTGCTCATCACTGAAATGCAGTTCCAAAAATTTTCATCTTTTTTTTTCCTCTCTCAACACCTGCTTCAGTTCACCGCTGCTCCCACAATCCCCCGAGCAGGAGCACAACACAATTGCTAAAATTATTACTCGCGAACGTGTCCACTCCTGTTAGTTGGCTCACCACATTGGTTTATCAGTCTACTCAGGCTTTAGCAGGAACCTCAGTGTTTATAAAGAGGCTGTTACTCAAGGTCCTCTTTAAAATTTATCTAAAAAGCATGTTTGCTGCATGCTGTCTGCTGATTCTAATGTATACACATCTTTTGAAAATCAAAATGTAAAAGGTAACTTTCCTGAATGCTGCCTGTACAAAATGTAACTTGTACTGAATACACATACTTCATTTCTGTATTTTGAATATGAATTCCCCGTACTTGTTTTCTATTGCATCCCAACCCTGCTCCTATGTCTTCATAAGTGGACTTAACAAGACATAGGAGGAGGCTTGTTGTAAATGGACCTACAGCAGGTGGACTGTTGTAAGGTTTAGTGTTAATATTTTAATGTTTGGCTTTGCAGCGGATCACAAACATGTGGAGTTTGACTTTCTGGTCCGAGGACAGTTCCTGCGCTCCTCTTTGGCCGGTCACATGGAGACGGAAAACATCTCAACAGTACGAAACGGGCATAAATCACATAATCTGTTAAGTGCTGTAGTTTTAATGTCCCACGTAGGTGTACGGAACCTTTGATGAACTGGATGCATTCATGCCTGTTTGTGTTGAACAGGAAGAAGTTGTGGAGATTGAGTATGTGCAGAAGTTCACAGCTCCTCAGCCAGAGGAATGCATAATGCACGACGACTGGATCAGCTCAGTGGAGGCAGACTCAGAATGGTGAGAGAGATAATACACATCCACAGCTAGGGCTCTGACTGATCGTTAAAGGGTAATTCTACTGATTTGAAATATTTCTGCGTAATTCAGTTGTTGAGATGTTAACAAAGATGTTTACAGTTTATTATGAAATGGTGCGTTTTAGACATACTCACAGATTTTGTGACGAGAATAAGACATCTCTGCAGCGCTGCTGCATTTCACATCTTAACAATTAAAATGTTCAAATTTTGACAACTTTGCTGGAATTCCCCTAATTCCCCTTTATTCCTCCATGATAAATAATCATCCTAGAAACTTTTATTTATTATTATTATTATTATTATTATTATTATTATTTAAAGCAAATCATAGTGTCATTGCCTTCACTACGGCGTACCCCACTTTTTAAAAGAGCTTTTCATAGAAACCCTCAACCTTCTTGGATTTAAAAGATCTCAAACTCCCTTTGCATTTACAGTCTATTTTGCTGAACAACACAAACACCTCTCTTACATATAACTATGTATGTATGGAAGAACTAACCTAAATCTGTTACTTTTATCAGTAAAAGATTTGGATGGAGCTTTTGGTCACTTGCTTTTTTCACACTCTTTGCTTGCAACAGGATCCTCACAGGGTCATATGATAAGACAGCACGGATCTGGTCACTGGAAGGGAAGGCGGTGATGACTGTGGCTGGACACACAGATGTTGTAAAGGATGTTGCCTGGGTGAAGAGAGGTGAGGTGGTTAAACACAGTTTAAGAGAGACAGTTCAGATTTAATTCCTATCTACAGTATTGATATTATTATTTGAGTTTAAGTTAATTCTAAAATTATATCAGCTGATCTCACCAGAATTTGTAGCCCTTTAAAATTGGTGTCGCTACAGAATTTTCATATTGGTTGCATGCTAGTATTTGTGTTCTGTAGTGTCCAGCTGCTAATTATCAAGTTTTTTTATATTAGACCTGGCAAAGTTTGACGTTGTCTGTTCTGCCGCGTGCAACACGTTGTGACGTTGATGGAAATTTAATTTACCTAATTTTCCCTCTTTGCCCGAAATTAGCCCAGGTTTGGCTTTTGAATTTTGCTTCTTTAGTTTTGCACTGGCACTGCAACGCTAAAGTAGCTAACGTAATGGAAACATCATGTCTGAATCAGCTCGCTTGCCTCAAACTCTGTCAGGTTGTTAAAAAAATCTCAGATAGGGTGTGTAACGTACTTTTATCTGTGAAAATGGACAAAAGTACTGTTTATGGAATGTTCTGAAAAACATGTGGTGGTTTCTGATGATTCTGGTTCTTGTTCTGTGGTCAGATGGTCTGAGCTCACTGCTGCTGACCGCTTCGCTTGACCAGACTGTGCTTCTGTGGGAGTGGAACTCAGAGCAGAACAAAGTGAAGGCCCGTCACTGCTGCCGTGGGCACGCAGGGAGTGTAGACGCCATCGCTGTCGACCCCACACACACTAAGGTGTGTGTATTATCCAATGAGAGAGTGAAACATCACTAAAATGTCAGACATAAAAGTGTTGAGTTACTGTCTCTTACCAGTAATAAAAATAGATTTGAAACAAGTCTATCAAAAAGTAAACAATGAAATAAAACAATACAACAATAATTTGAACAATAATAACACTAATATTAAAAATGAGGTTCACATGTAATATCAGATAATATCTTTCATAGATCTACATGAATGTTTAAATTACACATTTTCCTACAAAAATGAATATAGCACAATGGTTTTTAATAATTTGGTGCATTAATACAGAATTCAGTTGGTTTGGGCAGTCATAAATATGTATGTTGTGTATTATGCATTTAACAGCTTTGTACTTTGCTCAGCCAGTCAGATTTTAGAACCATAGATATGGGATGCTCGATGATAACGGAAGGAGACACAGAGCAACTGTGCTAATTAACAAATGCATGTTTATTTTATGTTTATAATTTTACAGCATTTGTACTCCCACATAATTGATAAAGATTATAGCGATTCCTGTCTGTAGTGCTAATCAGGTGGGTCTGGTCCCAAATTATGTATTTTATAGGTGTTTATATATTGACCGATATATACATAAAGATATTGAATATTAGCATCGGCACATTTCAGTATTTGTGCATCTCTAATAGCTGTCCAACTTATACATATCTGGAATTTAGATTATGAATATTTTTTTGTTGTTTTTTCTTTCGCCTCAGTTTTGCAGTGGCTCTTGGGATAAAATGCTGAAGATCTGGTCAGCAGGTGAGATGCCGTGAGATTTTAATGGTTTGGATTGTAACAGTCAATAAAAATACCATGACATTTTAGCTTCAGGTGTGTTGAGTGAAGAATAAGCTTTAATCTGAAAAAAGCTATGTGTCGTCTATCTGGCTGAATTGAAGTGTTTTAAAGCTGTCCTTTCTCTTTCAGTGCCCACAGAGGAGGAGGATGAAGTGGAGGAACCCAACAGGCCGCGGAAAAAGCAGAAGACTGAACAGCTGGGACTGACACGCGTGAGCACGCTTACATCACAGATATAACCTCTTGCTAGGATAAAAAGGGCTTTAGTCCAAACAAGCAGCACTTTGACTCATTGTCTACTGTCTTTAGTCCAGATTAAATCTGTACAAAAAAGGAGGCTCTTGAAACCATTAGAATCAATTCTCATTTCACTTAGTTCTGTGTGTTCTTTGGTGAATGTAAAGTACAGCAGAGCAGCAACATGGATTGAAGTACAACACAGTACAGTAAAGTACAGTGATATACAGGGCAAAATAAAAAATGAACAGCATTCTTTCTCTTACAAAATGCCACCTATATCTCCTTTGGCATAGTAAGTGATGGACTGAAATGTCTGGCAGTGTCTCTGACTCCTGATGTCTCTGTGTAGACTCCTCTGATGACTCTGTCTGGCCATAACGAGGCTGTGTCCACTGTGCTCTGGACGGATGCGGAGGAGCTGTGCAGTGCATCATGGGACCACACCATTCGGCTGTGGGATGCTGAGACAGGGGGGCAGAAGAGCATGCTGGTGAGATGCAGTTGCTTCAAACACTAATTTGCTGTCCATCTTCCAACCACCCCACCTTCAAGTCAACGCACCTTCCAACCACCCCATCTTCCAAACACCCCACCTTCAGGCTAACCCAACTCTCAGCCACCCCACTTCCCAATCAACAGTCTGGATTTTGGAACAAGCTTTCAGGAAACAAAAACTGGGGGCTAACTGGTGTATCTAGCTGGGGCTTTAATGGAGGTGGCATGGTTGGAGGATGAGGTGGTTGGGAGGTGGATGGCTGGGAGGTGGGGTGGCTGGAAGATGGAGTCTTTGGGAGGTAGGGTTGTTGGGAGGTGGCGTGGCTGGAAGATGGGGTCGTTGGGAGGTGGCGTGGCTGGAAGATGGGGTAGTTGGGAGGTGGCGTGGTTGGAGGATAATGTGGCTGGGAGGTGGGGTGGTTGGAAGGTGGATGGCCGGGAGATGGGGTGGTTAGAAGGTATCATGGTTGAGAGGTGGGGTGGCTGAGTGATGGGGTGATGTGGTAGAGACAGTTAGACTGGTCAGGTGATTTGAGCTTGTTGTTTTGATTGTGTTGTAGACTGGCAGTAAGGTGTTTAACTGTATCTCCTACTCACCACTATGTCGCCGTCTGGCTTCAGGAAGCACAGACAGACATGTGCGCCTGTGGGACCCTCGCTCTAAAGGTGAGACACAACACATACTCACATATTCCCTAATGAAGCAGTATGGTGTTTCCATTTGTATTAAGCTCTTTATCTGTCTCTCTGTGTGTGTGTGTGTGTGTCTGTCTCTCTTTTTCTCTTACACAGACGGCTCTCTGGTTCTGCTGTCCATGACGTCTCACACTGGCTGGGTGACGGCGGTCAGGTGGTCTCCCTGTCATGAGCATCAGTTGGTCTCAGGCTCATTTGACAACATGGTGAAGCTCTGGGACATCAGAAGGTGGGTGTGGCCATCTGATTGTGATTGCAGCTTTGCAGCGTTGAGCTTTTACTGTGATTCACTGATTCCATTCTGAATCCATTCTGTTTATTTTTTCGTCCTTTCCTCTGCAGCTGTAAGGCTCCTCTTTATGATCTGGCGGCTCATGAGGACAAAGTGCTGTGTGCTGATTGGACAGACAGTGGGGTAAGACATGGATGAAAGCTATATGCACTACTGTTTAAAAGTTTGGGATCATGGTAAAAAGTTTCGAATCAGTATCTTCAATAAGACTAAACAAATTTTGTTTGAAGACCTTGAAGACCATTTTGAAAGTATTATTAGGAAGTCTTATGTCAACAGCAGCTCCACAATACTTGACTGCATCTGTTTCAACTAATAGTTGATTTTTCCTGCCTTTCCTTAATTGCATGTATCAGGTTTTGGCCACTGAGTCTGTAATTTTGTGTATATTTTTATAATTACTCCCCCTCCCCCCTTCTGTCTGTTTCTCTCTCGCTCTGTAGCTGATTCTTAGTGGAGGGGCAGACAACAAGCTGTACACCTACAGATACTCAGCCTGTGTGTCTGATGCTGGGGCATGAACTCACTCCCACATTCCAAACACAGAACTGGACACATCTGCCCACCCTGGACACCAGCTGTGTCGCTGAAGAGCCAATCTCAACTTACTGTGGAAGTACATGTAACACGGCCAAGACCTTGCATCCACAAATCAGGACTGAATAAAGAGAATTATGATCTAATGGATTAACACAGTTTACTTTTATTATTTTATATTTTTGATAGTCACTGTGTGGTCCATGTCTGGAGTTTTGTCCTTTGGCGTCCCTCTTTTACACCTTTGTACTGTTTTTGTATTCAAATGTAATGTAAGAAAGACATCAGCAGGTTAATACATGGTTATGTTGTCTCCTAATAATGTCATTCACTGGCCGTTATGGTAATTGTCCATTGGAAAGCTCTATAGTCACTGTTTATACATTTAAAAAAAATATATACATTTAAATACAGAAAATATCTGTATAGGAAAAATAGTTTTCAGTGATATTTAACATTTCTTCTATACTTTCTCTTTGTGAAAATGGTTAAATCTTCAGTTTAACAAAACTGGAATTTGACGTTTGTGCCTGAGCTCTACTCAATAAAGGTGTTTTATCTGAAGCCCTACTTGACCGACTTGGTCCAGATTTGTTAGGTTATTGACCACTTTTTACAGAATTAGTTCAAAATAATTGCAGCATGACATTTTGTTGTTCTTTACATCTTCACTTTTTTACACAGTCGCATCAAATTCTCATGCACACTGAGTTTCATTCATTTGTGGAGAGAAAACTGAATGTGAAGAAATTGTTAGCTTGTTCTGTAATCCCTAATAATAATGTCATTGTTTTGATGTACTGGCTTGCTTTCCCAGACAAAGAGTAAGGCCTTGAGTACACAGTCTTCTGAATGGAGATTCCCCATTTAAAGGAAAAAACAGTCCAGGACTGGGCTTAATTCTTGACCAGGAGCCTGACCCACTGATTTGTAGTCTGTGCTAATTTTGTTCAGGCCTTTGGTGTTAACCAGTTAATGTCAGTATCTGAAACTTTACATTTCCTTCAGTTATATGTTCTCTACTGCGCAGAAATCTGAAGAAATTCCTCAATCAATAAGCCCATAAATAAAATGTAAACAAAATGTTGATCCAAGGTAGATTATTTCATTGCTTTAGACCAATCAAGTCTGTGGCATTTTTTTAATCCTAATCGAATGTGATTGGACATGAATTATTTTAAACATAATAAATGTGCTGAAGGTATTCGATATGGCACTAATTTGAAGCGACATTAATTCCATAAATAATTTAGTGGTAGGAATTTTGGCTGACTTAGTCGGTTACCGGTTCAGGTGTTGTTCCTCTCGGAGACAGAAGGGGGCGATGCGCAGCTGCGTAGCTCTCAGCTCGCACATCACTCAGTGAGGAAGAGTGGGGCAGACATGGCGAACGGCTGGTCACGCAGGAGCTTCTTGTGTTGTTTTCCCGTTCTGTGTGTTTAAAAGCCGCCATATTCGCATAAACCTGCTTCCCTCTGCACGGCGAGCACTATGGGGAAAAAGGAGAGGGGAGACCGGGGTAAACACAGCTCCTCATTCGGTCCGGTAAAGCGGTGGAGGAGTTTGGTAGCAGTTAGCAGCTAAAACAGCCGCTCAGAGCGGTGTGTTTATCTAGTGGAGCTGTGTGTGTGAGAGCGTTTTATATCTGGGATCTGTAGTTCTGTTAGGAATCTTCAGTTCTATTGGGACCTATAGTTAGTTCAGTTTGGGATCTATAGTTCTATTTGGGATCTGTAGTTATGTTAGGAATCTAGCTCTATTTGGGATCTATAGTTTAGAATCTTTAGTTCTATTTGGGATCTATAGTTCTATTTGGAATCTATAGTTCTCTTAGGAAGGTTTAGCTCTATTTGGGACATAGTTCTGTTTGGAATCTAGTTTTATTTGGGATCTACAGTTCTATTTGGGATCTATAGTTCTGTTTGAGACCTATAGTTCAGTTTGGAATCTTCAGTTCTATTTGGGATCTATAGTTCAGTTTGGAATCTTCAGTTCTATTTGGGATCTATAGTTCAGTTTGGAGTCCTTAGTTCTATTTGGGATCTATAGTTGAGTATGGAATCTGTAGTTCGGTATGGAATCTGTATGGTCCTTATGTGACCTCTCTCCACTGCATTAAATGGCGATCATGTATCCAAGTAGCTGAATATAGAGACAAATCTGAATTACAGCTGCAGTCTACTTTATAAATATAGTGGTGGCTTTCACAAAGTTTCATGTGAACCAAGACATTGTGACCAAAGTCCTCCATCACCTGTGCACACAAAGAACATCTGGGGAGTAACTGTAGTGCAGTTCAGTGATAAATGTTTACCAACTACACCAGAATTTACCAGCCCACTATAACTTAGCTGGCTAATTGTAGAGGAAACGTTTCTGCATCACATTGTTTGAAGTTCCTGCAAAAACGTCTGATTTATTCTTATGTACTTATGTCAGAGAAAAAGTCCAAGAAACGCTATCACGATGAGGATGATGATGACGATGAAACCATGGGGAGCGAGTCTCAGGAGGCCATTCCTACAGCAGCTGGCAAGCAAGTTGACGAGTCCAGTACTAAAGTTGATGAGTATGGGGCTAAGGACTACCGTTTACAGATGTTACTGAAGAATGACCATTCTTCTCGACCTCTGTGGGTGGTAAGATGGAGTTGATGCTACCAGAACAAAACCACTTGATCAGTTAGTTTACATCGCTCTAACTTTTTACCACATTACATACTTTGAGTCTGATGAGTCTGGCAGTGAAAGCCTTGTGGTGCCAGTGCATCTTAGTGGGAAGTGTTTTAGACCACAGCAGGGATGTTGAAAGCTCATGCTTGAAGAACATGTTGTACGTTTCTTTTATGTCTCTGTCAGGCTCCTGATGGCCATATCTTCCTGGAGGGTTTCTCACCAGTGTATAAGTATGCTCAGGACTTTCTGGTGGCCATCGCTGAGCCAGTGTGCAGGCCCACCCATGTGCATGAATACAAGCTGACAGCCTACTCGTTGTACGCTGCTGTGAGTGTCGGCCTGCAGACTTCGGACATCGTGGAGTATCTACAGAAACTCAGCAAAACCTCTGTGCCTGATGGGATCGTTCAGTTTATAAAGGTTAGTATGTGACAGATAAGGATAGTGAAATGAAGTAAAAGGTTTTTGTATCCCAACAAAAAGGGGGTCATGGAGGGAAAAAAATTATATATATATATATATATATATATATATATATATATATATATATATATATATATATATATATATATATATATATATGTATATATATATATATATATATATATGTATGTATGTATGTATGTATGTGTGTGTGTGTGTGTGTGTGTGTGTGTATGTATGTATGTATGTATGTATGATACAATAGTACCAGATCTGAAAAAAACCTTCTCAAATCTATAGAAAAACGATCTATCAGGTGTCTTAATGGCTCAGGCAGCGTAATCACCTCCATTTTGTGTAATAACTTTCTGAGAGGGAGCATTTTAGATTAAGCGTCTGGTTCCTGTCACCACCACTGTGAACTATTCTGACTCTGGAAGTTTCTCGAGTGTTTCACATTAAACCAATTTTAATGACTTTTACATTTTAATGATTGTTTTAATTTTTTTTAATTCGTTTAAATAATATTGTCACCGTGCAACAGTGGGTGGGGAAAAATAATGTTAAGCAATAATAAGAGACCTTCACTGATACCACATTTTTCATTCGGAAACACGATGCGATACAGAAAATGTGTTATGATTTCCAATTTATATTGAATTTCAAGATTTGCCTGCATTTGTTTGAACAAAATGATTTACTTTTGCTGTTTACTATAATACTTCAATTTGTTAATCAACCCCCCCCAGAAACACTCTTTTCTGCCTTTAATTCATTAAGACAGCTTATAAAAACAAAAAGAAAAACAATCATGTTGTTTAGAGGGCTTATTTGCGTATAAAAAAAGCCAATATGGCAATAATGATTAACAAACGTCAATTGTGCAGTCCTACAGTACCATATTTACTTGGATATGTAATGCTAATGCTCTGCCATGCTATATATTAAAACTCACTTTTGTTTTGTTGTTGTTTTCCAGTTATGCACTGTGAGCTATGGAAAGGTCAAGCTGGTACTGAAGCACAACAGGTTTGTGTACTGCTCTGTTGGTGTTGCTCTAGCTCAGCTTTTTTCTGTTATTACTTATCAACAAACACATCTTGCAGTGGAGGCTTCAATAAGAGGGGGTTATTATCCGTAAAATGATCATGCTTTACTTTGAATTATACAAAAGTGGAAAAGTGGCCTTGCCTTAAAACCAATTCTCTATTATCCAGTATTTGGTAATTCAGTATACTGCAATAGGAAACACACAAGGTAATACTAACGTGGATGCATTAAAATACAGTTAATGCACTTAGTCAAACAAGTTTCACCAGAGATAAATACACACATTAGATCTGCTTTCACAAAATCCCACCTCACTGTAGTGGTCTGGTCACATGAAACAGTTCCTCCTTTAACAAGATGCAGTAAACAGATACAGTGTGCACAGATACAGCAGGTGAAAACACACATGCCCACTTCACGTTTTTGTTTTTAATGATTTTATTGTATATGCTGTACATATATAATTGGGCTGCGCTGTAAATCGTTTTTTATCGTTATCGCTATCGTTATATAATATGCTTAAAAATGTGCTCGCAGTTCTGTTGTAAATAGCTCTTATTTCATCTCTTTATTTTACACAGTAGTGTATGTTGCTTTTGTAAATTTGCATTTTGCTGTTTGCTTAAAGGAAAGCTTAGATTTCTCTTTACACATCCAAAAAAAAAGAGCTGTACTTAAGTCACATCCTGTCAGAGGCACACCATTTTAATAACACTATCACTTCTCATATCGTCATTGTAATGTCTGACAGCTTTACCAAACATTGCGTTTTAAGTCCATATCGTACAGCCCTGATGTATAAACACTTAACAGCACTGCTAGTTAAGAATGACCTTCTGAGCATAGTTTGTTTAGCCTTAAAGTCAACTTTAAACCAGAGTAGACCTTTTGTGCCCTGTACCCCCTCACCCAACGAGAAAACAAACATGTTTTCTACTGTATAATACTTTATATTGCTGCTGTCGGAAGAAAACCTCATATCTTTATTTTTGTCATTTTTCAGGTTTTTGACATAATTTGAAAATGTCTGTTTCCCTTTACAGTGTTTGTAAATTTCCTGAAGAGTGGACCAAAAGAAACGGCACAAAATGTCTTGGAAAATATTCTGGTTCCATTGACTTACATTAAAAGTAAAGTATGCTTTTTAAAAGTAAAGTTACCATTTTGGAGATACGAGGTTTTCTTCCGACAACAGCGATATAATTATTAAACTCATTTTCTTACTTATTTTAGCAACTAAGTACGGTGTAATGTTATGAAATACATTTTTAAAAACTCAGTTTGGAACCTACCTAAGTTCATTTTGGTGTTTTGCTCACCGTAAACAATGCACTTTTGCAAAACGTTTTGGCGCCTCTGCTGCACCTATGATGATAAAGCCTGTTTATGATTAAAAACGTGAGCAAGAACAACAACAAAACGCTCCCTTTGTAGTCATTTGTCGTCTTCACCAGCTGTGAGCATGAAAGAGCGATGCACTTCAATGCGAAGCTCCATTTTTGACGGGTCATTTTGCATCACCCTGTTGTACCTCCACAGTAAAAATGTTTAATTAATCCATGAGGCAGAGGGAATAAGAGGGCTGAGCTTTCCTCTAAATTTTCGTCCTAAAATTATAGTGTAACGTTCCAAATGGTATGATTAGCTGCATAATCTAGTCAATTTATTGATTAATTTATTCATACCTTTCGCTTGTAATGTGTGCTGTACACTGCTGATGTAAGATTGAATTGATTGCACGCTTGTAGAATTAATCTTTGTTGAAAAAAAGGCATTTACATTGAAGATGAGTTAAAGTAGTGTAGCCACCCATTCTGCAGTTGAAGTCTGGAGTTATTAGCTGATCCGTAGCTTGTTAATGTCTTGACTTGATGGATGTACTTGACATTTCCATCCCGAAGGCTTTGCGACGTGATGCGACGTCACGCTTGAGTGTTCGCTTGCTGTTAGGATGCCTCAAATTCTGTAAGCGCTTTCACAGAAATAGCCGTTTAAATGTTTCCAATCACTTTTTTTCACCAAAAACAACTGTTTTCTGAAGCATTGCAAAACATGTTTCCAGTATTTTATTATTATTATTATTATTATTATTATTATTATTATTCCAGTATTATCATTATTATAAAGTGCTTTACCGCACAAGCTCTGATGTTTATACATGCCAAAGTGCGCTCTGAAGCTAAGGTCGCACTGAGTGTGGCTAATGTAACTAATCTTGTAAATGTTTTTTTTACTAAACACTCTTAAATCCCTCCCTAATGAAGGCTTGCATTATGTTCAGGCATGTAGAAGCATTAATGTATATTCCGCTGTTCTGTCTTTGAGTGATTGTAATAAAGCCTCAAGCCGAACTTAGAGTGACCCCTGCGGTCTGAGACCGTTTTACTCTACTCTGCAGAACATTCTGGCCTATTGTGTAACAATTTCAGCTAGAACAGTCTGTGCTGGAGTCGTCCTCACCAGCCGGCCTCTGAATGTGCCTGAATCCGATTGGAAGCCTAGTGGTTTGCTCTTTATGGGCAGTGTTCTGATGTACTTCTGTAATCGTCGCAATCGTTGTTATTATATAAAAGAAATTTGGTTGGAGATATATGAACATAAAGATTCTGATATGCTAGTCCTGCATAAATTTATAGGTTTAAATTAATTAGAATAATTTCAATAATTTCAAAAAATCTGCAGCAGACAGAAGTTTAGATTAGACCGCTATTTTAAACTGATGATGATATATTTGTTGAACTCCAGGAGAGCAGAACCGTCTGCACTAAAATATCTGCTGTTTATTGATTTTACTGCAATTGTAACCCCCTACAAATGAAAGCTATGTTTCACTGTAAGTCTAATCTGATCTAGTCCCAGTTTTTACATTTTATAAATGTTTACGAAGTGAGTGGAGCATTCTGACAGTTCCAAGGGCCCCAAAGAGATGAGGGCCCACAATTCACTCCCCGGTCTATACAGTCCATACGTGAAAACTAAGGTGCAAGAACAGCTCGTTTAGAATTCAGTCGCGAAAACGGCTCTTTTACATATATCTTCCAATTCAGCCTACATCAGTTTAGCCGCACTCACTCACATGAAGTTATAAGACATGTTTCAGCTTAAACTGCTTTCTGAATGAGGCACAATACAGGGCAGCCAATCAGAACAGAGCTCTTTTGCATGCATCAATTTTAAGCCGTTTTCACATATGAACTCCGGAAAATGTACAAGATTTTCCATGTCAGATGCGTTCTCATTACAGGACATGTTCTGGGTGGTTTAGGCAGCGCCTCTGTATTGCATGTAGGGAGCAGGCATGATGCAAAATGTATGCAGTGGAAACTGCAGTGTTTTGTTTACAGTACATCGGATATGGGGATGAGGCTACCGACTCCTCTGTAATGATTTTTGCATCGACATTAATACCACATGTATTTGGACATACAGGCAAGCAGAAAAGACTACGAAGCAGCTGCACTGCTTGAACATCGCCCACTGTGAACTCTCCAGATAATTGCCTGCTCTGTTCACACATGGGTTCTCTTGGACATTATCCAGACTTTGTACTAGGGGGCTGGGAGGATAAAGTCCGGGTAATATTTGATACAACCAATTCGGACATTTGCGTTCACACACATGGCTCCTCCGGGTAATGTCTGGAAAAATTCTGGGTCACTGTGTTTGAAAAGGCCATTAAACACATAGGAATAAAATTCTAAGAGATAAAAAGAGGTGGGAAGGTGATAATGAAAATAAATCGAATAGGTCATAAGTGGACCTTAGGGGGAAAAAAATAAATACAGGTGTTGGATAGAACATTGTAATATTGGCACTGTAAACCACATTGATTATGTAATATTAGAATCAGTTATAATCTATTATAATAATATTCATTGAAGTGTGTGTTCATTGTTTTACAAAATTAATACTTAGGCTACTTTCAAATTCACAATTTGTAAAAATAATAGTTAAAAAGTTTGTGTTGTTTTTTAATTGTGTGAATGCATTGTTTTGTCAGTTACATTTATATTTAAAAACAATTCTAATGTGGCCAAAAATAATAAAGATATAATGATAAACAATTGAATTGTGGTAAATTTGGGATTTCATAATTCATTGAATCCTTTCTTAATGAATACTAATAATCAAATCAACTTATTGTGCGGTCACAGATTACCAGTCCTAAACTGTACTCTTCACTTTTCATTATTTGAAAGACTATAAAGATGATATTGAATAAAAATGATATTGAATGCGTAATGGCTGAAATGCTGTGTGTGGGCAGGTATTTTGTGGAGAGTGCCTTTCCTGATGTGATCCAGAGGCTGCTGCAGGATCCTGTGATTCGAGACTGCCGTCTGCGCACTGCTGAGGGAGAGGAGACCGAGCTCATCACTGAGGTCATCTCCAGCAAACCTGCAGTGAGTCCACACTCAACACACACGCACACATGCTTAGACATCAAACATTAAGAAAGTAAGCTGTGTTTTAGTGTGACCACAGTTTAATGTGTACTATTATTTTGCATTGGTTTACATGTGATCTGTATAGATTTTGTACTGCGGAAGTGTATCTGATGCCTGTTCTCCTACTGTCCAGATTTCAAAGTCTCAGCAGGACAGTGGCGGTGCGTCCACATCCCAGCCTGTGGAGGGCCAGAAATCTGGTGCCCAGGTCCCTGAGGACATCTTCAGCTACTACGAGCAGATGGACAAAGAGGAGGAGGAAGAAGAGGAGACTCAGACAGTCTCTTTTGAGATTCGGCAGGTATGGCTGTAGGAGTGTATGTTGGTGCAAGTGTCCCTGGAGGACCAGATTTCCGTTTAGAAGACTTATTTCATCCGTAGGGTCATTAAGAGATGTGCATTCTGCCTAATTTTGATATTACAATATCCATAAGAGGTTAACAGTAGGAAAAGAAAATATGGACTGTAGGACTGTAGACTGTAGACTTACCTTTTTAAGGCAAAATAATATATTAATATACATCAGTCCACAGCACGTTTCCAAAATGTCTCTGTTTATTTATGAATTGTTGTGTTGCATGCTTCAGATGTTGACTGTTAAGATTACTTTCTGGTGACCCTTCTATGTAGACCAACAGCACTGCACAGTTTGCTCGTGCTTTACTATTCCTGTGCCAGCCATATCTTCCTGTAGGTAGTGGGCAGTGATGTGGGTGTTTTGCTTTGCATTTGAGATTTTTCTTGGTCTTACAGATCTTGTTTTGACTTCAAAAGTTCTCCTTAGCTTCAACTTCTGAGTGATTTTTCAGACAGTGGGAATTGAACACGAAGCATTTAGACATCTTGAAGTCTTCTTCAATATTATTTATTTTCAGACACTCAGCCAGCTGCTTAGATAAGCCCATGGCTGTTAAAAGCACAACACACCAAGATTTCTGAAGGGTCACTGAATTAATTGTGCTCTAGAAATTGTTTACACCTGGCTTGGCCTAATTAATCAAATAAGGTCTGAGACAAAACAGAAAAACAACACTGGTGGATGAATTTTAAGCATGTCCAAACTTACGTGCACACATGGAATGTTTTTATTTCCCCAAATGGGTTATTTTAGCAAATAAACAATAATTGTGCATTGGAATTTGCAGAAATACGTGGTATTTAAGTTTGCTTCATGTAGAGCTGGTTAATTACTTCCAACGAGATTTGCAATTTGACAAGGGGTGTCCAAATTTTTATTTCCTTGCCAACTATCTATCTAGATATGAACATGATTTATCTTGGTGTTCATGTTCATTGTTGTTCATGGAAGCCGCATCAGTCTAATGTTTTGTTCTTAGTGAGGAACAAAGAAAACTACTTGAACCATAAAGAGAGGTGCAACTTATTGGCAGTAAAATTACTTCTCAGTGGATGTAGTACTGCAAACACCTTGTCAGTGTAAAACTGGACATGTTTTGAAGTTTTAAAGCTTATTACCCTTGACCCATAGACCTACGTTCTGCATTTACAACAGAACTAAATTTAGCCTTATTCTTTGCAAGTTGAGGTGACCAGTTGTGTGCCATTCCAGTAAAGAATACAATTTAAAAAATCTGAAAATTATTGACTCTTTCCATATAACAGACCTCACTGATGTGGCTATGTGTTATTTATGGCATTTTTCAAGACAGGGTGGCCCTACAGCCCTATTTATACTGGTGATTTTCCCTCTTTCAGGAGATGATTGAGGAGCTGCAGAAGCGCTGTATCCAGCTGGACTATCCTCTGTTGGCTGAATACGACTTCCGCAATGACACAGTCAACCCCGACATCAACATTGACCTGAAGCCCACAGCCGTGCTCAGGCCGTACCAGGAGAAGAGCCTTCGTAAGATGTTCGGCAATGGTCGAGCTCGCTCTGGAGTCATCGTTCTGCCCTGCGGTAAGCTCACACAAAACACTTACGTAAACAGTATACCTGAAAAAAATATCTTAGCACTTTTACTTGGTGTGATACATTTAATTTTAGGCTTCTTTGGATTAAAATGAAATGCTAGGCTCTTTATGTTTAGATGTCTCTTGTCTTTAACTGTTTTTAGTTTTGTTCTTGGGCAGAAAGGTAGTTTGAATGAAGGTTCTCCATGGTGTTGAGTAGTTTACCAACACATGATTGAAATGAAAATTTAGAAACGTATGAAAAACACTGATTCATAATTTCCATGACGCAATATACCCAGAAAACTAAGAAGAAAAGACCACATACTAAATTGTAATAATCAGATAGATTATAAAATTTAAAAAGAAAAATAGTTATCAGGATTACAGGAACATAAAGGAAACATAATTTCAATAATGGATAAAATAGAGAAAAATAATCTCAGCTGGTCAACACATTCAAACACACATAACCTAAGGCAAAAGCTTTAAGAAAGAAATCAGAGAGAGAGACAAAGAAAAGACAGTGAAAGTTCGGGGGGGTGAGAGCACTCGCAGGTGTCTTCCCCATCCAACTGAGACTTGGTCAAAGCAGTAATAGCATATTAAAAGCTTTATACAAATTATATATAAAATAGACAGTCTACATAAACACTTGCTGATTAATCTCTATAAATCAGAACAAAACTGCTATAATGCAGACTTGGATTGGCTCAGAAACATTGCTGATCACAGTGTCATTGGTGAGATTCAGTCAACAAAGATCGTGTCCCTCATGCTCATCCTAATGACGTCAGCAAAAATCGCTCTAAGTCAGGCCCAAGGCCTTGAAGGTTCTAGAATATTTACCTTTCACCCAGTTGTGCAATAATGAAAAACCCAGTTCTAATTCCTGAACCATAGGCCGCCACCATGTCTGGTAGGATAGACGGGAGATGGGCGTAAACAATCCTTATCTCATGTCACATTGTCCTCCTCAAGGAACATAACAAGCCTCCCAGAGACACAAAAGCCAAAGTACTATTATCCCTCAGTGTGAGAAATATATTCTTAAGCAGAGTGTTCTATATACTCTATATCTAGCTGTGATGCAGTTCTAAAACTAACATATAGATAAACATTTTTTTAATAATTCTTTACAAACAAAACAAAACAAAAATTCTTTATTTAATTACCAGTGAAAATTAAGTACAAATTATTCACTTTTCAGGTCACATTCCTGTATCCCTGATTATTTGGCAGAGTACATGGAGATGTTTGTTCTATGTATATGTATCTATATATCTCTCTACTTGATCTGCTGGTGTCCTCAGGTGCTGGGAAGTCTCTGGTGGGAGTCACAGCGGCCTGCACTGTGCGCAAGCGCTGCCTGGTGCTGGGAAACTCTTCTGTGTCCGTGGAGCAGTGGAAGGCCCAGTTTAAGATGTGGTCCACAATCGACGACTCGCAGATTTGCCGCTTCACGTCGGACGCTAAAGACAAGCCCATCGGTTGCTCAGTGGCCATCAGCACCTACTCTATGCTGGGCCACACCACCAAGCGCTCGTGGGAAGCCGAGAGGGTCATGGAGTGGATGCGCAGTCAAGAGTGGGGGCTCATCATTCTTGATGAGGTCCACACCATTCCAGGTCTGTGTGTTTATAATCTGAACAGTATGAATTTCATACTCTCTTAAATTGTAATAGAACTATCAGCGTAATAGTGATTTCAGTTTAATGCTTTATAAAGCTGCACTATGGTTTTTTTGTTAACATTGAAAGAAGTAGCATTACTGAGTCCGAAAAAAAACACACTAAACTATGGTGTGCGTGTGCTGCCTTTTGAAGCCTGGAATAATCATTTAAAAGTCAGAGATGTCTGCTTGGATTTTGCAGGAGTTTTTTAGACGTTATAGGTTGTTTTTGGATGTTTTAGATCGTTATGTATTAACATGACATGCACCGGCTCAAAAAAGAAGCTCCGGCTCTATGTTTAGGTCTCAAATGCAAAATCACCATTATACTGATGACGACATGATGACAACAGCAGATCATTCACTCACATCCTCGGAAGACATCCGAATTCTCTTTGAAAGCTCTTTCATCAGATTCATCCCCTCGGGAAGACGATATGGCAACAATGTAGTAGATGTTTCGTTTTTCTGAGGATTGATAAGTGGAAACAAAAAGCTCCAATATTGCCACATTTAAAAAAAAAAATATTATCAAAAACTATAAGTAAAAGATGTTTGTTTAGCGTTTCTCCTAAAGAGCTGCACTAAATCCAATAAAACAGCACTAATTATGCTTTCTTAGTAATGAAACATGCAATTATATGCTCAGAAAAGCATCGTTGATCCTCATGATCATTGTGCTATAAAATCTGATCATTGTACAGTTTTTATCTGTATATGTAACAAATCTTTATTGTTTTCTTCCCTGCTGTGTTGCTCTTCTCATCCTCTTACACTCATGCAGCGAGGATGTTCCGTCGTGTCCTGACGATAGTCCAGGCCCACTGTAAGCTGGGTTTGACCGCTACACTGGTGCGAGAGGACGATAAGATTGTAGATCTCAACTTCCTGATTGGGCCCAAACTGTACGAAGCCAACTGGATGGAGCTACAGAACAATGGCTACATTGCTAAAGTCCAGTGTGCTGAGGTGAGACACACACACACACACACACACACACACACACACACACACACACACAGGAAAGATACCGTAGCAGAACAGATTGTGATTGAAACAGACCAAATTTACTCCCAGTGTTGGTACAGACCTAGTGTGATGTGCTCTCTAGGGGTCCCATGTTCCTATGAGGGGCCCCCTTTTTGGAAAGGGGGGAACAAATGTGCTTCCTCAGCATCGTTCAGGTTGCTGAAAATACGTGGAAGTGAATGCTAATGCTACCAGACATCTGCAGTTAGTCAGTATGCGGTTTGTAGTTTCATAGCCGGTTTTTGAATCAGAAGGGGTGTCTGGCAGTGATGTATGGAAAGAAAGTGTTCTATTAAATGTAATTTGCCATTTGATTCATGCTTCTTAATAATAATACTGACATTGCTTTAAAGGTGACAATCACCATGTTGGGAAAATAGAACTGAGAGAACTAGAGAGCTAATTTAATTAGAAACAGCTTGTTAAAGAACATTTAAATATTAAATAATTCCAGAGCAACTGCACTATAACAATGGCGCTCTTTATAAATATGTAAGTATGTGAACAGCCACAAACCTGATGAACGTACGTGTTTGCAGTAACAACTTGTGCAGTAAAAACTGGTGGTAAAAAGGTTCATTCCCAAAAAAATGGAGGTATGAGATTTCCATCAAAGAATTTCATCATATCAGTTAAAGCTAAAAAGCATGTACGTTGTGGACCGTATAGATTGCAGCTGCAGTGGACTGTGTTTGTTTCACTGTTGATCTTCGGACTGTTTGAATAGCCGTCCAGCGCAGGAGTTTGATGTTAAGTGTTAGATTTTGACCTTTCTTTGTAGACCTAGTTATGTTTTTCCTTTATTTCTTTCCACTGAAAACTGAAATTGCCTCTTTCACTGAAATTGAACATTTTTTGCCAGAAATTTTTCAGTAGCTGAAATTTTAATCGCATAAGGACAAGAAAATCATTAACACTGCATTAGGACCCTGTGTTTGGGCTCGGCATTTGGTGAACATAAATGTAGGACAGCTTCCACATCCTGTCATTTTGTAGCTAAACCTTGTGTGTAATATACTGTTGCAATTTCCTTGTTTTTTTGCATGTTTCTCAAACAATTGCAGCATTCTGTTTGCAATTATTCCAGCTTATCAGATCAAACCTTGTAGAATGTGATGCCTGACTGATGTCTAAGTCACAGCGGGATACAGGAGATTTACAGTCTGCAGGAGTGCGTGTGTGAATTCTGTAGCACACATATTAAGCAACACGAGACAAGTTTAATACCTTCATACTGTTCAGTTCGGCACTGGTGTTGCTCAATCACGTTAGTTAAGCACTGCCTGCTTTGCTCGGTCACCTGGCCCACTGCTCTAGCAATGCACACACAGAGAGATTTGATCTGTGCTAATATGGGTGAAAAGGAACACTTTCAATTTCAGGCAGTTATTGCCGGCAATAACAAAAATGTAGTGTAATTTAATATGGAAGTTGAATATGGTCTTTGGAAGTAAATGAGAAAATACACCGATCAGGCATAACATTATGACCACCTCCTTGTTTCTACGCTCATTGTCCATTTTATCAGCTCCACTTAATATATAGGTACAATTACAGACTGTAGTCCATCTGTTTCTCTGCATACTTTGTTAGCCCCCTTTTACCCTGTTCTTCAGTGGTCAGGACCACCATGGACCCTGACAGAGCAGGCACTATTTGGGTGGTGGATCATTCTCAGCACTGCAGTAACACTGACACGGTGGTGGTCGTTTAGTGTGTGTTGCGCTGGTCTGAGTGGATCAGACACAGCAGTGCTGCTGGAGTTTTTAAACACCTCAGCGTCACTGCTGGACTGAGAATAGTCCACCAACCAAAAATATCCAGCCGACAGCGTCCTGTGGGCGGCATCCTGTAACCACTGATGAAGGACGAGAGGATGACCAACACAAACTGTGCAGCAGCAGATGAGCTATCGTCTCTGACTTTACATCTACAAGGTTTACTGGCAAGGTAGGAGTGTCTAATAGAGTGGACAGTGAGTGGACACAGTGTTTAAAAACTCCAGCAGCACTGCTGTGTCTGATCCACTTGTACCAGCGCAACACACTAACACACACCCACCACGTGTTACTGCAGTGCTGAGAATGATCCACCACCCAGACAGTACCTGCTCTGTGAGGGTCCATGGGGGTCCTGACCACTGAAGAACAGGGTAAAAGGGGGCTAACAAAGTATGCAGAGAAACAGATGGACTACAGTCTGTGACTGTAGAACTACAAAGTGCTCCTATATAGTAAGTGGAGCTGATAAAATGGACAATGAGCTTAGAAACAAGGAGGTGGTCCTGATGTTATGCCTGATCGGTGTATTTTATTATAGTGTTGATTTGCACTAGAACACCAAAACAGGATACCTGAGATGGAGGAAGGTGTTCTGGACTGATGAGTCTAATTGTATTTTTGAGTTTACATGGAGCACAAGAGGCAGGAAGTGCAATATACTTCTTAGACTGAACTCCTTCTTTGAAAAACTGAAAGCAGGTCTCCTGAAAAGAATAGAAGGCAAAATGTGGACACACTAAACACTGAACAATTTGATGTTATATTTTAGTTGTTGAGGCTTCTGTGTAATTTTTTATTTGGATATTAAAACATATTTGTGCATTTTTGCTGGTAATGAAACAAAATATATGGTCTCTGACTTTTGCACAGTACTGTATATGTTTAAGAATATCGCTGCTGTCGGAACGAAACCTCATACCTCCACAAAGGTGACTTTACAGGACAAGGAAAAACATTAACATTTAATGGAAATAGATTGGGGAAATAATTTTTTCCAAGTCATTTTGGACCATTTCAGTTGTTCCATTCATCGTAAAATTTTGACACAACATAAAGGGCAACTGCATTTTTAAAATAATGTCGAAAGATATGAGGTTTTGTTTCGACAGCCCCTTTTTTTTTCTTAATGCAGATTCTGTGTGTGACTCTTAGGTGTGGTGTCCTATGGCCCCTGAGTTTTATCGTGAATATGTGGCTATAAAAACGAAGAAGCGGATCCTGCTGTACACCATGAACCCCAATAAGTTCCGCGCCTGCCAGTTTCTCATCCGCTTCCACGAGAGACGCAACGACAAGATCATCGTCTTTGCCGACAACGTCTTCGCACTCAAAGAATACGCCATCCGCCTCAACAAGTAAAGCACAAATTTACACACACTAACGTCACACACCAAAATCACACTGACCTTATATTTATAAAGCAGCTCCGCCCCAAGTGTAGATCTAACCCGTCTACTCTGTGTAAATTGTGTTCCATGGAATGTAAAAGCCAAAAACTCAAGTTAGTCTGTCCAGGTTTAGTGTGTCCTGGAAGAAAGCAGTTTTGAATGGCTTAACAACCTTCATCACAGTCTGTTCACTGAGAAGAGTTGCCTCATTTTAAGATGATTTTAAAAAGAAGCTGATTGCTCTGCTTTCATTCTCTTCCTGCATCATTCATTCCTCACATGGTCAAACAGCCTTAATAACCTACCTGTATAGGGTTGCCAGATTGGGCAGGAGAGTCTTAACACAATTTGCTATGAAAATAATAATGTATGATGTTCTTATTCATTATCTTGGTGTATTTCTGTTATGTTTTATTAAAAACAAGTGACTAGAATGTATGCAATAGTGCAAATCAATAATAAGTAGTTACTATATGTAATGATAATAACAATAATTATAACTTGATCTCAAATGCTGTTGTTGCTCAGAGTTTAGATTTTTTTTTGTTTTGTTTTTTTTCTTTTTGCTGCACCAGCAGAATAGACTCAGCTAAAAATCACCAGCTAAAACAAATGTTCCTGCTGGTTCTAGATCTCACGTTGGCTTTGACCTTTCTAAACCCTTTTGCTTGCTGTGAAAGCTCTGTAGTGTAAGCAGTGATCCAGTGGGGAATGCTTTGCATGTCTGATCAGCTGATTTTTGGCATTTCTTTTCAGCATTTCAGCTGATTATTGAAAAATAGGAAAGTCCCCAACACAGTTTGAAAAACATGACATTGTATATCCGGACCCCTGACCTGGGTTTCTTTTTCCTTTAGTTTATCCTTTTGTGAAAAGGGTAACTCTATTTAATATATATATATATATAACAGTGACTCATTTAAGATGGCTACTAGAAAAATGTACTTTTTCAAAAGCAGAAGAAAAACTAGTTGTGCTGTGAGAAAACTGGAGCAGGAATCTTAATAATCTGTCTCATAAAGCCGTCACTGCGCTCTCCTTTCTCCTGGATCTACAGTACTGTGTGAAAGTTTGAGAACCCTCATTGTTTGTTAGCTATATAGAAAATTCCAGTGTTTTCCTTTTTTCAAGGTGGCTAATAAGCCTATTTGTCACTTTAGGCTTGTGTTTTAGTGGCTGCAGACAATGAAAAGGAAAGACAATTAAATTGTTGTTCGCAATTATTTGTATGACAGTTAATCGTCAGCAAAAATTTCATGATGGTGACAGCCATAGTTGCAGTTACACAGGACTAGCATATTAGATATTAGACCCCTTTATGTGTTCATCTGTGACCAAATTGGTTTCATTATTATTCACCAATATCTTCTTAAGTTTTTGCTTAAGTTCTTAATTCTTAAAAGTTCTTGAAGTCTACTTCAGAGTCATGATGAGTTCTTGGACTGCAGAATTGTTTGCCTTTACCTTTCTCTTGAGTGTGTGTAGATTCTGTTCTGGATTCTGGACGTCAGAATCTTCGTGAAAAGTGTGTGAATTTTTTCCTTAAGAACGGTTGGTGAATAAGGCCCATTGATTCTAAACAGAGTGGCAATCCTAAATTGTAAAATGGTCGTACATGTTCACATTCTCTTTATTCATTTTGCATTTACATATTTAGAAAAGCTCTTAATGAGGTTCTTGTGCTGTTGTTTGGACTAGAACGACCTCTTATCTTGAGTCCCCAGGAGGCTTGTGGACAGGGGTTGTTATAGCTGTATGGCTCAGGGGTGCTTTTCTGGGAAACTTTGGACTATCCCTCTGTTATCACTGCCTCAGCCCATAATCAGCTCAACGTGATTATGATGTGGGGGAAAAAATCAATCACCTGTCACCAGAATGTTTCTTTGCTTTTCGTGTGAACTCATTTCCCCTGCTAGGTGTTTTTGTGGAAACTGCGCTTGCACAGCGTCAGGCCTAAGTCTGCTGTTTTCAAGCAGTTAAATGGTGGGATTGTAGGAATTAGCCTGGAACAATGCCGGACAGTTTTCTGAAGCACAATTTCGGCAAAAATTTTCACATGACTTGCCTGTAATTTGTAGGGTGTTTGCACAAATATGCCAATCTTGTTTTTCTTTATCCAGACCGTATATTTATGGACCAACGTCACAAGGGGAGCGGATGCAGATCCTCCAGAATTTCAAGCACAACCCTAAGATCAACACCATTTTTATCTCCAAGGTAACTCACCTCTTCTGCTCTCCATGCGTTTCCTGGTAAGCCAGTGGTTTAAAAAGGCCTTAACTCTATACCAAGAACATTGTGTCAGCATCAGACCCACAGCACCAAGTTTAGAACCTGAACCTGATTGTAGGCTTATAGAATTTTCCATTCCGAGGCACAGGTAGGAATTTTGGGTTCCTTGAACATTTCATGCATAGGCCCGTTGCCTCACCTCATTTCCCATAACAGAACCTGTCAACATTTTCATAAGCCTGCTCTTTATTTATCTTAATAAACTATACATACACACACCGGCCACTTCAGTGAATATGTCTCCTTGTAGTACTGTAGTTCATCTGTTACTCTGCGTACGCCGTCAGCCCCTTTCACCGTGTTCTTCAATGGTCAAGACCCCCACAGGACCACCACAGAGCAGGTATTTTTTGGGTAGTGGATCAATTTCAGCACTGCAGTGACACTAATGTGGTGGTGGTGTGTTAGTGTGTGCTGTGCTGGTACGAGTGGATCAGACACGTTTTTTAAAACACATCAGTGTTGCTGCAGGACTGAGAACAGTCCACAAACCAAAAACATCCAGCCAGCAGCGTCCTGTGGGCAGCGTCCTGTGACCACTGATGAGGGACTAGAGGATGACCAACACAAACTGTGCAGCAACTGATGAGCTATCGTCTCTGACTTTACATCTACAAGGTGGACCAACAAGGTAGGATAGAGTGGACAGGGAGTGGACAAAAACACCAGCACTGCTGTGTGTGATCCACTTGTACTAGCACAACACACGCTAACACACCACCACTACGTCAGTGTCTCTGCAGTGCTGAGAATGACCCACCACTAGTATGAACTGTCCTGACAACAAGGGTTAACCAGTTTTGTATTGCTTATGGTTGTTAATATTTTCAGCTGTGGGGAGATGACCACAGCCTTTGCACATCTTTTAATTGCACATCTTTTCATCTCATGTCTTTATTTTTTGCACCAAATTGTAGAGAGTAGTCTCAACAAGAGTATTGATAAGTATCATTATCGATAAGCAGTATCTGTAACGATATTGGCACCGATAAAACCCTAATGATCCCCATCCCTACCCACCACCCAAATAATACTTACTTTGTGATGGTCCTGTGGGGGTCCTGACCGTTGAAGAACAGGGTAAAAGGTGGCTAGCAAAGTATGCAGAGAAACAGATGGACTGCAGTCTGTAACTGTAGAACTACAGAGTGCTCCTATATAGTAAGTGGAGCTGATAAAATGTACTTAATGAAGTGGTTGGTCAAAATAGGTACCCATGATCATTTTCAAGTCACCTGTGCTTTACTTGGTTGTCCGTCTTGCAGGAGTACTAGGTGTGCCAAGCTTGAACGCATGGCTGGGGCTACTGATAGTGCAGACTACTGACCGGTCAAACACAGTCGTTCACATGCCAGAGTGTCACCATACTGTACAGTTACATGCTTCGCCTTCAGCTGATCAGTCTGTGATTAATTATAACACTAAACTATCTAGTTCTGTGTCCTAGAAGTGTCCAGGCTGGTTGGCCAATGTTTTCTTTGTTTGGCCTGAAACGCACCAAAATCTTTGACAGCAGTACGAGTGTAGCATTAGCACTTAGGGTTCAAGTTGGAATGTGGATCAGAGGCTAGATGGGGTAAAGCAGTGGTAGAAAGGCAGCAGCAAGTTAAACACATGCCATGTTTACTTCTTAACACCCAAAGTTCATCCAAGGACTGCTCATATTCAGCTAATCTGGAATGATATGTATAATTCTCAGGATCTTAAAGGATCTGAGCATAAAGACTGCGCTCTACACATCTGAATCACTATTTCTTAAGCGGATTCTGCAGTTCATGGCGTGTCATGGCCACCGAAAACAAACCTTTGTCTTCTTTAATTAAATTATCCCTCTTTTCTAAGGGCTGAATAGTTGGAGATGTATGGCCAGTGAATGTGAAAGTGAATGGCCACTATATATATGTTTGCCTGTGTATGTATATATATATATATATATATGTGTGTGTGTGTGTATGTGTGTATATATATATATATATATATATATATATATATATATATATATATATATATATATATATATATACACATTGGAGGTTTTTTGAGCATATGGTCTTGCCACAGCATCTCAGTGGGATTCAAGTCAGAACTTTGACTCAGCCTCTCCAAAACCTTAAATTTGTTTGTTTTGAGCCATTCAGAGGTGGACTTGCCTGTATGCTTCAGATCATGGTCCTGCTGCACAACCCAACTTGAGCTTTAGGTCACGTACTGACCGGCGGACATTCTCCTTCAGGATTTTTTTAACAGAGAGCAGAAATAATTGGTCCATCAATTATGACAATTTGTCCAGGTCCTGCAGATGCAAAGCAGCCCTAGACTGTCATACTACCACCACCATGTTTGACTGTTGGCATGATGTTCTTATAGAACGTTGTGTTAGCTTAATGCCAGATGTAATGGAACCCATGTCTTCCAAGAAGTTCCACCTTTGACTCACGAATTCACAGAATATTATCTCAAAAGTCTTGGGGGTCATATAGATGCTTTTTGGCAAATGCAAGAAGAGTCTTTGTGTTCTGTTTGGTCAGCAGTGATTTGCCCCTTAGAACTCTCCTGTTTTTGTGTTCACTTAGTTTATCTTTGTCTAATATTAAAAGTAGTTTGATGATCTGTAACATTTCAAGGGTGAGAAATATACAAAAATAAAACCAATTATGAAGGGCATACATACTTTTTCTCAGCACTATGTATATATTTCACAACGCACAATGGAGAGGAGTAGTATAAGCATTATCCCGTCTAATGCGGGTGCACTGTTAGAACTCCTAAGGTCACAGTCAGCTGAACCTACACCAGCACATTCCGTATCATACAGCATACATATATCAGGCTCTACGCTGCTTTTCCCAGCTGCAATCTCATTAGAAGTGTTTGGTAATTTACCAACATTAAAGCCCTGTTCAGACGGGATTCATTTTCCATGGGGAGGTGGGGGTAATGGCAGTTTATCACAGGATGTCTGTAATGTTTACGACTGTGGATTAGAAATCTCAGTATAAATGACAGAGATAGGAGTGGTTACTCGAATTAAGCAACACATTTATGCCAGAAAAAAAGTAGAAAATGTTAAAACATTTATTTTAGCCATTATTCTGTTTACCCTAACCATCTGTCATGCTGTCTTAATGATAATCACTGGCATCACAATTAGCTTCGAAATTCACAGCCAAAAGTCAAGTTCACCGCATAAAACAAATGTGAAGAGAAAGGAATCAGCCAGTCTGTTGTAATAGCTGCTTGGATTTGTTGATGAAAAGAGTTTTCAGCTCCTCTCTTAATAAAGATGGTTCTACAAGGGTTCTCTAGTAAAGACAGTGGTTCTAAATAGAATCATGAACAATCAGAGAAGCATTTGCATGTTTAATGGGTTCTTTGCATTGTGAAATTGCTCTTCAGGTTGATGGAGAATTTGGTACTATAAAGAACCATATACAACACAAAGTGTTCTCCTATTGTTACAAGCCTGACAGTCTCATTAAAGGCGGTCAAATCTGCACTCTTTTATGCAAGTCTCATAAATAAGGACTGATATGTTTGTAAATTGGAAATATATGCATAGGAAGTATATTAAAGAGCAAAAAAAAACAACTATTCAATTTTGTTTATTTCTTTTTAAAAATATACTGAATACACAAATAAGATGGTAAGAACTATTTGCACAGTAGCAGAGTTCAGAAAAAATCAATATACAGAACGTTTTTAGATTTGAAAATGAGTGTATACACTATTAAATATCATCATCTTTTCTAATACTTAATGAAAAACCAATGCAGCTCAGTCACCACCTTCAGATTTGGCCATTGATGCATTTTTACTTTTGTAATATGCAAACACACTTGCTATGTAAAGCAGAGAAAAAGGTTGAGGGGGTGAGCTGACATGCTAGATGTGATAGTATTGTTTCGGTAGGTCAGCATAGTCAAATGAATGTGTCACTGCGAGTGGGTTTATGCAGCTGTACAGGACCAAAATGATATATGCTATACAAAGTCCTTTTCCACACAATGTAAATTGCCTAATACAGTGTCCTCTATGTTCTCTTCTTTCTCTCTACCTCTCAGGTGGGAGACACGTCATTTGACTTGCCCGAGGCGAACGTCTTGATTCAGATCTCGTCTCATGGAGGCTCTCGCCGTCAGGAGGCCCAGAGGTTGGGCAGAGTGCTACGTGCCAAGAAAGGTAACTCATGAACAGTTATCAAAGAACTCTCCGAAGCACAGAAACTGTCATCATGCATCCTTTCTGCTGCCCTGCGGATAATAGAAGGTGTGCTGTTCTGTGCAGGGATGGTTGCTGAGGAGTACAATGCTTACTTCTACTCACTGGTGTCTCAGGACACACAGGAGATGGCCTATTCCACCAAGAGGCAGCGTTTTCTGGTTGACCAGGGGTACAGTTTCAAGGTTTGTCTCTTGGCTCAGAAAAGAACTGACCAATTATGCGAAGAATCAATGATTTCAGCTGGCTTTCATTTTTATCGTTTAACATAGATAATTGATCTTAACGGTTCTTTAGCTTAGTATTTCATTCTAGTCTCAGACTTGACATTTTCTCTGACACTGCATAAAATACTGCATAGGCGCTTGAACAATGGAGCAATTGCAGCACCTGCACCCCCACTTTTATTAGAGAGTGAGAAAACATAAACGTCTGCTCCACCAACTGGTGCTAAAAGAAAGCTGTCACTTGAATGAGAGCAGGAAAGTTGCTCTTTACTGCAAGGTTTGATTGCACACAAGGTGCAGAAGAGGAGATTCAGGATTTGGCAGAAACAGTGCACAGTGGGATCAAACCACGGGCAAAGATAGCAAATGTCAGTAGTACAACCTAATGCAGCAAACGTCAACGTAACCTCCGCCCTTAACTTTGCTGTCCCACTTCCACACAAAATCAGGTGCAAATGACACTGTTATGTATAACAGGAGGCTGCCCAGCTAAAATCTTGAAGCCTTGGTTTTCTCAGAGCTTTTGTCCATTTTTATAGATAGTGACGTATCATACAGTGTCAGAAACCAAATAAGCAAATCTGTTAAAAATTTTTAAGTCACTTAACAGCTTGACTCAGTGCAATGATTTAGGCATGCAGTTTGCACAGTGCTAACTGCAAAGCAGTGGAGTATAAGCTGAAAGCTTCCATCACATGTTGGCAGTACACATATATGAACACACACACAAGTACTAAGTGTACAGAAAGGTGACAGTTGATAAATTATTAACAGCATTTATCGCTGTATTTGCAGTTTTACCTTTTGAACTGTCTCTGCTTCCACCCTGAAGCCCAGCTGCCCACAGGCCGCATGCTGCTGTAGACCTTAGAAGTTGTGTTTGTTATTTTGTAGTCATTGTCATGCCTATGTTAGAAAGTTTTAAAACCCATGAGTACTCTCCCGATCCTCTGAATTACGAGGTCAAGGATCTGAAACACCAACATTGCTACATTCCTGCTAATACTGCTGCAAACTGACCTGGCAGCATCACCACAATACACCCCCCAAACAAACTAGTGAGATTTTTTACATAGAATGGTGGTCTTAGCATTTTGACTAGTTGGTGCTGATATATAATAGTGGATGTGTTTACATGCAAAGATTTTTTCCAATCTGATTGAATAAATTGTGAGTATAGATTAAGACTGCGGTGTTCATGCTCACTCTACTCAACGATCTGATGGGAAATCTCTGTTTACATTCACACAACAAGTAATCCATTTCAAAAGTACACGCATGGGTAGAGAACCACTTAGTGTAGACGTTACCATGACAACGAGCATCATGTGAGTCCAGTCAGAGTGAGGCGAGCAGCAGTGAGCAGTGCTTGTGTTTTTAATTGCTTTAAAATGATGTCCGACTCAGGAAAACGTCCTTCTCATGTCCTTATTAAAGAAGGCCGAGAGGAAGACGTCGTGTTCTGAGACACATAAGCTGGACGTCCGTCCCACCGCCGTCTTTTAAAGATCAGAGCATAAACTTCGTCTCCTCTGCAGACCAGTTTCTGCTCCCACCATGTTGAACGGTATAAACTTCCAGTATGACGTGACGCACATGATGAGAATGTACTTAAACTTTCTGATTGGGAATGTAATCAGATACAGGTGTTTACATGGATATTATTCCTCTATTTAACAGATTATTTACAGGATTACCGACCTTGTTCAATCGGATAGGAATTGTATTCCGAATGGCCTCAATCAGACTAGTCTATTCCGATTGAGGTGTTTACACAGACGTATTCTATTCTAATTGAAATATTACTCAGATTATTAATGGATTATTAGGCATTAATAATGTCAGTGCACCGGAGTGTTGACTTGACTGTAGCGTGTATGTAGCATTATTCAACTGACCTTGTAATTCAGAGGATCCAGTGACACATGGGGGGGGGAAATATACACTGGACAAAACATAACGGCTTTTACACCAGAGAGCACAGTAGCAGCGGTGATTTTCCAAAATGCCATTTTTTTTTTCCACAGACTTCACAGAAATCAAGGTTTAGTTTTCGTGATAGACCACTTTGTTTCCAGAATTGTTAGAACATTTTGGAATGTCATATATGTTTCCCTTCATTCACAGGTGATCACTAAGATGGCAGGAATGGAGGAGGAGGATCTGATGTTCTCCACACGTGAGGAGCAGCAGCAGCTCCTGCAGAAGGTTCTGGCAGCATCTGACCTGGATGCAGAGGAAGAGGTGGTGACTGGAGAGATGGGAGGAAAACCACAGGTACACTCAAACGTTTTCTTCATCTTCCTCTACGTGTTTCTGCAAAGAATGCATTTCTTACTCCTCCCCACTTCTTACATTTATGCACTGGAGTTCTTTGTTCCTGAGGGGAGCCAAAGTCACAGATGTAGACAGGAGAGCACAAAGCATATATAAGCATGTTGTTTCAGAATCTAATACTTTGAACGTTTCTGCACTCTTAATGAGGCCTTTGAGGAAACATGTCACATGCAGTGTTGCTGAAACGGCACTGATAGAACAGCACCTGAGTAGCCTGAGTTGTTTTGTTACTGAAAGGGCTCTGTTGTGTTACTATAAATTAAACAGCGATTTGTACCTGTTCCAGATTAAGACATTGAGATGCTTAAAGAGGCTTAATTTTGTGATTTCTTAATTTCAAGTTCTACAATATTTGGACAGAAATCTTAGAGAAATCTTAATTGACCAAATTTCCCAACAAAATCTTATCCTGGTGCTTAGAAACTGTTTGAAGGAATGTGATTCCCCACGTTTTAGTCCATTCTGCCCAATCTGCTTACAATTTCAATGAGCCATTGATTTTGTTTTTTTTCTTTTTTTAAACAGTTTTCACAATGAAGAAGTTTCAAAAGCAAAATAAGTGACTTTTTATCAAGTGTGCTCACCTGAAATGTTGTAACTGTCTGGAAAAATAGTGCTTTGAAACATAAATCATGTTTTTCAAACTGTGACAGATGAGCCTTATTGGATCTCAATATACAGTCATATGCAAAAGTTAGAAAACCCCCATCAAACTATGTTTTGTTGTTTTTCTAAGTGAAAAAAACGGTTGACACATCCTCTATGGAGAACATACTTAAATAGGGCTATTTATCTGCTGGTCTGCCAATTTTAGTGCACAATTTCTACTTTGAGTTTATAGCTGCACTATGTAAGATTTTAAAATGGAAAAAAGTGGCATTTCCTGAGTCAGGAGATGTTTGTGTGCTGCTGCGAGTCGCCCTGTAAAGCCTGAGATAATCATTTTAAAGCCATTTTAAATTTTAAAGTCAGATTTCACAGGGGTTTTTGGACCCCATCTTACATTTTCACACATTACCATCTCAAAAAGAAGGTCCAACTCAATAGTTAGGTCTCAAATACAAAATCAACATTATACTGATGAAGATATGATGACTGTAGTAGATAATTCACTTACATCCTCAGAAGATACGTCCTTCACCAAGTCTGGATTGAGTTTTGTTTTACTCTTTCAACGAGCTTGCAGTCAGATTCATCTGCTTGGGGAAGGGGTCTGAAGCATGTTGTGTGCAATTACACATTTCCACCAGAGAGGTCCCCAAATCCCCCAAACCTATAGTGAAGCTTTAACATGTTAGAAAAAAAGAAAATATAAAATATGCTACAACTTTTGCTCAGACCACATTTTTGTTTTCATTTTTTGTTAAATCAGCAAACAAACAGGACTATGCATCAAAATGTGCAGAAACTGTTTCTATTTCCTCCCTCTCTGACTTTTCTCTTATTCTGTGTCCAGTTTTCACGCAGGCCGGGCACCATGAGCTCCATGTCAGGCGCTGATGACGCCGTCTACATGGAGTACCAGGCTTCTCGCGGTAGCAAGGGAGCGGCCAACAAGAGTGTCCACCCTCTCTTCAAGCGCTTCCGCAAGTGACCTCTTCATGGCTCTGGATAGGAACAGTACTGCCACCCTGAAGGGGATTTTCTCCATCACCCCAAATAGCGGGCTCTCTCACTAAGGAGGCTGGGGCAAGATTTTGCCCGAAACATGGTGGGAAGAGTGAGGAGAGTGGTTGGTCTTTGATGGGGATTAGCATCAACCAAAGGACTAATGGGAGAGAAAAAGAAAAACTGACCAAGACTCTACTGTGTGTATTTTTTTTTGATCTTAAGAGAGATACATGCAGAGCTTTGTAAGGCAAAATAGTCCACAAAGAACAGTCCAGATTTACCACTGTTTACAGTTTTATTTTATGTTGCATATAATTTTTTGGACATTTCGCAACTAACTGGCTATATTTGAGTTATACATTTTAGGACCCCTGGTTCCCATCACCACCACTGAAAAGAAATTTGAGTCAGTAAGCTTCTTTGCATTGAAGCATTTTTTCATCAAACAACAGTGACCTTGCGCGTCTCAGCAATTGAATTATGCAGAAATTATGCAAAACAATAGCTTTGGGAAACTGTTTTAAGCACTTCTTTAAAGCCCATTACAAGCAGAATCTGGTATATCGGAAAAGATGGGAAATTGTGTAATTCAACTCTGTGGTAACCCATGACTGATTATATGTATGGATGTAAAATATGTTCCATACTGCTGAAGAAGGGGTGTATTTTTTTGAAGAGGTGAGACGTCCTTACTGACTGTTGAATTTAATGTCTTATTTCATGGAAATAAAAATAAAAATGTTTTTGTAATGCTGAGAATTGCCGTGTAGTGTGTTTAGGTGAATACAAGCGCTGTAATCACATTATAAATGGATGCTAAAGGAGCAAAGAGACATGCTCGTAATTGTTTCAGCCAGCAGGGAAGAGAAGCAGATCCTGTTTTCCCTCTCCGGCTTTGGGTTGGTTTAATGGATGCTAATTGCAAAAACTTCACCTCAGCTGCACTGTTGCACTCTGCACAGTTCTGTGGCTGCCAAATTGGTTAAAATACTTCATGCTTCTTAGGTTTCCGTTAAATGCCTTCATCTCCTGTCGTGTAAAAATGTGTTCCCAAATCACGTTCCCTGGGTAAATTCTGTATTAAAGGAAATCGTTTGGAACCACATGAACCTCCTTAACAAACCAGAGAGCAGTGTTTCAAAAAACAAATCAGCGTCTGGCCATAAAATTGGATTGAATCCTCGCACTTGCAAATCAGTTACCAATCTGGGCAGAATTTTGGGATTTAATTGCGATCCAACAGTAAAAAAAAAAAAGCCTCATATTGCACTAATGGGCAAATGAAGCATGAATCTATGAATTAATGAATCCGACTCTGCATCACAATCCATATATATGTCATATATCAAAGTCATATAATGAAATTCTTACTCTTGTTATATGAGGTGCAATGAAAGAAACACAAAGTCGTATGTGAAAGTTGGAGCATCCCTGGTCAAATACCATGTTTTGATGATTTTTCTAAATGAAAATAAGTGAACAGATCCTCTACAGAGATCACACTTCTTCATTTCATTTTTAACATGTTCCCCCAAATAGGGTAAAAAACTGACATTGTGCACTGAAATGTGTAAAAAAATAAATGAATAAAATAACTTTTTCTTATTTAAGTTTGCTCTCTGCAGACGATGTTACTTGTTAGAAGATGTAACTTATTCTCACTTTAAAAAAATCAAGAAAACGTAATTTGACTGAGGTTTTCAAACTTTTGTTCAAACCTTTTTTTTTCTCTCTCTCGGTGACGGGGGTGGGGCTGGTGGGCGTGGGTGAAGTGTGATAGTATTGGTTAATATGAGTGTTCCCTGCCAGCTGGTGCACAAAAATCAGCCTCCAGGACAACAGAAATTTTGTCTTGTGCTATGATTAATCATGCTGATTCGTGCTGGCATGAACTAACAATATGCAACACAAAAAAAGAATCTGATTTGTTTATTTAACTGACAAAAGTACAAAGAAAGAGTTCCATTGTTTTTACTGATTGAAGAAATTTAGAATCTGATGTCTACGATGCACTCAGAAAAGATGGGATCATACATCACGTTTCCTTTTAATTACTTTTAAATGGTTTGGACATTAAAGGTTAATATTTTTTGCAGTTGTGCCCATTTTTGCTTGATGCAAGACTTCTCAAAACTGCTCAACAGTCTGTGGTCATCTTCGTCTGATTCTCCTCTTCATGATGCACGATACATTTTCAACAGGAGACAGATCTGGACTGTAGGCAGGCCAGTCAAGCCCACACGCTCTGTGTACAAAGCAACACTGTTGTAACATGTGCAGAACGAGGCCTGGCACTGTCTTGCTGAAATATCTATAGACTTCCCAAGAAAAGACGTCATCTTGAGGGCTAATATATGTCTTTGCATCAATGGTACCCTTGCATATATGGAAATGACTCATGCTGTGGGCACTGATGCACCCCCATACCATGATAGATGTCACTGCTAAAAGTCTAGATGGTCCCTTTCATGTTTGGAATGGAGAACTTTTTTTTTCCTTTTTCCCCAAAAACAAGCTAAATCATGGGCTCATCTGACCACAGCATAGATTTCTACTACCTTTTTGACCATCTGAGATGAGCTTGGGCCCAGAGAACTCGGTGGTGTTTCACCATAGGATTGATTAAAATGTCTTTCTCCTTGTGTAATAGAGTGGTAAGCTGCATTTCTTGACGCAATGGCGGACTGTGCTAAGTGACAATGGTTTTCCAAAGTACTCCCTGAGCCCATGTGGCTATATTGACACAGCAGCATTACAGTTTCTCATGCAGTGCTGTCTAAGGGCCTGGAGGTCATGCACCTGCAACAGTGGTTTTTTTTTTTTGGATTTTTACTATATTATGTACGGGAGATGGTGAAAAACCGAAATTCTTTGTAATCTTGCGTTGAGAAATGCTCTTGTTGAACTGTTTGACAATTCTGTCATGGAGTTTGGCACAAAGTGTTGAGCCGTGACCCAGCATTGCTCACGAAGACTTAGCCTTTCAAAAATGGTGTTTCAAAATGGTGTAACTTAATTGTTCTATAAACTTTTTACTCTTGTTTTGACCTTGTCCCAGCTTTGAGTGTGTTGCAGTCATCAAATTCACATTTTGTTAATATTTACAAAATATAATCAAGTTGGTCAGCAAAAACATGGTCATTTTTTAGTACTTTTGTCAGATAAATAAAGAGAATTGACGAATCACAGATTCTTATTTTTATTACATTTTACAAAATATCCCAACTGCTGTACCACAGCAGAGCTGTGGAGAGGAATGTTTTGGTTAGATAGCAAATTGCGAGTAAAAGTTCTCATGTGTGAGGCACGGCTGGAGCCAGACACAGCCTTTAATAAAGTCTACAGGAGTGGAACGCTACAGTATGTTAACAAGATCTTATTCCAAGTGACTTGAACCATTCCTATTAGTCCATTTGCTCACACAATGTAAAAGGCAGCTTTTTCAAAACTTCCAATGGTGTAAAAAAGGCAGGTTTGATAGAATATAATGTTCTCTTCCATAAAAAAGTATAAACAATATGAATAATTAGGAGTGTCCAGTCCTATCTGGAAAGGGCTAGTGTGGCTGCAGGTATTCATTTCAAACAAGCAGGAGCACACCAGGGGTCTCACAAAGCAGGATTTCTGGCTTAGCTAGCTTTGAATTTAAGATTTAAGCTTAGTTCAGCCTACCATGGATTTTCTAACTCATGACAGTGGATCTCTTATTACTGGGATACACTGCCATGGTAACTTATCCTGCATGCCTAACCTGCTCCAGAGCAGGTTAAGTTCAGGAATTAGGCCATAAACAGCTCTTGTACCAAACAGGAAACTTCGACCAGTCAGGGACTAGTGGAGGTTGACCCTGCAGTCACTTTTTTGTGGTGTCAATCACATGAAGAACATTACTTTTCAGCAGAGAAAGCAAATCGTCCTACATAGATAAGAATGAAAAACAATCATTACTCCAATAAGCTCTAAGACAGCATGGCTGTGAAATAAGCTGCTCAACTTCCCATGTTTCATGCGACTGGCTGCTCATCATGAACATCACGCTTTCGCAAGGATTAATCACAGTTTTTTGTTAACTGTCTTAAAGTGGAATTCCACTAATTTTGCAACATTTCCGAATATTTCAGTCCTTGCGTTGTAAACAGAGTCTTTCACAGTGGCTTGACATGAAATAGTTAATTGTAGAGAAACTTACAGGCTCTGATTTCTTCTCAGTAATGCTGATAGGAACCAGGGGTTGTCTAAAACACACAGTCATTTTATTTACCAAAACCACCAGTGAACCTACATGTGCCTTCTGGGTTTTTAAATGTAATGTTGATGATGGTAAAATAGTCATAAATCTGGAAAAAAAAGGTTTTCTTTGGGGACGATTTTTCCTTACAACATCCTGCATGTACCCATCCACCATTAATCCATTGAAATAAATGGATTAAAATACATTTTAAGCCAAAACTTTACCAAAAAACTATCATAAAACAACATGTCAGACATCAGGCAGCATAATATCGAACCATTTCATGTAATAACGTTTTGTAAAGGAGCCTTTAGATGCTATAACCTCTTCAGATGTCTGGTTCCCATCACCACCACTGTGACCAAATCTGACTCTGTAAGTTTCTCAAGTACAGAGCATTTCACTCCAAATTGCTCTGAATGACTTTATTTACATCTCAACCATTAAATTATGTAGAATTTTTTAAAAATCGGTGGAGTTCCCCTTTAATAAAATAAGTTAACCTCCTTTCCATTTCTTAGGTTTTCTGAAGCTGCAACTTTTCAACAGGTCTCTGGGCCCCAAATTCCATGAATTAAATGAAGTGATGTCACACAATTGATCTCCTGCTTTGTTGAAAACTTGCAAACACTAGTTTCAAAACCATAAACCATTAATCATCAACTTTTTAGGCAGAAAATGCTTGGTCATAGTTTTGATGCTGTGGTCGCTTAGAGGTAACTGTAGCCAGAGTGATTAATATTCTAATGCGATTGAAAGGACAAGGGGGCTGATCCCAGATTTGCACTCCATCCAAGTGACTGGATATGCAGCCAAGAAATCGCAGCCATAATCTACATTTCTCGTGGCAAATAAACCAGCCCATTATCAGCTGAACTAAGTGAAGCATATGGTTTACAGTTAAATAAAGATTAGCAGTAATGTACAGGGGCGGATAGTGGTCTTGCAAAACCTCTAGAAACAAGCATCTCTGAAGGCCCCTGAACAATGAATGGCAGCAATAACACATAATTAATCAATCAATAAATCAATCAATGAAACAAGACCAAGGTGATGATTCTTTTTTTGTTTTGAAAATAAACTGAATTAGCCTTATTAAACTTTCTGTCTGATTAAACTGCTAAGATGTAAACAAGGGTATGAGTTGGTTTGGAAATCAGTTTTTAAATTTCTCTACAATGAACCTTTTTACATCAAACCAGTCTGAATAACTTAATTTTAAAAAACAGTGGAATTCCACTTTGATGCACAGTATTATGTGATTATTATGTCTATATCATAACAGTGCTTTTTGTGTAAGGTTTATAAGGCTAAACACAAACGTCAAACAAGATTCTTTCAAGCCAAATAAAAAGATGTGTAAGTCATAACTATTATAAAGTAATAATAAAAAATACTTGAGGTTCCTGATAGCAGATGACATTTCTTCATTTATTAATGTACTGAGTCATTTGTACACATTTCATTTATCTAATGTTTACCTCTGCAGTGGACTGGGCTGAATATTTGTGCCACCCCCCCACCCCCCAGGCCGTGGACAGAGGCCCCTGGGCAGGGGCCAGGTTAGTAATCCGTACCTGGTCATGTAGAAATGTTTGGGGGCAGTTGAGGACGTGCTTGTTCTTTGTGCTCTCACACATGTACAGAGGGCTCAAAAGGCAGGAGAACAGTCCGAAAAATCCTTTAAGCTGGTGTTCACCAGATTCGCCAGCATTTCCTACTGTTCTCTGCTTAGAATGTGGTTGTGTTCTGGTTTTGTGATGTGGGTAAAATGACTAAGGAGAAAAGGTGACCTGGAACCACATTGAGCTTTCCACACACAGAGATACCCCATTGTGCCTGTTTGCTTTTGTCCAGTGGAAAAACTCCTCAGATCTCTAATCACAGCAGTTATGTTATTAAGATTTACTACCTATTTCTTAGTCCTTTTTTATGTTTTTTTGGGAGGTGGGGTCAGGTGAGGGGGGGGTTGTTACTGCTGGTGATGGCAGAATGCTGACTCAGCATTTTCGCAGTACTGTCAGCGTGTGCAAAGGCCTTTTCCTTACATAATTGCAAAAGATTTTTGATTTTTTTTTGGTGCAATTTTTAATTTCCCTGCCCACTTCACCCACTAACTTCACCTGTTCACACTGCTGTGCATTCCTGTTACATAATATTAGCACCAACCTGGAAGGCCAAACACACCTCTCTAAAGTGCGAGTGAGGAGCCTGACCTTTGGGTATTGGCCGATATTTCATTTTTATATATATATATATATATATATATATATATATACACACATCTTGTCAGGAAAAATATATATCTATGTGTCACAATTATTCAATTATTCTTAGAGTACAATCTAACCAATGTATATTCACATTCATATTTTATGTTTTTAAGTTCACCTAAGTGATTAGGAACACTTAAATTGTCAGCCATGACTTCCTGATTCACTAGGGAATGTATAAGATAGAACATAGGCCAAATTCCCTCAGTCATCCATCACTATGAGAAAGATCAGAGAACACAGCTATGATGTGGAATCAGGAAAAGGAATCAGGAAATGGCTAAAAGAAAATAGCTAACGTTACTGAAACTTTCAGTGGGACCATGTTCAATGGTCAGATGAGACAAAAATAGAAGTTTTTGGCAACAAACACCAGAGGTGAGTTCAGTGTGGACATAAAGAGAGCCATGCAGAAAAGTAGCCCATCCTGACTGTGAAGTATGGTGGTGGATCTGTGATGTTGCAGGGCTGTTGTTCTTCCAAAGGCCTTGAGCAGTTTATTCGGATACACGGTATCACTGACTCCATCAAGTACCAGCTGAAGTAAAATCCTGACTACCTGCCTGTCTCAGCCAGGAAACTTAAACTGGGCCATAATTTGGATCTGCCAGCAGGACAATGATCCAAAGCACGCCTTTGATAACTCCATAGAAAATCTGTGGGATGAGCTGAAGAGGAGAGTCCACAGTGTGGAACACAGAATCTGATGGATCTGGAGAGGGTCTGTATGGAGGAGTGGTCTCAGATCCTTTGTCATGTGTTCTCCAGTCTCATTAAGCCTTATAGGTGAGAATAAAAGCTGTTATTTTGCAAATGGAGGCTACACAAAATATCAAATGAAGGGCACAATTATTGACAAAAATTGAAAAATATTTATTTTCTGGTGAGATTTAGTTTTTTCTATCATTGTATTTAAAAAGATATGTGTTCATATTTTAAATGAAAAATGAAAAAGATAAGCAGTAAAGCGTTTTTTTACAGCCTGTGTTGTATAAGTTTCTCTATAGCACCAAAAAGGTTCTTCTACTGTTACAAGCTTGGCATTGTAAGAATAGAAGAACCCTTTTCGGTGCGACATAGAACCATAAACACATGATTCACATCACACCAGCCTGAATTACTGTCTCAACGACTGGATCAGCAAAACCTTTGAAGAATGGGCAGAATTCCTCTTTTATACTTCTGCCAGCAGAATATTCCAACTTCTACTGGCTCCGATACAAGCCTAATATTCTTTGGGCGCTTTTTAGTTTCGAGTTTCTAGGAGTTTTCTAGGAAAACACTGGCAAAGAGTTTCATTTACACAGCAAAAAAGGACGAATAATGTGAGGCACTTCAACACCATAAAGCCTCACTCATTAGAAGCCAAAACTGAGACACGTGTTGAGGCAAAAACTCTCATTCAGCGATCATTTAGAAGGAAAATCGCTCCTTATGCTCTGTGTTCAGTTCTGCAGCGGTGTTACAAGTAATACGGTCGGGGTGGGGTCGATCAGCTCACACCCCCAACTTTTTTCAACATGTGACATAACAACATTCGCCCTATAGCCAAGTACTGCCGGTCTTGGCTCACCCCACCGCGGGGACACCCACCAGCCTCCGCCCCTTCGTGTGAAATCTCCCGTGTCTGCCTTTGGTCTTTCTGTGGATCCGATTACACCTCCGTGGATCTTTTAAAAGTCGCTGCTCTGGTGTTCTCCAAACACGCCTTCTTCTCCTCTCAGAGGTGCAGCTCGCCTCAGTTTGGAAGACGCTTGTGTAGCTCACTCTCCCAGTCTCTCTGTGTCTGTTCTGAGTTTCCAGCATGGCTCTGACCGCCTCTCTGCTGAACGCTGCTCTGCTGCGGGGTGCGAGCTCCACTCGGCTCCTCCTGCCGGTCTCTGCGCTTCACGGCTCGGCCAGCAGCCGCTCTCTGGAGGCCGCCACAGCCGCCCCCGCCGCCCAGCCCGGTGTCTCCGAGGAGCTGGCTGAGGGTCGCCGTGTCAAGAGCCTGCGAGAAATGCCTGGACCCAGCGCCATCGGCAACCTCGTCGAGTTCTTCTACCGAGACGGTTTCAGCCGCATCCACGAGATCCAGGTGCGTGAACGCTTCCCTTTAGCAAGCATTTGTCTGTGAGAAAGCTGTGCAAACTACCGAGCCTCTAAAAGTAGTTTGCAACGACATTACGTGCACACGAAAAAGCTTTGCGTTCCCACCCAAAATCCACTGCATTTGCAAGGGAACGCAAAATCATTGCGAAAGAACGCAGTGCCGTTTCTTTACACTGCCCTTTAGGGCTCCGTAGTAACCACTGTTCAGCTGTTGAAACAATGAAAACGTGTTGCTGAAACCTTGCTTTACATTTAAAGTGGTTCTGTTTAGAACCACGGGTTCTATATACATTTCATGCTTAAAGAGTTCGTTGCATGCTGAAAGATTCTTCAGATTGATGGAGAACGTTGTATAAGGTTCTCTATAGCACCTAAAGGGTTCTTCTGCTGTTACAAGCTCATCATTTTCAAAAAGGTTCCACATAGAACCATGGACAACATATCCTCCATCAGTCTGAAGGACCATTTCACCATGCATAGAACCAGTTAAGCATAAAATGGTTCTATGTAGAACCATTCCCTTTACTACCCATTGAACAACCATCTCTTTTAAGAGATTCAGATTGATGGAGAATGTGAGTGTGTCGTTCTAAATAGCACCAAAAGGGTTCTGCTATTGTTACATGACAAGCTTGTAACAATAGAAGAACCCCCAACTGTATACAACTGTTTCACCATGCAAAGAACCAATTAAGCATGAAATGGTTCTATGTAGAACTCAGGGTTCTTAATAGAAACATTCCCTTTACTGCCCCTTGAAGAACCATCTTTTATTAAGAGATTTAGATTGATGGAGAATGTGTTGTAAATGGTTCTAAATAGCACTAAAATTGGTTCTTCCATTGTTACAAGCTTGTCATTGTAACAGTAGAAGAGCCCTTTTTGGTGCTATATAGAACCGTTTAAAAAAGGTTCCACGCTGAACCATATACATCACATTATTCATCAATCGAAAGAACCATTTCACTATGCAAAGAACCAATTAAGCATAAAATGGGTATGTAGAACTTAAAAAGACATACCCATAGACATACCCATAAAATGGGTATGTCTACGTAGAACTTATGGTTCTAGATAGAACAATTCTTTTTACTACCCCTTGAAGAACCGTCATTTTTAAGAGTGTAGAATGCTGATAATTCATTATTTGGAAGAAACAGAAAAACATTCTTCTCCGTATTTTTAAAGAGGCTCTCCATACAAAATAGAAACATAAGCACTACTATCAGTTGTAAACGTGGCTATTCGCCTCCTGAACTGGTGCCACAGGAGTCTCTACAGTGAGATTTTTCCAGTTTGGAAGAAGTTTTTCAAAAACTGCTTCTGCCTTGCGTGTGAATCCTTGTCCCCAGTATCTGGCTAATAGAGAAGGAAGCCAGATAGCTAACATTACTGCTTGGAAGCCAAATATCATGTCTGTATTTTTAGCCTCTGCATCAGTGGCTAGTCAGGATTTCTTTACTGCTTTACTTCTTTAGTGAAGGGATTCCCAGATGTTGTATGTGGTATTTGAGTCATACATGCTGGGCTGGATAGTCAGAGAACATTAATGGACCAAAAACATAAAAAGGATACAAAATTTTGAATTCTGTCAACCCGATGGCGATCTGGGTAGTGAAATGCACTGGTATGAACTGCTGTGTGATGCTAATGCTACAGCCAGTCCACACATTTGCTGAGTAATCGAGTAATTGCCGTATTACTTTTGGAGTTCCGTAAAGTCTTTGCTGCCTTGGCTGAGTGCGCCAGAGCCAAGCGGCTTAAGGGTGACCCTGCATGAACTGGGATCCTTCAGAATTTGTTTAGCCATGCCAGCGGGAAGTGTGTGTGTGTGTGTGTGTGTGTGTGTGTGTGTGTGTGTGTGTGTGTGTGTGTGTGTGTGTTGACCCCTTAATAATTTACCCAGTCATCAAAAAAGCCCGAAACACAGAATTTGAAAGTTGTACCAGACATTCAAGAGGTGTATTCTTCAATTTTTGTGTTGCAGTTTTAGTCCAACTGAATGTTCCTGGAGTGGCCTGTTAGCCTATTAACCGTCTGCTGAGCTCCTCAGCCTAGAATAAAACCAAACCTTTTGATATTTACTTTTTATTCATGTACACACAATTTGTAACAACAAACATCGAATGAAATCTGCAAACTGAGATCCCCTGTGTGGAGAATCTGCTATTCTATTATTCACGTTGTGAGCGAATCACTAAGCTGATTAACAGAGGATTTTAAATTCATTTTTCAAAATCAAGTAATCCATTTTAATCGTAAAATTGTGGCAGCCAGAGATTGTAGAACAATAAAACCTTTTGCTAAGCCACTCTTAATTTTTGTCATTACGACCTTGGCTGGTGAGTTCAATCATTACCTCCCTCTCTTTCTCAATTTCTCTCTTTCTCTCATTCATTATCTCATAGCTGGAGCACAGCCAGAAGTATGGGAAGATATTTAAGTCACGCTTTGGGCCTCAGCTGGTGGTGTCAATTGCAGACCGAGACCTGGTGGCGCAGGTGCTGAGGGCCGAGGGCGTGACCCCTCAGAGAGGAAACATGGACTCCTGGAAAGAGTACAGAGACCTGAGGGGCCGCTCCACCGGCCTGATCTCAGCGTGAGGCCCAGTTTCTTAACTTTGCATGTCTGCGTGCTCAAACATAACATACTGAGCAGTCAACAAAAAAAGTACAGCTTGAAATCTTTTAGCATTGTTAGTAAAGGGGTGCAAAATGGCAGAAATATGATGATAGTTTAGGGCTAGATGGTTTAATGGCACTGATCAGATACCTGCAATTTCAGGAAAAGGAAAAAAGGCCAAAACATTTGGGCCAAAAAAAAGCAAAAGATTAAATACATCTACAGTGAAGAGTTAAATCACTTAAATGGTAGTGAAAATGAGAAATAGTGATTAAAAATTCAGTTTGTTTTCTTCACTTTTAAATAGTTTGAATTGCTGCAGATCAACAGTGAATTGCAAAAAAAATGCCTTAAATGAATGCTTTTCAGCATTAACTGATTTAATGAAATTCTTCAAAGGAAATCAAATAAATAATACTGAATAACTCTCTAACTATCTTTTGGTAATACACTTTCTACCTCTGTTTTTAAAAGTTTTCTTAATGCTTAAAATTTTTGTAATGTTGCAAATTTGAATATTATTTTAAAATGTTTTAAATTAAATTAAATTAGTCCTCTAGTTCTGTCAGTTCTCTTTCCTAACATGGGTTTATTCCCTTTTAAGCATTATTAGCTTTATTATATTAATTAAACAGCAAAAGAAACAGCAAATTATGCATAAAAGAACCCTTTCTTTCGGTTTTTGGTTACAGTTTTCAGCTATGCATGTCCTAAATTTCAGTTTTGGTCAAGAATTTGAATTGATTTAATTGAATGTTTAAGTGATGCAGAGCTACTGTGCTAAAATACCAGCATTTTATTCATTTCTCTGCGTTTGTAACTCCCCACAAGTAACTATCTTATGTATAAGTATTATGGAATTTCATGATTTTTTTTTTTTTGGAAACAAAATAATGCACTTTAAGTAAAGCAACATTTGGGGAAAAAAGGCAATTGTTTAAATTAATAAGATAATGGCATAATATCCATTCAGCTACTTGTTATTATGTGGTTACTGTACATGTTTACAGGCTCAAAATCTAGATATTTTATGATACATGCAGTTGTTCAATTTATCATAAACACAGATCATCATAATGCCATAAATAGGCACTTTCTATGAAAAATTTCTTGTCATGAGTCTCTTTTGCAAAATTTGATTATAATGACCAGGAAAGAGTAAATCGATGTCTCTGTTTCCTTCTTTCCAGAGAGGGTGATGATTGGCTGAGTATGCGCAGTGTGCTGCGTCAGCTGATCATGCGTCCACGCGACGTCGCTGTTTTCTCTGATGACGTTAACAGCGTGGTGGCCGATCTTGTGGACAAAGTGCGCAGACTCCGCCGCCAGCAGCCTGATGGACTCACTGTCCTCAACATCAACGATCTGTTCTTCAAATATGCCATGGAAGGTCAGTCTCTCATTCATTAAAAGGCTGTTAAAATACTTCTTCAGATTCAGTTCTGTTTTGAACAACATTCATATACGGTCATTCGCAAACGTTTGGGCGCCCCCTGATCAAATCACGTTAGGGAAAATATCTAATTGCGATTTTTTTGGACTAATATTGAGACTGCATTTTTGTATTGCGATTATTTTTTATAAATTAAGGGTTTTTACTTTAGACCACCAGTAAATTTTATTTGTGATGTCACAACACACATTCATTTTGGCAAATTAGCACATGTTGATGGAGTTCCTAACTACATAAATCGGATCAGATAAAGGCAAATCGGACAGGAGCACTTTGCCACTTTCCCATGCTCAGCTCATCGGAACGCGAGTAATGGGAGGGTACATTTAGCTAAAATCATGTGTGCATGGAAGTGCACCTTTCCACAAGCACGCAGGCGTGATCATGCACGCTCAGCTTGTATTATCCAACAATGGCAGATTCTGTAAGCATTTATATCTTGCTGATTAATCCGACTCAAAGCCTTGGCAGCAGAATGGCCAAAGGGAATGAAAGGTTCCAAGAACTTTTTAATCCATTTATTCAAGCCCTTTGGTTTTGGGGTATATTGGCTTTTGCTTTGTTTACGTGCTTCAAAGACTTAAGAATTTAATTGCCACGGGATGGAGAAGTGAATGTTGTGCACAAGATCTTCTCCATTTAACCTTACGCCAAAGAAAAGCTTAGCTTGCAGTTAACATTAACTATTTATTTGCTAATTTGCTCAACTATTATTTATTTATATTAACATGCTAGAAAAAAGTAGAATGAAATGCAACATGCAAAATTATGGGCATGTGCCACACTTTATGTCTCGTTTCTTTCCAGTTCAATATTCGGAAAAACATATTTAAGTTTGCTTTCCATGCAGAATATGTTAACTTCAGGAAATGTTTTTTACTAAATTAACAAAATGTTATTTGACTGAGGTGCCCAGATTTTTGTCATTTCAATGCAGAAGCATGTTTAGATGATGTCATGCAGATTTGAAAATAAAGATATTAAACATTGTTAGCTTTGATCTTATGTGCACATATGGTGCATAACCTGCTCAAGTCAGATAAGTTACAAAGTACATTTTGGCCCTAGTGGCTTTCCATAATGCTTTACCTTAACCTCCATACCAAAGTTCATTGGAATTGAATTAATTATGTGGCGCAACATCCTGTTAACTACTTTTTTTGTCTTCTTTTTTTTAAATTAAAAAATGTACTCTCAGGTGTGGCATCTATCTTGTATGAGACTCGTCTGGGCTGCTTGGAAGATGAAATTCCCAAGATGAGCCAGGAATACATCAAAGCGCTGCATCTCATGTTCAGTTCCTTCAAGACCACCATGTACGCTGGGGCCATCCCCAAGTGGCTGCGCCCTGTGTTCCCTAAACCTTGGGAGGAGTTCTGCAGCTCCTGGGACGGCCTCTTCAAATTCAGTAAGCATGTTTGGGATTCTGGGATAGTGGGGATGTGGACTAGGGCCTGACTGATTTATCAAGGTTACACGGGTATTGGCCAACATGCTGCCACTAAAACAGCAATACTTGTAAAAGTCAACTCTTAACTGTATCAGCAAAGCACTGTTTGATAACTATCAGGTAATGGGAAAGTCGGGCAATGTAAAGTAAATTTAATGCTAAAAAGCAAGAATTGTTTTTTTTTACACATTTTTAGTTTAACGCATGAAAGTCAGTGGAAATGTAGGTAATGATTATGATATGAGCTGTAGTCTAACCAGGTTTCAGGCAGTTAGAATAGCCAGCTCTCTTTACTCAGAGAGTCACTGTAAAACTGCAACATACAAGGTAAAATATCTAATATGTTTCAAATAAAGCTTCAAATAAAATATCTAAGGTCTTTTACAAGTTTCAGGTGTCTGTGTTTAATTTAGAAGAGCAAAAAAAAATCATACGCACCATAATTAGCTTAGCACTAATATACTACTAGAAATCCCATAGAGGCGCTAATTGTTATTAGAACTGAACAGTTAATTGTTTTTAAATCAAAATCTCAATTGAAAGTACAATTTTCAAATCACAAGAGTTGCAGTTTTAATTACACAAAACTTGAGAACTGGCAGTCTGACACTACATCCAGCATTTAGACCTCAGGCCTGAAAAATGAATGTGCTGGTCTTCTTGAAGGGGGGAAAATGCCAGGAGCTTAATTTATTGAAAATGATCACATTTTAAATCACAATATTAGTCAGAAAAACTCCAATTAGATATTTTCTTTTTTTGCCTGGTTATGGACTGAAGTGAAGGTCCTGCCTTTAGTCAACTGGTAAAATATTACTGAAAATCATAACTTTTAGCTCCTTAAAATCAGTATTAGTAACAGAATGTTCATATTGGTCGAGCTCTAGCACTGAGGACTTTGCCTCCTCCTGAAATAATCGGCTTGTACTTGGAGCTAGCTAAAAAAGTACTTGTGTTTTCTCAGGCCAGATCCACATTGACAGGACGTTGGCAGACATCAAAAGGAAGGTGGAGAAGGGCGAGGAGGTGAAAGGTGGGCTGCTCACTCACTTGCTGGTCACCAAGGAGATGAATGTGGAAGAGATCTATGCCAACATGACCGAAATGCTTCTGGCTGGTGTGGACACGGTGAGAATGCACGGTTTGGGTGGCTGGACTGATTACCAGAGAGGCATAAAGGGTCTTTTCAGAGTTTTTTAAATGTAGTTGTACATTCTGGAATAGTTTGCTTACTGCAGGCTGAACAGCTATAGTGCCAGCCCTCTGCCAAAGGCTGGAGTGCTAGCCCTTTTCTGCCCAGCTGTAAACCCTTCTCAAAGGCCTTCCTGCTGTGTGTGAAAGAGAGAGAGAGAATGAGAGAGAATGAATGAGTGAGACTTTATTACAAAGAAGAGCAACTCAAAGCTCCTTTGGGGAATTTCAGCTTTGTTCTCATGAACTCTTCCTCAGTGGTCAAATCATAGCAGGGGGCAAATCCGTCAAGTCTCTGTGGAAGTCTGTGTGACCTTCATCTTTTTCTTTCTTTTTTTTCGTCTACATATGGAAGAGACAGATAATGGGCACACGCACTGTGATAATGTAAATGAATCTGACCCCTAATAAATCTATGTCTTATCTGTTTTTCCTTCCCTGCAGACTTCCTTTACATTATCATGGAGCACGTACCTTCTGGCCAAGCATCAGACAGTGCAGCAGCAGATCTATGAGGAAGTGACAAATGTGCTGGGTGGGCGGGTCCCAACCGCTGATGATGTTCCTCAGCTGCCACTCATTAGGGGGCTGGTCAAGGAAACCCTCAGGTAAGCACCACTCATTTATCACTCGTTGAAATAATGAGTATTTTTGTTTTAAATTGGTAACTCGCTTATTCAAATATTCAAAATGGTAATCATTTAATGATCAGTATTACACTGTCAGGTAAAAAGGTAGTAAACTGTCACTGGGGCAGTGCCCCTCTCGTCACTGGGGTGGTACCTTCAAGGGTACATCTCAGTACCTTTAGTCAGGGAACATAATTGCACCATAATCCCTGGTAGTTTTTGCAGTTTTTGAGCATCTTAGAAATTTTTATTTAGAATTTGAAAAAACTCCTTTTCTGTTTTTTTTTGTTTTTTTTTTAACAGTTGTGTTTTCTTTTTCATTACGTTTGCATTTTCAGTTAAATTTTATCCCAGAACATAAATAAAAACTCAAATAATTCAATAATTTGTGCGGCTATAAATTAATACATTTTACATGGAATACATCTAATCAGAAATATAATGCAGAAATATAATCTGCTTTGAGCACAAAGAATTCATTTTTTTTTTTTTTATTATTGAACTTGTTTTTGGGTCTGAACTCATCTTTCACTGTCTGTCTGTCCCCTGCAGACTTTTCCCTGTTCTTCCTGGTAATGGCCGTGTCACTCAGGACGATCTCGTTTTGGGAGGTTACTTCATCCCTAAAGGGGTAAGATTACAGTGCATGCTGGTGTGTGGGCTGTATAGATCAGCATGCCCTGATGTGCCATTAAAAGGTCTATTTGTCATGAAATGTTCACACAGTGTAAAACTTAGCTTGCTTTTTCACATGAAATAGAGCTAGAAGTACAATAGAGTAACAGAATAAAGATAAATGTCATTGCAAGTTGGCAGACTGTGGCCTGTAATATCATTTTCTATCTTTATCTCAGACTCAGTTGGCTCTTTGTCATTACTCCACCTCTATGGATGAGGAGAATTTCCCTCGTGCGGAGGACTTCCGTCCAGACCGCTGGCTCCGTAAAGACACTTCGGATAGAGTAGACAACTTTGGCTCCATCCCATTCGGCTACGGCATCCGGAGCTGCGTGGGCAGGAGAATAGCAGAACTTGAGATGCACTTGGCTCTGACCCAGGTCAGTGTGTGTCTGAACATAACGCGCTGGTCTTTGTAATTGAGCAGAGATGAAAGTAACTGTGTGACTCACAAAAATTTTAATAATATCTAGTGTGGTTCACCACTTCCTCTGTCGGGACGGGAACAGAATGACTTTTAGACTCATATTGCGTCATTGTGCACTAAGGCAGGGTCACCAATGCTCCTCCTGGAGATCTACCTTCCTGCAGGATTCACCTCCAGCCCAAATCTTAAACACCTCCTTCAGCTAATCGAGGACTTCTGAAGGCAGTAATTTGATGGATCAGGTGGGGTGGATTAGGGTTGGAGCTGACCTCTGTAGTAAGGTAGATCCCCAGGAGCAGGGTTGGTGACCACTGCACTAAGGTTAATTAAAATGACGTCACCTATTTGGCCTGAATTTACACTTTCAAATAAAAGGCAATATTGCCTTGTATTTGGCATCTAGGACTGGACACTGTGGCAAAATAATCAATAGTGACAATTGTTGATCCTTATTATATGCATTTCCTTATGTACAAGTATAAGTCTGAGTAGTGATTTGAACCCGGCACAAAACAAATGGCATTTGATTAAAAAACAAAAAAATTTAAACCAGTTCAACATTGCAGAGGACATGTGGCCTTTTTTGCCACAATCCCCTATAGATCCGGGAGCTTTCCCTCAAACTTTATTTGTTCTCCATAACTCTGCAAATATCTAGCCAGCTAACTTTCCTAATTGTCCCACTGGTTTCAGCTGTTGTGAGTGAAAGGCTAGACTTCTTCCTCCCTGTCTAGCAAGTAAAGAGCACACACCACCACCTAGTGCACCAAAGGTGCAATTGTTCAAAGTTTAAGTCTTTGCTGTTGCTGAGAAACAGAATCACAAATAATTGATCAAAGTACACATTAGATCTGTGCTTAAGTTGACCCGTCTGTTTTCATCTCTTGCAGCTCCTTCAGAAATTCCACATCGATGTGTCTCCCGTCACAGGTGACATCCGAGCCAAAACCCACGGCCTGCTCTGTCCTGGAGCACCTATCAACGTCAGATTTGTCGACCGCATCTAGACCCCCCCTTTCTGAATGTATATATGTATCTAAATGTGCTGTTTAAAGCTTTGTGAATGGTAGCATGTGTCTCTAATTTTTATTTTGAAAAGTTCACAAGTCGTCCAGTTTTCAAATCTAATTAAAACTCACTTGCACTTAATTAAAATCTTATTTTGTATGTCTTGACTTTAAAGATCAGCTGCTGGATATGTGAAAGTGTCTGATCTGATTGCTGATTGAACCACTTGTGTGGTTATGTCAAGTTCAGTGCCTTTTTTCTTTTTTTTGCCTTTATGGCTTTGTTTCTATGAGCTTTGCACAGATCTGAGTGGTGACAAAATGGTGCCTGGACAAAGTGGTCATAAGCCATACAGGCACATCTTTTTCATTTTTGTTTAAAGAGCTAGTTTACCTAAAATATGCCAAATTAGCACGATAGCAAACGTTTTTTTTCTTTTTCTGGAGATTTCAGATTGTGAGCTGTGCAGGTTGAAGAGCAGGGTTGGTGGTCAGGGGAAAGGGGGAAGTACAGGGCACAAAAATATTATATTTGTAATGTTAAAGCAGGTAGTTTATGAGGATGAATTTTTTGGGGGGAACTTCTGATTTGATCAGCATTAATGTGATTTATACAACTTTTTCTACTAATTATAATACTGTGCATGAAGTTTGTCAGTTTTGCTTTTACAGATGAAGAGCGGCATTTAAGTCTTTTTAATGTTATTTATAAAGCACTCGTATATCCATGAATTTATTTGAATAGTGAATTCTCTTGTCTCTAGTTTGCTTTTATTAAATACTGAATATTTTCCTTGAACTTTTAACCTTTGTAACACAGAGATTTACCATTAGTGCCTTAAAAATAATGTATAATTGAGGCAAAACCCAAATCCATGATCATGTTTATGAAATTTTGATGATGGTACTGTTACAAGTTTGTGTTAATGGTGTCACACTGCCTTTGCCCATCCATGTAAGTCTCTTGTTATATAGACTGAATATAATAAAGATAACATTTTTACAAGATGGCAAGTTTCTACAGTCTTTCTGTACAGGATTTTGCTCATGACTAAATTAGGTAAAGATTAAATTCTGATGTGTTGAAATTCTAATTATTACACGTTTAAAACTTTATCACTTGTGAAAACTGATTTGTTGCGTGTTAAATCAGTTTTTGCATGTAAAACAATGTTCTCAAACATTAAAATGGAATTACTAAATAGTGCTTTGGGTCCCCCTGGTGGCAGTGAGGTATTTATATATTAGTGAGCCCACTAAATTATATGGTGGGTGTTTTTTTAATTGATTAACTGCATCTTTTTCAATGTAAAGTATTTTTTATTAATTAAATAATTGGTTAGCTAGTTCCCCACCAAAATCCTCATCATGTTCTCTCACAGACTCTGTACATCTTTTACTACGTATTTATTTACATATGCTAGTTAGCCATGAACAAATTTGCCACTGTTTACACTTGCAGACTCAGTGCCTTCTATATTTTTAATACTATTAAAATTTATATACATACATTAATTTTACTTGTCTATCATTTAACAACAACAATAATGATAATAATAATGATAATAATGATGTAAGAAGAATAAGAATAGTTATTATTATTATTATTTATAAAACAACTTTCATGAAAGAGAGCAGGTCAAAGTGCTTTTCAGAGTATTCATAGAAAAAATGACATTCAGAATAAATAAGAAAAAACACATTTTTCATAAAATACATAATAATAATAATAATAATTCTATCAGAATTGTGGGTTATTGTTATCTGTTATCTGTCAAAACAGGAAACCAACTAAAATTAAAATGTTAAAATTCGAGAAAAACTAATCTGAACGTTTTATTTTAATTAGTTGAATGTTTTAAGACTCAATTCGAAGCTTTTTAAGCGATATTAAGAGATTCATTTAAAATGGCCCCTCTGTGTTTTTTTCTCGTGGGCTCCGCGCCGTAGGACGGAGAGCGCAGGTCTCTCTGACGTCCTGAGTGTGTGTGAGTGGGCTGAGTGTCGGACTGTTCCACCAGCAGCGGCGGCGGGGGGTGAGCGGCGCTCCGTGACCATCACACTTCTGCTGCGCCGTGTTGGACGGTTTTCGCATGTAAACAAAACCAAACTAACGAACGTGGATTTGTCGTCGCCGTCTAACCGTGTCCGAGTTGTGTTTGGCTTCGTGTGCGATGCGCCTGTGTTGACACGACCCGACTCGGCTGGTCTGGATGAAATGTAAAGCGAGTTAGCTGATTAATCGCTCGGCCTGTGGCGCATCGACAGCGGCAGCGTCTGCTAGCCGAGCTAAGCTAATGCGCTCGGGCCTCGGGACTAAAGTTGAAGTTGCAGACGGACTTTACAACTTCTGACTCCCGCTCGGAGGCTCGCAGAGTCGCGCAGGGACCCACGTCGTAAGGCCACTTGGATGAGGAACTGAAGCTACTCAGACCACCCAGGTGATGAAGGACTAGCTATGTTTTTTTCCGTCACGCTGAATTTTTGTGATAACATTATAAGCTGCAGCTGTCAGTCGAGCTCCGAGTGAGACAGCGCTAACGAGCCAACCTGGCTAGCTTATTAGCAAACTAGCTGGTAAGTGTTCGGACGTGTGCTCGTTGGCAGCTTACTTATTGAAAGCTAGCTCGATAATAATAATAATTGTGTGTAAACTAGGCCATTAGCTGCCAGACTGGGTCTCAATGTCTAATAATTACATGGAGAAACTTGGAAAAACCAACTTGCTAACCTAGCTAGCTGGTTAGCTAGATAGCGACATCGCGCGCCTGAAGACTAGACGAGGCTGAAGTCTGTCTTATCCGTCAGCTTCTTGCTCGAATTTCCCCGTTCCACCTTAAATAGTGCAGCAGGTACACTCTGGAACCTGAGCCCAGAATGTTACTGTGTGCAGTTTAAGGTGGAACGGGAAAATTCGAGCAAGAAGCTGACGGATAAGACAGACTTCAGTTTCTTGCGGACCGGTGTACTTAGGTTAGCCGGCTAAGTTAAGCGAATGTCGTGTAGTTAGCCAATGTGCTGGGCCCCCTTTCTCTGTAAATATGTCAAGTATCTTCTGGAAAGTGCTGTATTATTTATTTGCGTTTGTTTCTACGTTGAGGGAGATGATTAGCTAAATTACGTACGTAACTTACAGATTAGCTTGCAAGCAAAGCGGACATGCTAGCAATTTCCAGCATCCTCGCAGAACTGCTGAAGATGTTTGCTTGATAAGCACCATTTTGAATCTGTAAAACACTGTTTTCATTGTTGTCGTGTAATCTGTAGCCACATTATCTAATGAAGTCAAGTATGTCGATTGAGGACGCGCAGGCACTACGCCGTCTGTTGAAATAGTTGACCTGAGCACGCTGCGCTTTGCTAACAATTGGGCAAAACAGTTTTTGACAGCTGTGGAAGCCATAGACCAGTGGTCACCAACCATGCTCCTGGAGCTCTAACGGACTTTAGCTCCAACGCTAATCAATCCCACCTGATTCACCTAATTGCTGCTTTATAAAGTCATTGATTAGCTGAAGGAGGTGTTTTAGATTTGGGCTGGAGGTTAAACCTGCAGGAAGGTGGATCTTCTGGAGGAACGATGGTGACCACCCCCATAGACTCCATAGGCTAAGGTTTCACTAGTGCGATTACATGAAATGAATGTATCAGTTCCTGTACACTGTCACATGACAGCGTTATCGTAGTGCATATAAATTGACTCATCCATGCTAAACCTGCCAAGTCTGTATGATAAAGTCAGAGTCATATTGGTTTCAGCAGGTAATTGCTTAAAAAAAGGTCAGCATACATTTGACTGATATGTCAGACTGATGTTTGAGCAGAATGTTTAGGAGACGTTGGGCTATTGTTCTTAAACTTCTGCTTTTTTATTCATTTTTCTTTATTTGTAGACCTATAGAAAGAAGTGTTAGATTTCTCCATAATACTAATCCAAGCAGTTTTAGTCCTGCTTTCAACATTTTATGATTGTTTATGTATCGGCACATATGTACATGAGAAATATTGGATATTGGCATCGGCCCAAGGCTCTCGAATTGGTGCTTCCCTGAATAAAACCTTAAATAAGACACATGCTGATGTTTTTTTAGTGTATTTACCAAAAAGATTGTTTGAGTGATGCCATAGAAGAACCACATATGACTCCTTAAAGTACCATGTTTGAAAAAGATGTTTATGGGTGTAAAGAACCGATCAAAGACTTCAAGAACCTTTACTTAATGTGAAGCTTCTACACCAATTTTAAGAGGAATTCCTGTGATTTTTCAAAATTTCTGCATAATTAAATGGTTAGGATGTAAATAGTCATTCTGAGTAGTTTTGTTAAGTGCTTTGTTCTAGAGTCAGAATTGTTCACAGTGGTGGTGATGGAAACCAAGTTGCCTGAAGAATTTAATTAATTTAAAAGCTCCCTCACAGAAAGTTATTACATGAAATAGTCATGAATGTGCTGCCTGATGTCTGAGACATGGTTTTATGATAGTTTTGCGACAATCTTTTGTCCTAAAATGTACTTTGTATGTCCATTCATGGCAGAGAGGTACATGGAGGGCCTTGTACAGTGAAATAGTCCCCGAAGGCCTACCTATATCTCAGAAATATCTGTTTTACCTTCGTTGACGTTACATATGAAAAATACAGAAGACACACGTAGGTTCATTGGTCATTTTGGATTGTAAATGAAATGGCTGTGTTTACATTGTGGACGTCACAACCCCTGGTTCCTGTCACTGCCACTGTCGGTTAGTCGATTAGTTTCTCTACAGTAAACCATTTTACATCAGATCACTCATTGGCTTTGTTTACAGTGGAAATCACCTTAAGGGATTTTTTTTCCTAGAAACGTTATGTGAACGTTTAGGTTCTGTAAACATTAAAGAAGTTCTTCACACTTGTACATCTACTTAGCAATAATGGTCTCAAAGGTTTTTTTTTTTGAGGAACCAAAAGTGGTTGCTCTATAGGATCACACAAAGAGCTTCTGTTTTTAAGAGTGTAGCATGTTTAATTCAAACTTCTAAAGTGATGTGTTCTCCGTATATAGGAGAAAGGAACCCATTTGATGGGAGCGTCCTCTTTCCTGAACTCCTGGGGCAAACTGTGAGCAGTTATCATGGGTATGTACCAACTTTCTAATACAGAAAAATAATGACGCATGTATGCATACATTTTTCTCAATTCTCATGTTGCTGTGTCATGTTTAGGGTTGTAAAGTTGTTTTTGTTTATCTTCACAGACGATCAGGAGGCACTGAACTCTATCATGCAGGACTTGGTTGAACTGCACCGCTCTAGCCGGCCAGCCATGTCTCTGTCTGACCTGGGCAAATCTAAGGCCTCGTCTCCCAAGAACCAGGTGTGATCTCTTTGTGTAAAGTGACTTTTCAGACAGGCAGTGGAGTAACGGCGTGGTACAGTTGCTAATCCAAACCTCAAACTATCCAGACTCTGGTCGAGTAGCTGTGTCGCACAACAGAAGCGTGAAAGTAGGCGAGGTACTGTGGAAGTTGTGTGATGATGACATGATTTTTCTGATGACACTAGTGTTGAGAAAAAACAGTAAACACAAACTTCAGTAGCAACAAGGGAGGAGTTGCTCCAGTAGTTCTCATTTGCCGTCTGCGCTGCGTTTAGTTTCATGTGAGATTCTTGCTAGCTAGTGTCTTTTTAGAAATGGAAGTTGACCTTGAGTGGTGGTGTGTGATGGTTCTCTGATGAATGTGTTTGACCAGTCAATGGGCTGCAGTATTTCTCGGTCCACACGTTTATTACAGGTTGGTGTGCAAAAAGGCTGACCAAATTCAGCATGGGTCTGGATGTGATGGGCAAATGTGTGATTAAAATTTATAGCTGTACTGTGCCATCCTGCACTGCTCTATGGAAAAATGCTGTCATTTTCCAATGCTGGCTCATGCAAATATATGCATAAAATGGAGGAAGAATAGGGCTGCAGGATACAAGTTTTGTGATTATGATGCTACCTATTGCTATTTTGATCTTGTAACATTTTAAAACAGCCCAGACAATGGTGTTTAAGGATTGAACTGTATTATTTTAAAAAGAAATTACATTTGTTGGTTTGAGGTTGAATTTTTGTCATTTTCTCACCTGTGCTGTTTCTGAAAAGATCACTTTTAGGGCTGCAACAAACGACTAATTTGATAGACGAATAATCTATCAATTACTGAAACAAATAATCAATTATTCGGATTATGAATAACTACATTACCAAATAACTTTTATGTAGCTATAGGCTTTTAAATTTAGCTTAAGGTTGTTATGCATTTGCTAACTAACAATGAAGACAATAAAGATGAATAACTTTCAAGAATTCACTGTTTTAATTAACCTTCCTGCTAATACAAAAGATAAAAAATAGAACTCCAGTGTATTTTTCTTGTCAAAATCTATAACCAAGGATGTGCAAAGTAGCAGCAATAAAATATAACAAAACTAAATCAGTTTTTCTTTCTTTTCTTTCAAGTAAATAAAAAATCAATCTAAATTTAAATGTTAAATTTAAACAGTGCAGTCTGTGCTCTGCATTCTGCTGTCTGTCTTCACTCTGCTGAAACTACATTGTACAATCACAGGTCTTTATTAAAACGGAGGAAAGTCAGCGTCTCTCCGTGCTCCTGTGTGAGACTCGCTCTCCTCTGAGAGCAGATATTCCTCTCAGCAGAGAAGATGCACTCTGATAGAGCGGATGATAACGTGGCGAATGTTTGTGGCGGACTTCTCTATGAACAGTTAAATTTGAATGTTTTTGTATAAACGCTTCATTTCAACGGTAACCCTTTATCCAGCTACCTAAACTGTTAGCGAGTGGTGCCAAGCATTCGCAGAAAACAGAAAAACGTTTGGAAATGCTCTCTTATGTTCGCTGAATTTGACCGCACCGGTGGCCTTGACGCTAAGATGACGATGCAGTGTTTAAACGTGTAAACGTTATCTGGAAAGTAAACAGGGTCGCTGTGAATAATAGTTACTTGCTTCTCTGTTCCAACTCCATTAACGAATCGAGTTAATAGAGAACAGCATTTCAAAATACAAATGTTACAGCTTGGCTCAGAACATGACGTAGGACGGCTTTTAGCATTAACGGTAGCTAACTAGCTCACTAGCACAACTATCACCGCGTCCCAAACCACACACTTCACACACTACACTAATGAGTGCACTTCTAATGGTATGTGCGCTGTTTTTACACACTATTTAGGTTGCTGGTATGCGATTTGGGATGAGACGTATCTTACTGAGATGCTCTGTCATGGAGGATGTGCTCCCATGACAGCTAAGCTCAGCTTTACAAATAGCACAACTGACGACCCCCCCCCCAAGTTTAGCTCCAACACTTTGAAGGAGTTTGTTCTTGAGGCTGCCATCGCGCTGTTGTTAACTGTACAGTAAGCGGAAATGTAAAAACGTTCCTAGTGAGCGCAAGAAAGACGCGTAATGACATCACCAACTAATCAACGACCAAATTAGTTGGCAACTAATTTGGTCGTCGATTTTAGTCGACTGAGTCGAATAATCGGTGCACCCCAATCACTTTAAAGTCTTTCACACACAGAACCCTCTATATTACATTACAGCTTTTTATCATTCACACTTAAAGCGTAAATGGTATTTTACCAATGCACACATTTACATTGCCATGACACAGAACACATTGGCGTGTTACACAGGACCTGACCCCCTCAGCATGAGTGGCCAAAAGCTCTTGCATTTCTGAGACCCCACCTGCACTTTTCCAGATATACTTGAAAATGAATTTTTTTTCCTCTGCATTTTAACGCAGTTTTCAGTCATTAAAAACAGAGGTTTTTGAAGATGATCTTGAAAGTGGAGATTTTTTAAAAGCGGGTTTTCATTTTGACATCACATTGTTAACTTGTGTATCTCTGACGCTGTTTTCATTTATTGAACATGCAGAACTCTGTCGGAAATATGACCTGCTGCCTGGGTTGTTTCTGTGTGTTCTGCAATTTAGGGGTGATTTGGGACAAAATTGTCTTGTGGTGATCACAGGCAGAGTGGAATAGGGAGACTGTATATATATCATTTGTATGCACACACATTTTTTTTATATATATATATATATATATATATATATATATATATATATATATATATATATATATATATATATATATATATATATAGAGTTATTACAGAATATTCGGGGCCTCTTTCGAGTGAATCTCACTGTGTGTGTGTGTGTGTGTGTGTGTATATATATATATATATATATATATATATATATATACACACACACATACATACATATATACGTATTTGTGTGTGTTTGTCAATATCATGACAACCATCAGTTGATGTACTACAATGTAGGTTTGGGTGTTTCTTAATGGTGCTTTCTTTCTTACAGAACGATATTCGAGTGAAGTTTGAGTACAGAGGGGAGAAGAGGTAATGACTTTAATCATATAAAGCGTTTTTATGTCACAGTCTGGTGCTTGAATTAGTTTATATTAGGTTGGAATTTGATTCTTGGCTAAGGCCGTATTTACAAAGCCTTTGAAGACCTGAAAGTTATCATGAAATTGCTGAAAACTTGAGTAGTTGAGATTTGATAAGTAAATTATCTGACCTGACGTTGTTTAACGTTGTTTAAATTACTCTAATTCTCATTACCCCAATGTGTTGACATGTTTTGTATTACATTTATTTATTTCTCTTTTTTTACTTTTAACTGTTCTGTTCTGTAATTTTAAAGTTTTCCTAGAAAACGCAAACTCTCACTGATGAGTATGCTTAATATGGTAATCACTCTGGGCCAGGACTTCTCATGTAGTACTTTTGTCCAATTTTATCAGATGAATTTGGTTTAATAAAGAGGAAGCAGTGAAAGTGAGGTTATAAAAAAAATTAATATTGTGCAATGGGTTGTTGAGGGTGGTGTGGTGTTTTAATAAATGTAACATTTTAAAGCTGTTGCGTTTAAATAATACACTCTAATAGGAATACTTTATATTCTGTTCCAGGATTCTGCAGTTTCCTCGGCCCCTCAAGCTCGATGATCTGAGCACCAAAGCTAAAGTGGCATTTGGGCAGACCATGGACCTGCACTACACCAATAATGAGGTATCAAAGAAAAGACTCTCTAGTAGTATAGGGCCTCCATGTCTTTCCTCAACTCGCATACAGAGGGAACAATTATCATTTTAAGTAAATAAGACCAGATGCCTCAGAACAAAAGCAATTTGAAACAGAATCTAAAAATAATTTGGCTTGAATCATGTGAAAATGCTGAACGTTAGTTTGTCATTAATCCAGAAATGAGTAAGCACTGCCCTCTGTTACGTTTACCCCACATTTATATTCTTTGACTTTCTTTTTTCTATCTCTGTAGCTGGTGATTCCTTTGAGCACTCAGGATGATCTGGATAAGGCCGTGGAGCTGCTGGACCGTTCTGTCCACATGAAGAGTCTTAAGATTCTGCTGGTGCTGCCAGCATCTTCCCAGGTCGGTGTGAGCTCAGGGCTGAGGCTTTTTTATGACCGACCTCACCAATGTTGTTTGTTGAAACCCTTATTTTAAAACTTCTGATCTTACTAAAGAAGATTTTAGCAACCATGCTTTGGCCCAGTATACTGAGTTTATGATGCTCACTCATTATGCTGCATTGCACCAGTGCCCACTGCAGTTCACACATAAGAGGCCATTATGTGGATTGTTGTTTTTCAGCTCTTTTCCTTGAGTACCCTCAGCACAGTGTGTTTTCTGCTGAAAGCTGCATCTAAGTAAACACATTCAGCTTGATTATCATCAGTTGTGTCTTTGCTGATTGAAAACCACACTGCAGCCATGTGTCAGGGTACCCACAGGTCCTTAAAGACATATAAAATAAATAACCGTGTCTAAAGTGCCTGTGTTTTTACATTTTCTTTTAAATTTTAACAGACGTAGTCCACTACAACAATAGATAAATCATTTCAGAGTGTACCACCATGCACATGTCAAAGGTCATACTGCATATAAAAGTAGCCTTATCATCAAGGAAGTCCAAAAAACTGGATCCAATTAAACAGTATGCCAAAAAGTAAGCTACAAATGAAGCTAAATCTTAACATATCAGTCCAGGATGTCTCATGCACATGCTAAAAATGAAATGATTTACTGTATCACTAATTGGCAGCCTTTTCTACGTAAACTGTGCAGCTGTTATTGTCTTTCATATTGTCTACTGGGGCTGTACAATATTGACATAAAATTTGTTTTTAAAATTTGTTCGATAAAGCTGTTGGATGTCACGATGACTGTTTGAGAAGCGATAAATCATTATTAAAGTAGTGAGGCAAGTGCCGACTTTTTTGGATGTATAAGCAGCAATCTAATAACCTCTCTTTTAAGCAAACGGCAAAAAATATAATTACAAAAGCACCATTCACTGCTGTTCAAAATAAAAAGAAAAGAAATACTAACATCAGAACTGCAAGCACATTTTTTTGAGCACTGAAAGCCTCAGAAACAGTCAGTATAACCTCAACATTTCCTTCCATAGAAGCTTAAACAAAGAAATATGTTTTACATAGGGACATGAATGAATAGATATGTTTTTTTTTTGTTTGTTTATTTATTGTTCAGTGCTTGCTGTAACAGTAGTCCTTACTGCCTCTCACACTTAAAACACAATCCTGGGTGTGAGAACAATCCTGTTTGATGTATTTTTACAGGCTACATTGCAGGACTAGTTTTGAAAAGGTTTTTGAGCTGTGCACATGTGTTTTGTGATTTCCTGTGTAGCCTGAATAATTACTAAAGGTACTCTTCTACCCTAGGGGGAGTGTAGGGCTCAATTCCAGCTCAGAGAAGCACTCATTACATTGCCAGGACAAACCGTTAGGAGTCTATTGACGTCTCTGGCGCTACGTCTAGGAGTTAATTTGAGGCTGTTCTGTTATCACAGCTCTTAATGATTTGTTTGTCCCGGAAACTCATATCGTGGTACAGATAAAATTTCATTTTATGCTGCAGCCCTCTTGTCTATGAAAACACAAATATTGGATTAGTGGCTTCACCATAGTAAAGGACTTGAATTACTTTTTGCTCTGTTAAGGTCTTAAAACCCTCCAAGTTTAATAGACATACAGTATAGGAATGGATATTATTATAGTCAAATATTTCACTTACATTATTTTTTTTTTTCTCTTTCAGAACTCTGTGTCCAGCATGGATGTGCTGCCGACTTGTGAGAACCTGGACAATACGGACAGAAACAACATGTTGGCCCTTATAGGTCAGAGCTGAGTCTAGATCACGTGTCAAGCTCTAGTCCTCGCAGGCCAAAACACTGCAAACTTCAGCACACAGCTTCATTAAACACACCTCATTTAGCTCATCAGCTAATTAGCAAGGTCTTCATGAACTAAATTCAGAACGTTAGATGAGGGTAAGCACTAATCTCTGCAGCACTGTGGCCTGCAGGGTCCCCAGTTTGACATGCCTGGTCTAAATAATTGGCACAATATCTCAATTCTGGAAATAGCGTTCTGTGCATGTTTTGTTTGTATTTGGTAGTTTGCTGATGTGTCCAGTCAGGTCTGATAGACTAGGAGAAACACAACCTCTGCAATGAGTATGTTCCAGATTACTGGAATTGGAAACCACTGGGCAACAGCTTGAAACATTGCTCTTCCACTTTAGCATAAAGTATATTATACATTCAGATGTGGAATCTTTTGTTACTCTGCATGGTCCTTGTTTCTTTTAGAGTTAGACTTGGGCTGATGTTCATTGGGCCACGACTGACTGTATAATCTATCCCTAGACTATGAATAACCTGTCTAGGAAACTGTAGCTTCAGTCCGGTAAATCAAGCAGTCAACAAAATTTCCATGATTACAAAAATTATTATACGATTGAAAACTTACTAAAAAGCCTGCTTTCGAAGTTCTCTCTGGGCTATGTGGCTGTATTGGATTTGACTAAATGAATACAGAGTAAAAGCACATTGAAAAATGTAATTGATTATGAACGTATGGCACCCATTTTTCAGACTGAGATGCTGCTCCTGAACATGTCCGTTTTCTTTCAAGCATTAGATTAGATTACGTTAAATTAGATACTGATTGCTGTCTGAATGCCATGTCTCTCTGCAGGCTCTCAGTCCACAGACCGCAGCTCACCTCCTCCAGGCTACATCCCCGATGCCCTGCAGCAGGTGGCCAGGAACGGTTCTTTCACCAGCATTAACAGCGAGGGAGAGTTCATACCCGAGAGCATGGACCAGGTACACACATACTGTGTTTTAGTGACTTTTAGCTGTGAACTGAGCTCAACTAAAATAATTGCACCTGTTTGGATCAGCTTATAAATAGTACGGTGTTGCACCTGGTTGATCATATTTATGTTGTATTCACCTGAGTAGATGCTGGATCCACTATCCATGAGCAGCCCTGAAAATTCAGCTTCAGGCAGTTGTCCTTCTCTGGATAGTCCACTTGACGGGTAATTCTGAAGTACATGCACACACAAACACAAGCTTTTCTGTCGTCCTAGTAAGGATTAGGAATGTGCGCTAATACTTGAGTACTGATGTAAAGGGGAATTTCTTTAACTTTTCAAAATTGCTGTATACAACCCTAATTGCAAAAAAGTTGGGACGCTGTGTAACATGTAAATAAATGTAAATGTAAACAGAATGCATGATTTGCAAATCTCATAGACCGATATTTTATTCACAATAGAACATAGAACACATATCAGATGTTGAAAGTGAGACATTTTACCATTTAATGAAAATATTAACTCATTTAGAACTTTGTCAGCAATGCATCTCAAAAAAGTTGGCACAGGGGCAATAAAAGGCTGGAAAAGTAAGTGGTACTAATAAACAGCTGGAGGAGCAATTTGCGACTAACTCACATGACTGGGTGTAAAAAGAGCATTTTAGAGAGACTCTCAGAAGCAAAGATGGGCAGAGGTTCACCAAAAAATCTACAATCTAAAAATTGTGGAACAATTTCAGAAAAATGTTCCTCAAAAAAGTTGTGAACACTTCGGATATCCTATCATCTACAGTGCATAATATCATCAAAATATTCTGGAGAATCTGGAGAAATCCCTGTACGCAATGGACAAGGCTGCTGGTCAATATTGGATGCTCGTGATCTTCAGGCCCTCAGGCGGCACTGCATTAAAAACAGGCATGATTCTGTACTGGAAATCACAGAACACTTCCAAAAATCATTGTCTGTGAACACAGTTCGCTGTGCAATCCACAAATGAAAGTTAAAGCCTTTTTATGCAGAGAAGAAGCCATATGTCAACACGATCCAGAAACGCTGCTGTCTTCTCTGGGCCAAAGCACATTAAAAATGGACTGAGGCAAAATGGAAAACTGTTTTGTGGTCAGATAAATCAAAATTTTAAATTCTTTTTGGAAACCATGGGCGGCATGTCATGCGGACCGAAGAGTAAAGTGACCATCTAGCTTGTTATCAGTGCACAGTTCAAAAGCCTGCATCTCTGATGGTATAGGGACTGTGTTAGTGCCTATGATGTGGGCAGCTTACACATCTGGAAAGGCACTATCAATGCTGAACAGTATATAGAGGTTTTAGAACAACATGCTCCCATCCAGACAACGTCTCTTTCAGGGAAGGCCTTGTATAGTTCAGCAAGACAATGCTAAACCGCATTGCATCGATCACAGCAGCATGGCTATGCAGAAGAAGAGTCTGGGTGCTGACCTTTCACCAATACAAAACATTTGGTGCATCATGAAACGAAAAATCCGGCAAAGAAAACCCAGGACTGTTGGTCAGCTAGAATCCTACATCAGACCAGAATAGGACAACATTCCTCTCCCAAAACTCCAGCAATTGGTCTCCTCACTTCCCAGACTTCTACAGACTGTTGTTAAAAGAAGAGGGGATGCTACACAATGGTAGACATGGCCCTGTCCCAACTTTTGAGATGTGTTGCTGCCATCAAGTTCTAAATGAGTTAATATTTTTATGAAATGGTAAAATGTCTCACTTTCAGCATCTGATATGTGATTTATGTTCTGTTGTGAATAAAATATTGGTCTTTGAGATTTGCAAATAATTGCAGTGCAGTGTTAAGGATGTGATTGTGATAAACCTCATGCCAAGTGTTTCAAATCTCAGATTTGGCCAGGGATAGTTATCGTTAGGATTTTATTGATATTGACGATGATACAAACACTGCTTATTGGTAGCGATACTTATCGATACTTATCCCTGCAGTTGAAAATATTAACAACCATAAGCCATTAAAAATAGGTTACCCCTGGTTTTCAGGACAGCTCACACTGAGTTCAAACTTCAGCTACCTAGCAGCTAGCGATTTCTGCTATGCTTGCTACAGAATTTTAACTCAGTACAGACTCTGTTTTCAGCTTCTAGCTACGGTATGCATTTTTCTGGCTGTACGTGCTAATTTGTAGAGTTTGAATAAAAAGCTTCAGTTATGTACCAGACCCCTGACTCCACTGAGTTTCTTGGAGAGAATCGAACATTACAATATGTTGCGTTCAGCTGCACTATCATCAGATTTAGTAAAGTTAGCCCACATTTTTGAACATTGTACTTTTTCAGCCATGACCGGAGAGCAGAGAATGACGCTTGGCATTCGAAATGGTTAAGGTGGTCAGAAAAGAGCAAACGCTTTAGTCACACGCAGCAGAGCGCCCCTCCCACTGATCCAGTCTAGCACCACCCATTTAAAAAATACCTGCTGTGTTGTAGAATGAATTAGCTTTGCATAAATAATGATTTACAGTTCCTCCAGGAGCTTATCGATATTTCAGTACTGATCAGTCAGCAACTGGTAACAATTTAGTATTGGTTCTTGATACCCATCCCTAGACATGGCTTAAAGGTAATTTAGTAATCAGTAGATTTAAGTGTAGTATGGCCACCTGTGCAACTGGCACTCTGTTGTACCAACGCTGGTACTCAATCAGTGTATTGTTTAAGCAATAGAACACGAGAGGGAGTGTGTTATTGTGAATTACAACGACTAATTTAGCTTGGATCACAATTATGATGTTATTTGTGATAAGCAACTTCAGTGGCCAGCTCAAACCTTTATACAAAGGCCTCTATGCAAAATAAAGAAATAGGTAAAGTGAAGAAGGGCTGAACATTGTATCAATGTCAGCTTTGATATTGGCAGTTTCTTTCGTGTTACAGGTAGAGCCATAAAACTGTCGCAGGTTTCAGTTTTTTCAGTATTTGCAAGCATATCCTAAATGTCGTTGTTATCATAAACAACAGCAAAATGGGTAAAATGCTTCTCAAGCAGAAACAGCCACTCTAACTAACTGTTGTAGAGGGCAGAGAGTAAGGATACAGCAACTGCAGTAGTACACATACGATTAAAATGTTTTAAAATTTTGTTGTTTTTTTTTTTGTCGTTTCACTCACTCGTAGTGCCTACGAATGACTGTTGACTTCTCTCACTTTACAGCGATAACTATCCTAAATCCCGCATGCCCCGAGCTCAGAGTTACCCAGACAACCATCAGGAGTTTCCCGGTAAGCTATTTTATGGCATTATTCACTTTTAGTCAGAAAGTTAAGAACAAGTTAGCCAGAAGTTAAGAACGCTGCTGGAGTTGTCCTGAAGTTAGGACAGTAAGTAGGAAATGTTATCTAGTTAGAATGTTTCTGTAATACTATTTTCTTATGTGAAATTTAGAATAAGATTATGAAGCTCTGTTACTGGAGTACGGCCCCTGTTTTTTTAAACTTCTCTCCTTGTTTCAGAGTGTGATATCCCAGTGTTTGAAAAGTCAGGGAAGGGTGGCACATATCCACGGAGATACCCAATCTTTGGTCTGCAGGACTACAGTGATGGTGAGGAAATACGTACACACACACACACACACACATCCGTGCCAGGCACCCTGGCCTAGTGCACCGTCAAGCTGCAAGAGACGGCATGAAGTTGGTGCTTGAGCCCCATGTGCCGATGACGTTTGATCGAGGAGGCAACTTTCACCTTTCTGCTCAGGTTCTCGCGCTGCCCTTCACAAGGGATGAGCTGACGCTGGTTTGGCTTTGGCAGCGTAGGCGTTTTAAAAGGAGCTGATAGAGGAGAAAAAGAGACAAAGACAGACTCAGGTGCATGTCGAGAGACAACGTGAGGACGGGGCTCGGGTCCCACATGTTCTTGGCGGTGCACTAGGCTCTGGTGCCTGGCACACGCTGGTGTCCTGCAACAGCTTTCCTGTAAACCATGTTGCCTTTGATTGAGTTGATCAAGTTGGTCAAGCTTTTAGACGAGTGCCTGTTGTATCGATGGTAAATATTATTGGAGAAGTTATCGGAAGAAGAGTAGATGATGAAATGGCTAGAGTTTGTAAGTCAGACTACATTATGAGATACATTGCTGCATGTGGCTTATGTCGTTAAGAAACCCAAATGGGCTGTCTGTTGATTAGATAAATTTACTTCTCACATTAAAACATTTTTATCTGACATACTATACCATACTGTTTTTCCCTAAAATCTTTTAGAAAATACTGTGTTACTTTGTTAAAATAAGCCATAATGCTTGAAATGGATATATAGTTATTAGAATTATTATTATTATTATTATTTTTTTTTTATTTATTTATTTATTTTTTATTGGGGATGCACCAACATGGGAACTGTGGGCCGATGCCAGTGTCTGGCATTTTTCTGATGCATTTCTGTAAAATTACAAATGGAGTAAAATCAATAAAATGCAAGCGGTTTAGCACAGTGTCACCTAAACATTCTGCTTCCCCGATTTCAAAAAGTACACAATCATCTATCCACTGTCAATATTTCATTAAGAAAATTTCTCCTAAAATTGCTTCAAATTGCTTCTAAAATTCTTCTTCTCTTTCTGTTCCTTCAGGACGCAAGACGTTTCCGCGAGCACGTAGGACACAGGGCCATGGTTTCCGTTCTCCAATGAATTTTAGCCCAACCGACCAGAGCCCAAGCACCAGCAGCGGAAGCAGCATCTTCACACCTGAGCTGGAGGAGCCAGTACGCCGTCGCCGTGGCAGTGACATTGAGCCCAACTCCAGCACCAACCCAACCCTCTCTGTCATGGACATCAGCCCGCCCAGCCGATGTAAGACAGAGCATTATATGTGACACAATGTGCACAAGCAATGTCACTAACAAACTTTGACATTTTCATGGCTGTTGAGACTGCCCTTTGTTTTGAAGTAAAAGAGATGATGGATGTAAACTGAACATATCAGTAACTTTTCATATATGTGTGTGTGCGTAGCTCCTCGTGCCCCCACTAACTGGCGTCTGGGTAAGCTGCTGGGACAGGGAGCATTTGGTCGAGTCTTCCTGTGTTACGATGCTGACACAGCCAGAGAACTAGCCGTCAAACAGGTCCAGTTTGATCCAGACAGTCCAGAGACCAGCAAGGTGAGGCAGAGAGGGAAAACTATGCATACATCTCAGTATTTTTCTTACTCGAATACTGTGATTTAGGCCAGGTTCGTAACTGTACTCTGCAGAGATTTCTATTTGTGCATTCATGTGCATTTCTGTTGTACCTTATGATTTTGTCATATGTGTGTCTTAATTTATGTATATTTGTCTGTTTGTATTTTTAGGAGGTGAGTGCGTTAGAGTGTGAGATCCAGCTCCTGAAGAATCTTTGTCACGAGCGCATTGTCCAGTACTACGGTTGTTTGCGGGACACGCACGAAAAAACTCTGTCCATTTTCATGGAGTACATGCCTGGGGTAAACACCAATTCTGCTGTCATTTGAGCAAGAACATTGTCAGGGCTTAATTTGATCCAGATTGATCCAACAATCTGTAGAGATGCACACACACAATGTGGTCAAAGTTATGTGGACACCTGACCATCACACCTGTATGAACTTGTTGGGCTTCCCAATCCAAAACTATCGACATTAATATGGAGTTGCCCCTCCTTGCAACTACAACAGCCTCCACTCTGATGGGAAGGCTTTCCACAAGATTTTTGAGTGTTTTTGCCCATTTAGTCTAAAGAACATTTGTAAGGTCAGGCACTGGTGTTGCACAAGAAGGCCTGGCTCACAATCGATGTTTCAATTCATCCCAAATGTGTTTACTGGGGTTTGGCTCAGGGCTCTATGCAGGCCACTAGAGTTCCACCACACCAAACTTGTCAGATTTCATGAACTGACTTGCGGCAAAACTGGCATCCTATGACAGTGCCACATGTAAAGTCACTGAGCTATTCAGTATGACCCATTCTACTGCTGATGTATGTGGAGATTGCATGGCAGCGTGCTTGAATTTTATACAACTGATAGCAGTGGGTATGGCTGAAACACATGAACTCAAAAAGTAGGAAGGCTGTCCACATACTTTTGGCTACATAGTGTAAATGTTGAGATTATCATTATTATTTTAAAACCACTTCCTTGTTTTTACACTCATTGTCCATTTTATGAGCTCCACTTATTATATAGGTGCACTTTATGCACTTTGTTTCTCTGAAATTTTATAAACCCCTGTTGTACCCTATTCTTCATTCTCAGCACTGCAGTTACAGTCATTTACAAATTAAGCCCTGTACATTGTATACCTAAGTGTTATAGTGGATGTTTGTCTTTCTTATTGTGAAATGCTGTTTTCAGAAATGTGATTTATTTGTGTCTGTGTCCTCAGGGCTCAATTAAAGACCAGCTAAAGTCATACGGTGCGCTGACAGAAAACGTTACACGTAAATACACACGGCAGATCTTGGAAGGAGTATGTTATCTGCACAGCAATATGATCGTACATAGAGACATCAAAGGTGAGACCCATATCTTTTCAGTACAGGCCGTAAATGGGTAGGCCATGGCTTTTCTCTGATATTGTTACAAAGGTAACTTGTCAGTATGCATAACGTGAGCTGTTTTAAAGAAGACGTTTAGTCAAAAATGTTTGTTTCTAAGAATGAATGAATGTGAATAGCTATGCAAATAACATCCACGGTTAACAGAAGTTTTTTGCTTCCAGTGTTAGCCTTATTTGGTTGAACTATTCCTTTAATAATAGTTCTTAACTTTGTCTCTGCTTACCTGTTTCTCCTTATCCATTTCACTCCTACTTTCTCCTTTCTTTCTTTTTTGTGTCTGCCGTTCATTCTTTCAGGTGCCAACATTCTGAGGGACTCAGCGGGGAACATAAAGCTGGGCGACTTTGGAGCAAGTCGCCGACTGCAGACCATCTGTCTTTCAGGCACAGGGATAAAGTCGGTGACTGGAACGCCCTACTGGATGAGCCCAGAGGTGATCAGTGGAGAGGGCTACGGGAGAAAGGCTGATATCTGGTAAAGAAAAATTATTCTTAACTGTAGCACGAGTGTTCTTAAGTGTAGCGCTTCAGCACCACGAGACTGAGTTTATGGAACAATGTTATTAATACAAAACTCAGTATGTGTAATATAATAAAAGATTGTACAAAAGCATATTTGATGTTTTACCCTTCTGAACTTTATTTTTCTTTCTTTTTGTAAATATACGCTTATTCCAAATTTGATGTCTGCAACGTTTTCTAAAAAAAGCTAGGACAGGAGCATATTTACCACTGTATTACAGAACCATTCCTTTCAACAACACTTAATGAATGTTTGTTGACTGAAGACAGAAATTGACCCAGTTCTGATGCTGTAATTTTTTTGAGTTTTACCACTATACATGTCATTAGCTCCACATCTGTACAGGGCCTCGTCGCCTGCCATATTTTGTGCTTCATAATGTGCTACGCATTTTCAAAGGGGTTTGGACTGCAGACATGCCAGTCTAGCCCCTGCACACTGGGATTAAACAGCCATGCCATTGTAACACATACAGAATTTGGCTTTGCATTATCATGTTGACATAAGCATGGATGTCCCTGAAAAGATGTCTAGAAGGTAGCTCCACAATGTGTATATATCGCTCAGCATTAGTTTTGCCTTCAAAGCTGTACAGTACACCCCCCATACCATCACAGACCCTGGCTTTTGAACTTTATGCTGGAAACAATCTGGATGGTCCTTTTTTTTCCCCTGGCCTCGAGGACATGTAGCTTATTTCCATAAACTGTCTTAAAGGTTGAACACGATACCAATTTCCACTGACCATCCGTCTATTTCATATGCACTGTAGCCCAGAGAAGTTGTGGCGTTTCTGGATGTTACTGATGTATAGCTTCCATTGTGCAGTACAGTCCTAACTTACATTTGCAGATACAGCAACAAACGTAGTTCATTGTCAGAGATTCTCACATCCATATGGTGATTCCTGTCACACAATGCCAGTCTTTAATGCAGTGTCGTTTGACTGATTGAAGGCCCAATGTGGTGCATGTTCCAGCTTTTTTGGAGTGTGTTTCAGGCATCTCAGAATGAGTGTAGATTTACAAAAAACAATGAAGCTGATAAGGTAAAACATTAAATGTCTTGTCTTTGTACTGTTTAAATACTGATCAAACTGCACTTATATTGTCCTGACTTTTTGCAGTTGAGGTTTGTATATTTAATAGTAATGTATAGTAGTAAAGCATTTAAAACATTTTTGAAAGTAATTAATGTATTACAGTTTTGATGTTTCTAGTTAATGTGAATTGTTTTCTTGGTTATAGGAGTGTTGGTTGCACCGTGGTAGAAATGCTAACTCAGCGACCTCCCTGGGCAGAGTTTGAGGCGATGGCAGCCATCTTCAAAATTGCTACTCAGCCCACCAATCCTTCGCTCCCACCCCATGTGTCTGACCACTGCCGTGACTTCCTTAAGCGTATTTTTGTGGAAACGAAACAGCGCCCGGCTGCAGAGGAATTATTACGGCACATTTTTGTTCACTAACCCATCCTCCCCCTCCATCACTGACCAATCAGAAAGAACCCTAAGTGTCTGTAGACTCTGCCCTTTTCTAGACTCCTCCTGGGCCTGCTGTAGATCGCCCCATTGGACCAGAAAGAGCGTGGGTGTGACTTAGCAGGTAGGAGGCTCACATTTTATGCCTCTTGGTGGAGGACAGCAATTGGGAGCAGCTTGATTTCCGTATGAAAACATTTGCACCTTAATTTCACTCGGGGGTAAGTACCCCTAAAGACATTTGTTATCTTTGTATCTTTGTAGACTTTTAAGCCGTTTTGTTTTTTGTCCTGAGTTGTTATTCCCTGCAATTGTGGAATTGGGAGCCTTAGCTCTGGGGAGTCTTGTCAAGTTCTTGACTCGCTGGATGAATCCGAGAGGCTGTCTGGTCCTGACTCGACCCAGAATGTACCGTCAGCACCCGCAGAACACGTCCGGTATGCCGCCAAGCTGCTAGAGAGAAAAAAAGGCAAACATAAAGGGGACAGAAATGAAGAAAGGAGACCAACCCATCCAACTTGGCTCTCCCAAGTTCTCATTCTCTTGCACAGTTTGTGTAAATGACACATATACACACACACACACGTTCCTAAAGGACTATACTGTAGAATATGTCACTCACTATGCTGTACAAACATTAGTTTGCTGTACCTCCCTCTCTCTTTCTCTTTGTCCACTCTTACTTACCAGAGAGTGCCACTGTGTTGTGCTGTAGAATCTGGCAGGGTTGTGATTCCTATCTTTCTCTCTCCTGACCACAATCCTTTTTTTACTGTGTGCCTTTTTAGATTTGTGGAAGCTTGTTTTTTTTTTTTTCCCTGCAGTTCTAATTTAGTTTTTGTCATGGTACACAACCAGTTTGTACCACAATGGCTAAGCGTTCTGCTATGAATCTACAATATCTCTGCTTAAACCTTTGCCTTCTCTCGTTACCCAGTGCCCCCTTTCCGTTTCAAACTGACTCCAGGTCAGCTCCTCAAGCGCTCCTTTGCCTTTCTGTAACACAGTGCCGTAGTCTTCAATCTGAACCGAGGTCCTCTGAAACAGGTTGAATATCAATACATTCACCAAAGCTCAAAGCCCAGAAACACATGCTGGGGTTGGTGCCTAGACAGCAGCTCAAAGTAGTCTCATTTGCCCTGTTCAAACACATGGAAGATTGACTGAATATGCGAATGGCTTGTGTAGGTTTCAGTGCCACTACGCCCAGATCCTTGCAATGGCCGTATTTTGGAAGAAAACAACACTCTTTAGTATTATTATCTTGGTGGGTTTTTTTTGCAGTACCGTAACATATGAAGAAGAAAAAAAAGATTGTTTCCATCCGTTTTTCTAGAGCAGACCTCAGAATGCCCAGCATGAATTCATGATTCAAATCAGTGCTCAGTACTTGACGATATGTAACAGTTTGAAGTTGACCTCAATCCCACAATGCCTTGACACAGGTATTTTTTTCTCACCATCTTGTGCTCTTCTTTACACTGCTTGACATAGTCATGCACATGTGCATGTGTACGCGCGCACACACACACACACACACACACACACACACACACACACACAAACCAACACGCACACACTACTGCAGTATGCTTATGCTCTTATCTTTAGTTTGCAAAAATGCAGCGACGTCTGTAAATCAAAGATTACGTATCGCCTCTCTCCTCCTGGTATGTTTTTTTCCTCGGTACGCAATTTCTGTTTGGTACCACTGAGCTAAGTTCACCCCCCCCCCAGAACCTTTCTCTGTACTTTACATTGTCCATTGAGGACCATAGTTTTTACATGTGCAGCACCACTTGATTTCCCTAATAAGTGCACATATTTAAAGGAATACTCCAGTGGTTTTCAACCTAAACTCTTTCTGCCACCTCAGTAATGTATGATTACCATGGCTAATAATCTGAACCCTTTTCCCTGTACAAACACAATATACATTCATATGAAAAGCTTTTGGGCAGTTGCTGAATTGTCAGTGAAGCACACTTGTACCGTTGGACAGTTGCAGAATTGTCAGTATATGCATGGTCAGTATACTGTCAATATGTTCTTTTTAAAATTTGGACTATTTTTTCAGATGGAAAAAACTGGAGTGATATGTTACCAGTGTAGTGGTATGGGCTGAGTTGTCACAGATTCCCTTGTGATTGCCGTGGATACCGAAAAAACCTCAGATCATTGGAAAAAATTAGAGAACAGAATCCAGTAGAGCAGAATTGGCTCTATGCCCCCCAAATAATTGGGTCTGTTAGCTGACATAACAGAAATGAGAGTTAACATTCTCCTCCAAGCATGTCGAGCTGTCCAACACTGTTGTGTTAGTGGCAGTTTGAAAAGATACCATGGCGCTTCACGTCTCGCACAGTCATAACAAAAATCACCTGATCAGCTATTAAAGCTAACTGCAGTTATTTTCCACGTGTTTGTCACAGTAGAGACTAAATTTTTATCAGTCGACGCAAATGCACTTAAAACGAAAGCAGAAAACGCATTTATTGACACGGTTTTATGTAATTATATGGTAAATAATCATCAGGTACAATTTCATGCTCATGAGAGGTGTATGTGCCGGCCTTCACCCTCCTACCTTGGTAGCATACTGTGAATGGAGGAGAGCTAACTAGCACATGGGAATTGACCATGACTAAATTGGCTGGCCAAAATTGGGCAAAATCCAAAGTTTTTGAAAGACATTCTCTCATGTCAGTCTCATATTAAGACATGTATTGTTAGATTTTAAGTAGTCCATATTGTCTGTTATAATTCACATTATCTGTTTATGTTCTCAGGCCTCAGTAGCTGCTCATTGGCTTCTTTTAAAAGAGTGTTGTAAGTTTTTCCAGGAAAGTCCAAGAAAATGTGATGAAGTTGTCTGTAGAATCAACGGTATGTTACAGAAGTGGCAGATAAAGATTAGGCTGAAAAATAATGGACTAGTCCTTTTATAAAGAAGTGAAATGTTGTGCATTGTTGGCTCAAATGGTGTAAGCTCTCAGTGAACAGAGATCCCTGTAGTGAATTTATACTTTCATGCTCAGAGTGCGCAAGTCTTGACTGAAAGTGCACTTGGCGTGCCTTTTGAAGGATGCAGCTATTAATGTCCACACTGCTACTGGTTTTGGTAGTTTTCACTTATCCCGCATATACTCTTTTCAAGAAAGCTAACCAGAGATTCCAATATAAATTTGTATTATTAGCTTGGAGTTTTGATAGAATAGATTGTTGATTTAGGAATGACCTCTAGATTTAGCATCACTTCATTTGGGACGGTCTGAATGGTTGCGTAAGCTTGAGTGACAGCACTTTGACTCAGTTATTGAATTTTTGAGTCATGGTTTTTCATTCTGGTGGAAAGGAAATTACTCAGTTGTTTCTTGTAAGGGAAGTCTGATGCCACTTTGATGGTTATGTTTCAGAAATATTTTACTATATTTAAACAGGTACTGTAGTGCTCAACTCAGAGCAGTGGTACAGACAGGCTGCGTAATATTGGAGAATACTTGGAACTAGCCTGGTAGAAGACTGTTATTGTTTTTAAACAATGAATTGGTTTATTTTGGTCATGGTTTTATAATGGTCGTGGCTTTAGGGTGGCACTGCATACAGTGAACTGCCCAGATGCACTGAATGCTTTTATCTAGATGAAATACATTTCCTACCAATAGTCGGCACTGCAGCTCTGTGATGAGTAGCATCACTAGCAAATCTGCAAGCCTGAATAGTCAAGGCACTAAAATGCCTCTGTACAGACTTTGACCATTAAGAAGTTACACTCCAACAAATGTTTACAGTTTTTGCACTCCAGGTACTGAGGAACCATTCTGTTTTACTCCTATTTACGGAATCATCAGTTCGGTCGAATTCCTTTAGAGTGATTTATAGCAGCCAGTTAAACTAATAGATGCATAGGGAATTTCACAATTTCTGCAATATTCAGTGGTTGAGATGTACAGTAATTAGGAGTGGTTTAATGTGAAGTGGTTCATTATAGAGAAATATGCCAAATTCTTTTCAATTGTGGTGATAGGAACCAAAGGTTGTGATGTCTACAATGCAAATATAGCCATTTTATTTACTATCTCAAACCACCAGTGAACCTACACGTGTCTTCTGTGATTTTATATGTAATGTTGATAGTAGTTAAATAGTGGTAAATCTGAAAAAGAGATTTCTTTGGGGACTATTTGGCCTTACAACTCACATTTTCCTCCCCACCAGGAATAGATTTAAGGAAATATGTTTTAGGTCTAAACCTTTTTAAAGCTGTCGTAAAACAGTGTCTCAGGCATCAGACAGAATATTCATAACCACTTCATGTAATAACTTTTTATGAGGTAGCTTTCCGTTAAACTCTTCAGACGTTTGGTTCTTATCACCACCACTGTGAACCAGTTTTCTCTAGAACAGTGCATTCCGCATCAGACCACTCTGAATGATATTCTTTATATCTTTAAAGCTACGGTTATGCAGATTTTTTTAAAAATGGATGAAATTCCAGTTTAATGGCACCCAGCTTCATTAATACAAGGTCAGGTACAAGATATGGACCCCTTGGCAAGTAGCCATTGATGTATTCCAGCTCCCTCAAAAAAAACAGAGCACTTTTGGGACCTTTCCATGTTATTTGCTAATGAATGCTATTCTTCATTGCAGTCAGTTGGCACAACAAGGAGTCACAGTTGCCCTTCCATGTTGTGTCTTGCCAGATATTGCTGAACTGGTTTGTGTCAAAAGGTCAGAAGTTGGCCAGTGCTGGTACAGAAAGTACTCCTATTGCTTTAGTAACGGTACAAGTGCCAGTTCTCAAACCATTGGAACTTCATTTTTTTATGTTTTCATTTAACTTGATCTAATAGGAGGAAAAAAGCATTATTTGGTGTCTGTTTGCGTACGTGGTGTACAGATTTACTCCACAGTGAGTATAGGCGTTTGTAATGTATGTACAATTGTCTGTCCTTTCGATGTTGAACTTTTTGCACATTTTTGAGACCATAATTTGTACACTGATTTTAATACTTTTGCCAATGAATGTTTGTGTGTGTGTGTGTGTGTGTGTGTGTGTGTGTGTGTGTCTCCATTTGTCTGTATTCACAAAAAATGACAGAAGTGATTCTCTGAGAAGGTGTGGTAGGAATTGCCAAGCCCTGCAGGAATGTAATGCCTGAATCTCTCCACTAGGTGGCACCATGCGTGTATTAGCCTGTACTCCTACATTTTCTTCTCTCCTGCTGAAACATAAATGAGATTTTCTTTGAAACGTGAAACCTGTAGGGCTGAATCAACCACCCTGTTGCCTGTGTATTAGTCCACCTTCGAGGCTTTCTAATGCTACGATTGTGACAACTGGGAACTAGAAATTTTCCAACTTGGAATCTCTTACTTCCCACCTGAAAGGGCTCAGCTGTTTGAGGTCTCTCACAGTAAGTTAGCACTTGTTTTTAGCTGCTGTGTGCTTTTTTTATTTTTAGTGGATGGAGTTTATGGCATATCCATAATTACAAATGCACTAAAAATTACATTAAAGCAAGCAGTTCAGTTAAAAATCTTGTACAGTCATTCCGTATATTTAGGGATATCATAAACAAATATACACCAGTAGAAACTTAAGTGTGCTTTAAAAGCTTAAAATGTGCTGTTCATTTTTGTTCTCTGAGCGTTACCATCTTGAAACAATGTCGGTGAACATCAACTGAAAGAAGTCTGAGCTTTTGAGAAATTCTTTTCAAGAGAGAATTACAAGTTGGGTGGCTGTTGAAGTGGATTTTACCCATCTGGAGGTTGGAAACTTCCCAGTTCCCTCTTAGTCATGAGCGCGGCATAACAACTGGTCCTTAAAAGCCCTTAAAGCTTCACAACAGTTCTGCTAACAGGCTGGGCTTTCCAGTGAGGTCTAATGTGCCACTGCTGCCACTCCTGAATGCACTTTGTGTGTGAGTCTGTGTGTTTGTGTCTTTTTCTGGATGACTGATGTGTGAGTGTGTGTTGCCAGCGCAAAGGTCACTGCGCCCAGATGGCTTGCGCTTTAGGACTGTACAATTTAAAACAAAAAAATAAATAAAAACAATTAAAAAAAAATCACAAAAATGAAAAAAAAAGAAGAAAGATTTTCTCTTTCGACAGAGTACACTTATCTGGTACAAAACTCTCTCTTGTTTGTCTGCTTTGTCTATGGTACGAGAAAGCCATGTTTATAATTCAATTTGGTTTGTGACCAATAAGCCTGTTTATATCAAATCTGTATATCAGTGCTACGCATATTTTTTTTATATATATATTTTTATTTTTTCCTTTTTTTTAACTCGAGATTTTATGCATGATTGGCGTTTGAATGGCCCAATGAGGTAATGTGCCCTGCTATGAGAGCACAGCTGATTGGAGGGTTTGCTGGACGACATCATGAGATTGCCTGATGGCTGGCACTTTGTATAGTGTTGCTAATAATTATGATGATGAGAATAATAAAAGATATTTATTTCACATTTCCTGTTCTCCTGGTTTTATTTGAATATAGGCACTGTTGAATGCTTTTAGTTTGCCTGGAAATGCTGCAAATGCTCATTTTCTGAGTTTAAGCAGTGCTTTTGCATTACACATTTAGCAGGTAAAATTAGCCTATTAGAAATCTGCTGAACTGTTCATCCTAGACCTAATTAAAAAAAACATTTACTTCTTGTACACTTTAACTTCAGAAACATGCAATTTGTAAGTACAAACATGCATTGCTGAGATCCTGCTGGTGTGGGTTTCCTCTCTTCAGAACATCACACAAAAGTGATGCATATGAGTTCTTCTTGTGGAGAATCTGCTTATCACAGCTTTGTAATGACCTCAGGATGCCCTGTTTATCATTCAAATTGTCACCTTATCACTTAGCCAATTCATCAACAATGTCAATTTTATTTTTTCAATAAAAATAATGTTCAAGTTTTATTTATTGTTCATTTATATAATTAATTGTCTGTTACTCAGTTGATTTCATGGGAGAAAATGTTGATACAGGTTGTAATCAAATCCTCACATTAATGTTCCAGCATCTGGTGTAAAGCCTCCACAGAAGAGTAGAAGCTGTTACTGCAGCAAAGGGGGCACAAACTCCCTATTAATAGCCTTGATTTCAGAAGAAACACTGTGTCTGTGAGCTTTTGGACATGTATGGCCAGTTGGGATTGAGCCTGTTCCTGGACTGCACAGTATTTTGAAAGAGTAAAGTGATTTTTCCTCTGAAAGAAAAGTATAGTCCATGACTAAGCTTCATATCGTATCTGGGAAACCAGCCCATAGTGGACAGTCATATAGAAAATGTTGAACAAGCCTGGTCATATTAGTCAGTCCTATTACTGTTGTTTAACATAATTGCAAATTGTTTTGGTTGATTAAAACACATTACATAAATTAGCATTTTCTGCACTATTTCTATGTATTTGCTGAGATTACTGTGGAAAAAATAAAGAAATGTATGGTTATTCTTCCCCAGAGATGTTAAATTCAGTAAATAAATGGTAATTGTGCATAACATTGTGCAGAAGTGTGTTCTAGAGGATGTGTTAACTTGTTTTCATAAAAAAATAAAAAAATCAACAAACATGTAATCTGACCAGGACCGCCCAAACTTTCGCATATGACTATGTGTGGATCTGGAGTTTATGGGCTAGTGGCCCAGGTTCAAAAAAACATCGCTTAGACCATGTATTAAGGTACAGTAATCCATAGGTAAGTGGAAAAGTACTAGTTTGTCTGACTCAGTAAAGTTGGATGTAAAGGGAAATTGCACCATTTCTTTTTTTAATTTCTGAGAAATGTAGTCCTTGAGATGTAGAGTCATTCTGAGTGGATAAAAACCAGGGGTTGCCATGTCTGCAACACAAATACAGTCATTTTATTTACTATCCAAGGTCACCAGTGAACCTACACGTGCCTCCTGAGTTTGTATATGTAGTTTTGATGATTGTAAAATAGTCATAAATCTGAAAAAATAAGTTTTCTTTTGGAACTACTTTGGCTTACAACACCCTGCATCTATCAATCGCAGTGTCTCAGACGTTAGGCAGCGTATATCTAACTACTGCAGGCAATAACTTACATAGATAACATCAGATGCGTTGAACTCTTCAGACGTCTGGTTCCCATCACCTCCACTGTGAAGAACTCTGACTCTAAGTTTCTCTAGAATTGAGCGTTTCTCACCAAACCACTCTGAATGACTCTGTTTACATCTCAACGATTTGATTATGTCGAATTTTTAAAGTTCCACTTTAAAGTTCCCCTGCGACCTTTCAGCCAATCAGACTGCAGGAGGCGGGGCTTGTGTGAAGGCGGGTGTGGCGTATTTTGTTGCGGTCAGCTGGCAGCCGTTGTTCTGCGCTACGAGCTCCATCACGATGGCGTGCGGAGTTTTCAGTCCTGTCCGCCTCACAGTGACTCGCTGGCGGCCAACAGCCCTGCTTCAGCTCGAGGGAGTGCGGAGCCTGAAGGCACAAACCAGCGACTTGAACGTGCAGTCCGTCACCGCTGAACCGGGGAAACTGAAGACCATCGATGACCTCCCAGGGCCCAGTCTGGCCACTACAGTTTACTGGCTGTTTGTAAAGGGCTACGCAGATAAGAGCCATGCAATGCAGGTTAGAAACTCCAGCTTTGCTATTTTCAGCTGTTTGCATTCAGGATTAATGTTAACGAGTGGTTCTTAAAGAGGAACTCCACCAAAATTTCTGCATAAGGAAATGGTTAAGATGTCAACAAAGTCATTCAGAGTGGGTTTGGCTCCGTTCTAGAGAGACTTGTCAAGTCAGAATTGTTCACAGTGGTGGTTAATAGGAATCAGACATCTGAAAAGTGTTTAATGCCTCTAAAATCTCCCTTACAGAAAATTATTGCATGAAATGTTAATGAATGCTCAGTCTGATGTCTGAGACACTGTTTACAGTAGTTTTATGATCGATAGTTTAGCCTGAAATGTATTTTATTCAATTTGTTTTAATCTATTGATGATGGAGGGATACATGAAGGGTGTTCTAAGGCAAGTAGTCCCCAAAGAAAACTTTCTTTTTTCCAGATTTACCACTATTTTACCATCATCAACATTACACATAAAACTCCGAAGACTTGTAGGTTCACTGGTGGTTTTGCATAGTAAATAAAATAGCTATGTTTGAGTTGTAGACATGGTGACTCTGGTTGCTGTCAGCACCACTGTAAAAAAAATCTGAGCAGGCAAGTTTTTCTGCAAATGAATTTCACACCAAACCACTGTGAAAAAGTTTTTTTACAGCTCAACCACTTACATTACGCAGACATTGAAAAAATGTGTGGAATTCGCCTTTGAGATCTGACTCAAATCCTGCAGCATTCCTGCAAAGATGACATGGGCTGAACTATGTACTTAGTTCAGATGAGGGTAGAAAATAGTTTCTGTTTACTTAGTTTCTTGTACCTTTGCTATTTTTTAATGAAGGTCCGCTACCCTAGACATAGTTAAGCAAAACATTTCACGTCATGTACACATAATATATAACAGCAAACATTTAATTTAACTTCATATACTTGAAATTTGTAACTACAAACATATGTGCGTGTGTGAGATCCTGCTGGTGTGGGTTTCCTCTCTTTCAGTGAAGCACACAAAAGCTATTCTGCTTAACACGCCTTTATAATGACCTGCGGAACCTGTTTATCATTTAATTGTGAACTAAGCACTAAACTAAATTGACCCTGTAAATTTTAAATCAATCAGGTTTTTAAAAAGTCATAGTTTCTAATAGAGCAGGGGTCTTTGATTAAAATTCAGTAAGGTCCAGTTAGAGAAAATACTGAAGTAGCCTAGTAGATCAACATCGTATGCAGTGAACAACTCAATGTTAAATCAAATAAAGTACAATTCATTAATATTAATAATATTTATCGTCAGTTTTCTCTTTTTAGAGCACTCCATGTGAAATAACCCTCTGACTCACGTTCTTCTCCGACTGCTGTTTCTTGCCTCGTCCCTCCCCTGTGTGTGAGTCACTCACTTGAGTCTCAGTGCCCATCGTAATGCACAGATCTGATTGGCTGAGTAGTGTCACGCGTGATATTTGCAATGTATGCGATTGGTCTGTGAGTTTCCCGGGCTGCTAAAGCATTACTGTAAAGGCTAGAAAAGTTACGCTGATTAAAACAGGACCACCCCGTCGAAATTAAATAATTCTCCATAGTTTATCGGTTATAGGTCCAGGTCCACATAGGACAGCGCCTGGGTCCGGACTCAGACGGCGGTCTGCCTATGATTACCTCTGTAATAGAGTAATCATGACAGTGTTTCTGAAGAGTATTTTTAAACGATGACACATATTCATATGTGCTTGTGAATAAAATAGTTGCATTTTCATTTTTCATTTTTAGTCTTTCACATTCCTGTATGAAAAGGATGAATGATGCCTATTTGCGGTATAATTTCATTCTGTTACGTTGATTCAGTGCCAAGACTGTTTGGCTAATTACAACACTCACTCAAAGGAATCCTAAAAATAGAAGAGTAGAGCCAAACAGGCTCCAGTTCCTCAGTTCCCATGCCACTGCAGTTCTGTAGTAAACCCAGTGTGTGAGGGTTTTTTACCGGACACTTTTTTACTCCTTCTCGAATTGTTTTTTTGGTAGCTACTTTTACTTCTACTTCAGTTGTTTTTACTTCCACTTTAGTGAAGTACCTAAGGATGACTTTTGGTTACCCTACGCAACAGTTCCCACACTTTGGTGTACTTTTAAAGTTGGCAACAGTTTTCCCTTCTACATTTGACACAGGCAGCTGTGATTAATGACCCAGAGTTGTCTGGAGTGAGCTCCACTTAGTTTTAACCAAGAAAGCGTCCAGAGTCCATAACAAACAGATACAGCAGAGATTAAACCATCATAACCCGTAATTTGAGTAGCTACAGATTATAGTGATACGATGAACAATGATCTTATTTCACATAATGAGAAGTAGAGTGATGTACTGAGAAGATCATTTCTGTAGTCAGAATTCTTTGAAAAGAAACCAGCTGGATGTTATCTTGGTTCTCTTTCCATGAGGCTGAAGTTGGATGTGGAAGCAACAGAAAGCAGCATTGTTTGTGACAGAAAACAACAAAGTCAAGGAGTTTCTGTGCAGTAAACTGCACCAACCGCAGAGAAGCTAGTTGGAGAGTGTTTAATATCTTGAAAGCATCACATCACTTTGCCAAACACTGCAGAAGATTATGGATTCAGGCCATCAAAAGGGCGGACAAGGGGTCCTGGTGGTCACCAAAGCAACAAAAGTCTGCGCAGCATCCACTTGTATCTAAATTTAATGTTTTTTGACAGGGTGATTGGCTGTTCTACCTATAAATATGCGAAGGAAATTTTGACAAGGTTGCACAGTTCGTCAGAACACCGGTATGTTTCTTTGCTGACATTAGCTAGTCAGGAGTAATTTAGCACTGTGTGTGATTCATATTGATGATAGCTACCGTACGTTGTCTGTTTACTTAGCTTAGCAACACTAATGGTACCACTTTGCTCCTGGTATTGTGAAATAAGGAGAGGATAGACAGGCTCAATAAACAACAAAGCCGGCTAAGCTGGGCAAAATTCATAGGACATGTCAGCAAATAAAGGTTTTTATATGACAGCTCCTATTAGCTAAACCTTTAGTGGATAGTAAACTTAGTGGGGTGTTTATAGACCTGTTGACTAGCCCATACTAATAATCAGCCATTGTTAGCTTAACATTTTACATAATGCTATATTAATATACAAATGAAAGCCAAACAAACATGTTCATCGCAGAAATAGTATTTTATTATTACGTCAACAAGAATTTACACGCAGTGCAAAATCTACATTGATTAAAAACTTGACTAACGTTAAAACCCTGTAACTGCTAAATTGCCAAAGCGGTTTTGCCAGAGAACCTGTAGAGAGGAGAATTTCCACACTGCAGTGTCTTCTGGTTTTCTCAAACACTAGAGGGCGCTCCCGAGTGTGTCTAAAATGAATGGGTTAAGAGGGAGCGTTTGAGCAAAATCATAGTTTATAAATGCTCAAACATTTTTAATGTAAAAGAATGAAATAATTTCCTGAACAAAGAACAGCATAGGAGTTTAAAACGGCACCTCATGTATGTCCATGACCTGCGTGAGCGCCAACGGCTAATGAGCTGCTCTGCTCGCCAATCAATCATCACTCTCTAGCAGTAATGCCCGCCTTCTGCTGCCCAAAACCCGTTTGTTGTAGAAAAAAGGAAATATATAGGTAAGATTTCTTTGTTTTTTTAGTGAAATACATCCTTCTACTTTCTAAAATTAAAGAAACGTTCTGAGCAAGTGATTAGAAACTATTTTAACTTTTCGTTTTTAGCCGTTGAGCTCCATTTACTCCCATTCATTGAGGACTCCCTCGCGAGCGCCCTCTGCTGTTTAGCAGTCCTGTTTTTGATATAACGGAGGGAATAGGAAGTGGCCAGGCTCCTCATAAACTCTGGTTTTGCCCCTTGGCTGCGCGCGCACCCAGTAACCTTTGTAAACAGGAAACCCGTCTATGGTGCACCAGTGTTCTGACGAATTGTGCTTCTTTGTCAAAAAGACCCACCGTAACACATATTTTTAGGTAGTGCTCAACATAAAACTGTAGGTGGGATATTTTGATGGCCTAAGTTGTCAGAAAATGCTACCATCGCTGAAATCTATAGGTAGGATAATTTGATCTCCTTAACAGAAAACGTCACCAGCATTAAAATAATAATCAGGATATTTTAATTGCCTAAATTACCTTATCATTCAATACGTAGAAATATTAAGCTGAGTCTGTAGTGATTTGCGCATGCTCAGTAGGACCACTCGATGGGTAGGACAAATTGTTAGGACACAGGCACGAGAATATAACTGCCGCGCCATTTAAGGTAGAACGCCAAGTTGAATAAGAAAGTGGCAGATATGAGAAAATTGAAACTATCATCTTTTCCACGGCGTTCTGTGAAAATGTTTTGGTTCCGCGTACCGATTCTGATCAGTGTTTACTGCAAGCCTAATCGTGAAGAAAAACGAAGCGTTGTCGTGCAGGATGAATCGAAGACGTTTTTGTGCGCTGTAAGGAAAGCAGCGGCTGATGAGCAGCGTTGTTTAAAGCTGGTAATTAAATTTAAAATTTTTAAAACTCAGCACTCTTTCCTGCATTACAAACTCCTTAGTCACATTCTGCCTCGAGCCAACTGCAATGAAAAAACACGGAGTCGAAGAGTCGACTCCAAGCATTTCGACTCGTAGAGTCATTGGCATGCTCGACATGTCGGAGTCGAAGAATCGATTCTTTTGGAGTCGACTCCCTGTCACTAGCAGGCATTGAATGCTTCGAAGTGAGCTGCAGTCTGATATGATCTTTACAGAGCAGCAGTCTGATATGATCTTTACAGAGCTGCGCGTCTCATTGCTTCAGGAAATGGGCGAAACAGCTGCAGAAAAACTCATGTCATTTCATGTCATCTTTCAGGGTGCAGTAAGGGTATGAAAATGAACTGATGCATTGTTCTGTGAACTGCATCAGTTTTTGGAACAATAGAATCAATTGTAATGAATTATAAAAATATTCAATAAATATATGTTCATTTTTTGGCCAAAATGAAATAATATTTTCAAATTGTTTTCCAACTACATCTAGTTGCTCGTAATAAAATACTTTTTCCACTTTTTATTCGATTTCTATCATTACACTCATGCTAATTTTTGATAGCATCTCTTTGGGTATCACTGTATAAGGTTAGCATCAAGCTAACTGAGGTGTTCTTTCACTTCTTCACATTAGATTTAATACTTCTTAAGGCAGCTTATATAAATGAGGACATTTGAAGCTGACATTTCCTCAGACATTTAAATTTAAAGCCATTTACTCAAGATGTTATCGACAGAGCTTCCTAGCCTGTTGGCCTGTTAGCTATGTGAACTAGCGGTCTGCCAAGCTGGTCAGTGGAGAGCTAGTTAGGCTAAACTACATTCGTACTTGTGTTATGTTTAGTAACATTTCACAAATTTTACATGATAAACATGCAGTTTGTGACCGCAAACATTAGGTTAGCTAGCTAAGTTACACACATTCATGCATTCACTTTAGTTTTAGGTTGCACAAGCTATCCAAACCCTGTTTAAAAATCACAAGACAACGCACCATTTATTTATTTATTTATTTTTTCCCAAACTATATAAGATACACTATATTGCCAAAAATATTCATTCACCCATCCAAATCATTGAATTCAGGAGTTCCAATCACTTCCATGGCCACAGGTGTATAAAACCAAGCACCTAGGCATGCAGACTGCTTTTACAAACATTTGTGAAAGTATGGGTCGCTCTCAGGAGCTCAGTGAATTCAAGCCTGGTGCTGTGATAGGATGCCAGTCCAGTCGTGAAATTTCCTCGCTACTAAATATTCCACAGTCAACTGTCAGTGGGATTATAGCAAAGTGGAAGTGATTGGGAACGACAGCAACTCAGCCACAAAGTGGTTGGCAACGTAACATGACAGAGCGGGGTCAGCGGATGCTGAGGCGCATAGTGCGCAGAGGTCGCCAACTTTCTGCAGAGTCTATCGCTACAGACCTCCAAACGTCATGTGGCCTTCAGATTAGTTCAAGAACAGCATAGAGAGCTTCATGGAATGGGTTTCCATGGCTGAGCAGGTGCATCCAAGCCTTACATCACCAAGCGCAACGTAAAGTGTCGAATGCAGTGGTGTAAAGCGCCGCCACTGGACTCTAGAGCAGTGGAGACGTGTTCTCTGTAGTGACGAATCACGCTTCTCCGTTTGGAGAATCACACAATCCGATGGACGAGTCTGGGTTTGGCGGTTGCCAGGAGAGCGGTACTTGTCTGACTGCATTGTGCCAATTGTGTTTGGTGGAGGTTATGGTGTGGAGTTGTTTTTCAGGAGTTGGGCTCGGCCCCTTAGTTCCAGTGAAAGGAACTCTTAATGCTTCAGCAGACCAAGAGATTTTGGACACTTTTATGCTCCCAACTTTGTGGGAACAGTTTGGGGACGGCCCCTTCCTGTTCCAACATGACTGCGCACCAGTGGTTGTGGTATATACTGTGTTTTCTGAAATGTTTTCAAGTATCGTGATGTAATACTATCCTTCCACTGAATCATTTCCTGAACAACAATAATTAAACTGACCTTTGCAGTTGGCGCATAAGCGGCTATATGGACCAATCTGGCGCTCGCGTTTTGGGCCGTTTGATGTGATCAATGTGGCCACAGCAGAGCTCATCTCACAAATGATCCGGCAGGAGGGCCGTTATCCAGTGCGCACAGCACTGCCTCACTGGAAGGAGTACAGAGAAATAAGAGGCCAGGCTTACGGGCTTCATGTTGAGTAAGTCTGTCCTCCCGCTGCTTCTGATTTTACCCTGTTTGTCATCTTGTTGCTCAAAGAAACCAAACACTTAATGTCAAACTATTGGACACTGTAAGCCTCAAATGAACATGTGATGCGCTGTGGTTTACTACTTCAGCTTTTTCTCTTAGCAGAACATTACAAAGGGAAAATGAAAGTAGTCAAAAATACAGACCAGCTCCTCCTGCATTGGCTTGATTGAATCAATGACTTGTAGGCCTAAATAGCAGAGTTTGTTTGATTGGAAAGTTACATTACTTGTGAGTGATTCTGACATGTAGCTTATGTTCAATTATGCTACTAAATTACAATTAAATAGAATAAATGATCAAATAATGAGTCGTCATTATCGTCACTGCGAGTTTTTGACGTCAGCTATTTGTGTGATAGTAATGACATGAGTGTCTTCACTTTTTGGAGATTTGTTGAGAAAGTGTTGGGCTTGCTAACACAACTCGATAGCTCTCATGCAGTTTACATTTAACAAATGAAGTAAGGCTATCAAACGATTACAACAATTAACTGTGATAATTTGCATTACTTTGTGTTCTTCACAAATAATCACATTTGTCTTATTTGCTCAAATTTTGCTCAAATTTGAGCCGAAAGAAAGAAAGAAATCCAAAAAGTTGGGACATTTTTGTAAAATGCAATAAAAACAAGAATCTGTAATTTGTAAATTCTCTTGAAGCTTTATTTAAATGACAAAAGTACAAAGACACAACTTTTTGCAACATGAGGCAAAATAGGAATGAAAAGTTTATAGAATTCATTCAAGAAGAGTCGAGTTACACCATTTTGAAACATTCCACAATAAGCAGGTGAATTGGTAACAGGTGAAGGTATCATGACTGGGTATAAGAGGAGCATCCACCAAAGGCTTAGTCTTTGCAAGCAAAGATGGGTCATGGCTCACCGCTTTGTGCCACACTTCAAAAATAATATTTCTCAACGCAAGATTGCAAAGAATTTAGGTGTTTCACCATCTACCATATATAATATTCTGAAAAGATTTAGGGAATCCAGAGAAATCTCAGTCCATGTAGGGCAAGGCTGAAAACCACTGTTGAATGTGCATGACCTTCGAGCCCTCAGACGGCATTGCATAAGAAACTATTATGCTCCTGTGTTAAATACTGCCACATGGGCTCAGGAGTACTTCGGAAAACTGTTATTAACCAGCACAGTCCGCTGCTGCATTAAGAAATGCAGTTTGAAACTCGAGAAAGCCATACATCAATTCTATGCAGAAACGCCGCCGAGTTCTCTGGGCCTGAGCTCATCTCAGGTGCTCTAAAAGACAGTGGAAATGTGTGCTGTGGACAGATGAGTCCACATTTAAGCTTGTTTTTGGGAAAAATGGACCATGTGGCAAAGACGAAAGGATCCACACCCAGTGAAAGGTGCAAAAGCCGACATATGGGGGTGCATCAGTGCTCACAGCATGGGTGACTTGCATATGTGTGAAGGTACCATTGATGCAGAGGGGTATGTTGGGATTTTAGAGAGACATATACTGCCATCAAGACAATGTCTTTTCCCAGAATGTCCATGTTTATTTCAGAAAGACAATGCCAGGCCTCATTGTGCTACATCAGTGTGGCTCAATAGACACAGAGTGTCTGACTGGCCTTCCTGAAGTCCAAATCTGTCTCCTGTAAAATATATCAAAGGGACAGAAATGGTCTCCTAATAGAAAAATAAAAGAATTACCCTTATTTGTCATGAATGTAATGTCTCCGTTGTTTGCCAAGTCCCAGAGCACAGTTTTCTATCTCTTTCAGCACGGGTCCTGAGTGGTACCGTATGCGTAGTGCTCTGAACCCGAAGATGCTGAAGCTGCGCGAAGCGGCTGCATATGCACCGGTCATTCACGACGTGGTGACGGACCTGCTAGATCGTCTGGAGAAACTGCGTCTGCGCAGCCAGGACAAGAACACTGTGAATGACCTCGCCTCTGAGCTCTACAAGTTCGGCTTTGAAGGTCAGAGGGGTGGAAGGGAAGGAGAAACTAAATGTAATTAGCATTTTAAAACTGTTAATGTACGTAATATTATGTGATGAGCAAAAGTAGGTTGCATTGCTAAAATTATTAGCTTTAAAAGCATTATGTTTCTATGCTTTTGTCCATTTTATAAGCCATATAGTGCTAGAAACTCTATAAGCAATGCACAAGAAGAACTTTGAGTGATTAAGACGAACAGTTTGCACAGTGCTAATTGGTGGGGTATAACTTCTTAGCAGAATTGTCACTGTTGATAATATTACTAACTGAGCAATGTCCTCATTTGAGAGTTTGAGAGTTTTGTAACAATAAAACATTTAAAACAATAAAACGATTAAATCAACAAAACAATAAAACAATTAGAACAGTAAAACTGAATAACCATAACTCGGAAGTCTTATGATCATATAAACATACAACTTCATTTCCGCAACAGTTGGGACGCTGTGCAAAATGTTAATAAAAACAGAATGCAATGATATGCAAACATTTTAACCCTATATTTAATTGAAAATATTACTAAGACAACATATCAAATGTTGAATCTGAGAAATTGTATTGTTTTTTGAAAATATATGTCCATTTTGAACACTTTTCAAAAAAGTTGTAATGGGGGCCTGTTTACCGCTGTGTTGCATCACCTCTTCTTTTAACAACACTCAACAAGTGTTTGAAAACTAAGGAGACCAATTGCTGTAGTTTATAAAGTAAAATGTTTTCCCATTCTTGCTTGATATAGGATTAACAGTTCAGGGTCTCCTTTTCTGTGCTGGTGTCAAATTCGAAGTGGGCAAATATTTTTCAAAAAAACACATTTCTCTGTTTCAGTCTTTGTAGTATTTGCAATTAAATATAGGGTTTAAAGGATTTGCACATCATTGCATTCTGTTTTTATTTACATTTTGCACAGCATCCCAACTTTTTTGGAAACGGGGTGCGATAGCTGTGCGTATCACTTATATATAAGTGTTTAATGCAGAAACCTTTACTTACTAAAATATAAGTAATCCAATTACCACTACTATGATAATGTTAATTTCCGCTAGCTATGGATTTTCAGTGTAGTGGCTTTGCACAAAGCGAACAGTACACATTCACTTCCCACACTGGGTTCAATACTACTTATGGCAGCTCTAGCTTAAACATGAACGTTTGTAATAAATGAGTACAGGGAATCTTTTAATATATACTTCAGTTGAAGCTTAATTCTGAATATTTCCAGAGGAGCCTGTTTGCTAAGCGTGTCTGTCTGGATCTAGTTTTTAAACAAAACACTGTTTTTAAGTATGTTTATTATGGTTTCGGGCCTTTTACTTCAAAAACATGTAGTTCGTGCAATTATATGTGCATTTGTGAGACCAGTTTCCCCTCTTTCAATGATGCATGGAAAAGAGATTTGAGTACTCCTAGCTTCCCTTGTGGAGAATCTCCAGCCAGCAATTTGAATGATTTGAGTCAGAATACCCTCATCATGAGTGCCAACCTAACTGCAGATTCATCAAGAAGGTACATTTTAATTAACTTTGATTAATTGTGAGAGCCTTATTTACTGTTGTTTGTGGCAAATTAAACTTTGGCCACCAAACATGGCTAATAGACTACATTTGGGATAAGGGGAAAATTGTGTAACTTCTCACCAAGCTTCTTCTTAGTTTAGAGGTTTAGAAGAAGAGTTCTGCGCAAACCTGTTCTAGTCTCATTTTTCCAGAGCTCCACCCCTGCCATGTAACATTGTCCTTCCTTCTGATACACTTGATTAATCACTTGAAAGACTTGTTTATGATTGAATTGGGTGTGTCAGCATAAGAAGCACAAAGGACAGCTATGCTGGACTTTTGGAGTCTTTATAGAGTTACTACAACATTGGAATCCTAGAAGTTGCAGTGATAATAAAATCATGTTCTAATTTTTAAATGAATTATTATATTAATGATTCATCACTCTTAGCTGATAAAAACAAGCAGAGAAATTCTATCAAAAGTTTTTATTGCACGTAAAGTTTTGTTTTTCTAAAAGAAAAGACATTGTATACATTTTTGCTGTGGTTTTGTTATTGTTTGATATTAAAAACAGTGGACAAAGTACAGACTGGTACCTGTTTAAATAGAACGTGAATTGAATGTAAATGTAATTCATGACATAAAGATCTGTGTAATTCCTTAAGTGTAATGACAATAAATAACTTACTTAAAATGAAAGTATATAACTAGTCATCAAAGGGTCATCGGTTTTTAGACTCGTTTTGGTATTAAGGTTAAGAATATCCTAAAAGAAAGGTGAACATTCGTATTATACAAACTCATTTATTCCAAAATCATTACAAAATGATTTCAGTGGTAAAGTCACAATATGACAGAGTATTTTCAGCTTTATCGAGTGTCGTCTCAAGTGCTTCTTCTGGCTTTGTATTCTACTTCTGAATGGCTTGGAGCATAACATTTGTCTATTCAATGTGCCACTAATCAAAGGCATTCCTTGAATATTCCTCCTTTATCTTCCTTGGAAAAGCTCAAGTATAAAACCCCTTTAAAGCCCCTGTCTACTCTTTTTTAATTAATGTTACAAAAATGAAAATATAATGGTCTGATTTTTGCAGTTTTTGTGATGTTCTTACTGTGAACTGGCAGAGAAAGAATGCTGTAGGTCTTTTCTGTTGAGAAATTATTGAAATTTCCTTTTTACCCTTTTGTTTTCTTCAGTTCAGTTTGAGTTGGGTGGGTCTAAATTTGGTGCAGGTGATGTCAGATCTGCCAGAGTGCCAGTCAGAGTTAGTAATATCACGTTGCTCTCCTTCACATAAAGTGACTGCTCTCCTTAGACGAAGCTCCCAGCAATAGGTGATTTAAGCTTGTCTAATCTTGTCTTATCTAACGGTGCTTGTTATGAAGGTTTATTACACCGTTGTTTGTAGCGTAGTTAGACACTGCTTCCTACTTGTGTTAGCAACCCGTTGCAGGATGCTGCTATAAGCAGTTGACTTCACTACATTTATTAGAGTGCGTTAGCTAGCGGTCCACCTCAACTGTAGGACTAAAATGATATGTAGCATTACATTAACAACCCCCCCAACATCAAGGCTCACAGTGCTTCCCTGCAATTGTGCTTCACAGACGTGGAGTAGAATAAGAGAAATTTCTCCAAAGTGTCTGCAAATATGAACTTGCTGACTCAGAACGGGAGCTTGTGTGGCCTGTCAGCTCTGTTTCAGAAGCATCGTCCAGCGGTTAGCTGGATATGTTACATAATGGACATAACATTGGGGCTGCTGAGTGTTCAAATATCGGACGATATGTCGTGATCTACCCATCATAATATGAAAGCTTGAGTTCTAAACCATTAGCTGTAAAATGTAATTAGATTTCTCAAATGATCATTACGCAGCTTGTTTTCAGTTGTGCACTTTATGCTTCCCTCACACAGGCAGGGCTGAACCACACCGATTGACGTTGCCTGGGAGATGCTACTGTCAATCATTTTGTGATCCAACATGCCTGGGCAGTTCTGAGTCTGCAGCAGCTCAGAATTTTTGGAGCATTTATCTATTATTAAATTGTATCAATTCACATATGTTTCTTAATTCAGGGGTTTCCAAAGTTTTTGCAAAGGCTGTTGGATGGGATCATAGGAAAATGCCTGAGGGGCAGTCAGTCTTTGCCAAAATATTTTCATAAATGATTTACAATATTAAGAATTCAAAATACAAATGTGTAGAGCAGTTAACCCAGTTGAACTGAGCGTCTCACTAATGACCCATTCTGAGAATTTGGCTATGGCCCCTTAAAATTCACTTAAATGTTCCACCAAAGGAGGACGAGGAGCTCATGCACTTGAACGTTGGCCCCAGTGAAACACATCAACATAGAAATAGAGCTTTCTGTGTGCTACCATGTATCTCTCACCATACAGAAGCTGCTCAATGCTGCCTTTATGGGATGCACTGTGATTTTTTTCAGAGTAAAAATGCGAATTTGTAACAAATTGATTTCAAAACAGCAAATAAATTGTGACTAAAGTGGTAAATAAATGAAGTTGCTGCTGCAAGAGGAGAGCAGATTCCAGCCACTCAGTGTCTCTGCCCTCTCGCCCCCTTAATATTTACTGTACTGTTCATGGTTTGTTTCATAATGTGTTTTGGTGTTAAGTTCATTATGGTCTTTTCGTGTATGAGGCACATGCATTTGCTATGGCTCTCACCAAAATTGTTGATTCTCACTGTTAACTTTTTAGCTGTAGTCAGTCAGTAAATTAGTTTGCAGATCTAGTCAGAGACGAAAGGCTCGTAAACGTTAGCTAACAGCGTGTTCCAACACAGTGTAAGTTTATGATACTGCTGCCACAATATTGCAATGTATTGACTGGTTGGTGTGTATAATGAGAAGCTGCAGGCCGAAAATCTGTCTGTGGGCTGCATTTGCTCCAGGGTCTGGATTTTGGACACCCATACTGTAATACAACACTGGTAAACACTTTTTCCATGGCAAGTATTTACTATTACAATAAAAATTAAAACATTTGAAAGCATGTTAACAGGGGCAATTCATAAGAATTTTAGACGTATCTGAAATGTATAAGTTATTATTATTCTTCTTCTTCAAACTCCTTACAGTCCTCAGAATCTAAATTTAAAGCATGGAAAGATGATTTTCAACTAGATTTAATAATTAAAGAATAAAGAATTGCCTGTAAGAAGGCTAAACTTAATCAGGAAACTTATGCCTCAGACTTCTTCAATGCAATTTGTTAGTGAGAGTTTATATTACAATAGAAAAAATTAACATGTTTATAATTTCATAAATAGCTTAGCGGTCGTAAAATAAAACAAATTAATAAATAAATAAAACTTTTTTTTTAAATTGATCTGCTCTCTTTTAGCAAAAAGCGTGATTGTTTTAGCTTGGAAAAGATTCACTTAGTTAGAGACGTCTTTAAATCCCTAAGTACCTTCAGTGTAGCTTTAAAAAATAAAGACTTGTCACAGATATTATGCTCAGTGAGCGAGTCGCATTTATCCTGCATTCGACTAAAGAAGTTGTAATTTATGACTTCCAACTGGAAGACCAAAGAAAACGTCACATGAACTGGGAATTCCTGCTCTGAAAGTCAGGAGCATGTTCTGAACTCTGAGTTCAGCCTGTAAGAGCCATATCAACATGGCTACTCACACAATCAACAGTCATAAAGTAGCACTTTCCCACTTTTAAATGAGATTTAATAGCATTAGTTTTAGATCAGTCAACATACAGACACAGTAGTTGGTTAAATGTACAATATTGCCCATAAAGTTAGCTGTTTTGAGATGGTAAGTACATCATGGACATTAATGTTATCACTCATATCTAGAGCTGCAACAAATATTTGCTAAAATTTCAGATATTTGATAATTAAACTATTTAAAAAAAGAAAAAGCCATTTGAATAACTGGAACTTTTACCAGTTTTTATAACCCGGGTATTGTTTTTAGCAGTCTCTTGGGACACAACATTTTGTTTATGAAGCTAAATGCTAGTGAGTCACCATGCAGTAGTTGTGTATCTGATCTGAAGAGAACAAAATAATCTACCTGCATGTCATTCAAAAGCAGCGATTTATGGTTAGCCTTCTTTCAAATGAACCTGTCCTGTGAAAAACACAAAGATATCTCAGCTGTAGTCAGAGTTAGGCCTGTCGAGACTCTGTTCTCAACTGTTACATGCTAAAAAATGACAAAACATCTTTACTTCACACATTATTACAGCATCAGACTTTCTGCACCCTTCAGGTTCCCCATCAGTAATTATATTTGTTCTTGGGGCCACATCAATTCATAGAATAAGAAGAGCTGTATCAGGATTGATATAATCCTCAGAGTTAGCCAAAAATTCATCTTTCGTAAGGTTCACTGTACCTAAGAAACATGATAGCAAAGATAAAATAAACGAACTGTTAAAACTAGAATGATAAAATTCAAACATTTTATGTACGTAAAACTATACTATACTATATAATAATAATAATAATAATAATAATAATAATAATAATACAGTTATATCCAAAAAAGAGAAAATACACGATTACAAAAGTTATTGGAAAAAGGAGTGCAAATGATTGGTTGAAACCATTTGCAGTGCTTTCTGGGATATGTAGTTCATACTGATATTAAACATGTTATTGCATAATTTATCTCCTAGCTGATTAATTGAGTGCTTCAAACTCTTAATCCTATGATAAATATGAATGGGATTTTTACTTCTGAAACCAGAGCCACTTGAAAAAGTGAGTGGTCACTGTTTAGCTCTGTTAGAGCTGTGAGGTGTAAATGTCGGGTTTAGTCACCCGGTGCAGTAGTAATGTTTTTCCTCCTTCCCTGGAATGCTGGCTAACCTGCTCTCCACTGTATACATTACCGAGAATAAATTACCATCCATCCAGAGCAGAAACAAACTTGAAACAAACTAAAACTGCACTGGGCAATAAAACAGGCAAGAAGAGTATAAAGTGGTACAGAAGAGTGGTCACCCTTTTGCTCTCTGACAAAAGTGTGTTGTCAGTTTTTAAGACAACGCGGTTAAAAAGACACTGATTCCTCTGCTCTCCTGCACTAATTATCCCTGACGAGTTTCTGCGGTCTCAGCTGGTCAGGGCTGCCAGGTCATCTCCAGGATAGCAGTTGTGCTACTTGCTGTAACAAGAATTGTTTATCAGTGCTGTTTTTCAATCACCTTGTAGTACTTCAAGTTTCATTCAAAAGCAGAAATATAAAGTAAATAAATTAATAGATTCCAGCAATCATACAAAAAGCTAGTTAACAAGACATAGTAGTAACAAGTACAACACAAAGAACAACACAATGACAATAATAATAAATAATGTTAAGAATTTTTTTTTTATTTTCATATTTTTTTTTCCTTTGTCTTAAAGTATATTTGAATGGTCCAGATAATATCCAATAGAATAAAATGAAACGTCACCACTCATATCACCTGCCCTGCGATGGACTGGTGACCTGTCCAGGGTGTATCCTGCCTTCCACCCTATGACTGCTGGGATAGGCTCCAGCTCCCCCCCGCGACCCAGAAGGATAAGCGGGTTAGAAGATGTTGTTTTGAATTACGCTTTGCCAGTAAAACTCATTAGTTTCCTGACTTTTTCGGTTAGAGTCTGAAACATGTCAAACATGCACTGTAGAGTGAGTCACTGATTTATCCAGTAAAGAATTTTCCATCTCTCCAATGCCAGAGTTGTATTTGAGTCTTTGTTCCTTTGACTTCTGAGAGATCTGATTGTATCAGAACAGACTGATTCCTTTAGCAGATGTCAGAATTTGGCTTCTGCAGAAGTGAAGTATGAGATTCTCTTTTTTTTGGCTGTGCTTTTTTTCTTGCGTAAGCCTCGTGAAACCTGACCTTCATTCTCTTAGCAGTGTTTTGGATCAGTGATTCTCGCTCTTGGCAAACTGTACTGGGGTGGTGATAGGCAAGAATATTGCAATACTTGAAGACGTTTTTATAACACGCAGTATGTTTCATGATGTTTATGATATATTTCCTTTTGGAATGAGGCACAATACAGGACGGCCAATCAGAGCAAAGGTCGTTTACATACAGTACTGTGCAAAAGTCAGAGACCACGTTTCATTTATTGAATTTCTAGTCAAAACAGCCTTTCAGTGCACGTTATTTATCAGAGAAAAAACAGAAAATTATGCAGAAGCTCTAACGACTAAATATAATTTTATTTTGTATCTAGTGTGTCCATTTTTCCTTTCTTTTCAGGAAACTTGCTTACAGTTTCTTATAGAAACTGCAGGGATATATTCCCCACCTCCAAAGTTTAGTCCTAGAAGCTGGTTGAATGTTCTGCTCTTAGTGATCCAAGTAGCTCCCTGTTGGAGTCTGTTTGCCATTTCTGTGCTTATCAGGATTAGCTTGCTGAAGACGTTTTCTGTCGTCTCTCTGGTCAGGAATTTCCTCTATCCTGTTTGAGACACGTTTGGGCTGCCTGCAGGAGGAAATTCCCACAGACACTCTCCGTTTTATTGCTGCGGCCAACAACATGCTGACCCTTTCTGAGACCGTGCTGTTTTTTCCTCGATGGACCCGCAAAATCTTTCCCTTCTGGAAGCAGTTCATCCAGGCCTGGGATGACCTCTACGGCGTGGGTATGAATAAATCAGTGAATAAAGCTTTGACTGTACAGTTCTCTCCAAAAATGTAAACAAACACCACCCAGCCACCCCCCTCGCTAATTTTCGTGCACTGTTTTATTTATTTGCTTAGTTTAAGTTTTGCACAGTCCACATTGCATGTTTTTTCCCCACTAGTCAAATTCAGCAAATCAACAGTCATTGTGCATTAAAATGTGAAGAGTTGTGTTCTCTGTCGAGGCTGTTAACTTATTTTTATTTAGAAAATGAAAAAACTTGATATTTGTAGAGAGGCACAGAGCTTTGCATGTTCAAAAGTAAGGAATCATTTGTCATGTTCATATGTTTGATATTAATTTTTATCTACAATAATAATTCTTAAATAGCATAGACATATACATAGAAATATTTTAATATATGTATAACTTTAAGAATATGTGTAAGTAACTTCATTCATTTCATGAATTCGTTTCATCAGTCTAAATCATATGTTGATGTGATTTAAAAAATAGTCTTTGCTTTATTTAATATTACAAGTACTTTGGAAACACGTTATTAAATAATAAATAATATGCTGTAAGTACCTATTTACATTACATTTTACAGTTTATCAATTTTTGTCAAGTTGTCAGAGGCATTGTGAATATTGATTTTATTAGAACTTAGTTCTCAGGTCTATGTAGTTTTCCCCCCACATAATCATACAGCTCTCTTCATCATTCTGAACATATCTAATTTTTCTTTTTTTCTGTTTGCTAGCTTATTGTTTGATGTCTGTGAAGTTTCACAGAACTAGCAGATTAGAATCATTTCATACATTTATCTGCAATCACATTTCTATTATATATTTGAAAACATTGACTCCAAACTTCAGAACAGCAGTGTAGCTCCCAGATGAGGAACAGAACATGCTGTAATCTCTTCATACGTGCGTTTATCTGGTCTTCAGTGCTAGTGGGTTGCAAAACCCTGATCAGTGGCGCAATATAACTGAAATAGTTCCTGGAAATACAATACTGATTTGTTTGTGGACGGGCAGGTATTTCTCAATATTGCATTCTCAGTAGAGTCACAACTCAAACCCTGATTTCTCCAGTGAAATAATAAGGGGAAGTTTTAAGGTATGTTGTTCTGCCGGGAGATAGCCCGGCTTTTGATTGACAGGAAGGTGAAGCAGATGGACGAGCAGGTGCAGCGGGGCGAGAAAGTGGAGGGCATGTACCTCACCTACCTGCTGTCCAGTAACAAGCTCTCCCTGGCTGAGGTGTACATCACCATCACTGAGCTGCTGCTGGGAGGAGTTGACACGGTGAGAGTGTGTGTGGGTGTGTATGGAGGGGTGTGTGAGTGTGTGTAAGGCCAAAATCTTGAGCTGGAGAGATTTCAATTGGGCCGTGACTTCTCATTATATGTGGCCCATAAACCAATACGGTGCAAATGATGGTGGCAGCAGTACCGTAAACTTACATTGTGTCGCACCAGCTGTATTAACAAAGTTAGCAAAGGTTTAAGAGCTTTTTGTCTCTGGCTAGACCTGCAAACTAATGTAAGGACTGACATTTAGTCACAGCTAAAAAGCACAAGGTTAAGAGTGAGAACTGACAATTTTGGTAGATGGAAGTCATTTTTTTTAGTGAGAACCACAACAAAGCCTCATACGTCCCAAGACTGTAATGAATTTCATACCAAAAGACATGAACATTACAATAAATATTAAGGGGACAAGAGGACAGAGACGCTAAATTGCTGGAGTCTGCCCTCAGCAGCAACTTCTTATTAAACTACAAAATATTGAAGTAGCAGTTAAAAGGCTTTTGCTGCTAACCTTAGATTGTGGAGCAGAACAGCATAATCATTGTATTGTAAAACACCCCAAACACATTAAAAACAACATTTGATTTTGGTAATCGTTACCGTTCTATCACACAGACTGCTTGTGTTATTTCTGTTGGTTGATATGTGTGGATATTGATGTGTATGAGCTTTTGACAAGACATTTCTAGCATTGCTTTCCCACATTCTGTCACTGAGGATTTATAGTGGCAGAAACAAAGCAAACATGAGTGCACGTATTCACTTTTCACTGTGAAACAGTCAAGGGCCCAGGTGAGCTGCATTCTTGTTATGCGTCTGAACCTGCGCCTACATTGTCTGCGCAATCTATAGCCTGCAACTGTTACATGCTGGTTGTGATAGCTGCCTGAGGAATGTAGAAAACATAGCCAGTGAGCAGATTCAAGATTACTCATGGAGATGTATCTTCCTTTTATGAACAATTCAGCCGAAAGCAGCATAAATGGAAATGTTACAACTTAACCGGTAGGGTTAACTGTAACATGCATGAGGGGTTCGTTTAAACATTTGCTGTAAAAGTTTGGTAAAATTACGCCAGCACAATTAATTAATGTTTAAATGAGTTTTCAAACCTAAATGCATAAAAATACATGAAGAGGCTGTCAGAATATATTTCATATATTTTATTGAAATCTATTTTAATGACTTTAGCATAATTTTCATGGATCAAGTATACAATGTTATAGTATGTTATATTATACTAGTATACTATGTACAGCCACGTCTTTGTTGATCAACTACTTTTGGGCAAAACTGTCTGAAAATTGTGCACATTTGATTTTTTGCCAATACATTCCAAGTGAGGTGCTTAAAATAGCTCAGTTTAAAGCTTAGTAGTTTTTAAAGAAAGTGAAATAGTGAATTGGTAAAAGTATCTGCAGTAAGTTTCAGTATTGGTGTTGTACTGGAAGAAAAAGCTGTATTGTGCCCTCTCTACTCTCTCTCGACTAAAATGTGGTATTTATCGTACATTCAGAATCTACACTTTTGACTGAATTTCTTTGTTTTATTGAGTTATGAGTAAGAAATGAGTAAGAAGTATTTAATAAAAAACTATAGCCTGCTTATCACTGATGATAAGATTATTAAAAAGAGCTGTATTTAGCAAATCTGTCTTCCTCTGTCTCTTTTTTTTTCTCTCAGACATCTAACACCATGTCCTGGACATTGTATCACCTTGCCCGGAGTCCAGAAATTCAGAAGCGCCTGTATCAGGAGGTCGTGTCTGTGTGTCCAGACAAGCAGCTGCCCACCACAGAGGACCTGACCAGAATGCCATACCTGAAAGCCACCATCAAGGAGACACTCAGGTACATGCTTTATATGCATTATATGAGATGTATGCTTTGGCATTAGTGATCATATGTTATTATTGTGTAGGAGCAGGAGAGAGCAGGGCACATTTTTCAGCCTAATAATGGCTTGATTCAGGCAGCGACACCTCTTTGGACTTCATATTGAGTGTTAACATCAGCAGATTCCAAATGGAAATGTCACATGTGAAATCAATTCTAGACCTATTATTTACTTACTTGTGAGTGAAATAATGACGGAAGAACACACATTTGACCATTAAACCACAGAGCAACTAATTGTCCAATTACTTTTAAGCCCCTAAAATTGGGGTTACAACCAAAGTGGTGGTAAATTCTACACTGTTCACCCGATTTGGATGTACATACTGTCAAATTATATCTGGACGTCTGTGCTTGGAGCTCATATTCATTATTTAATTTCAGCTCCAATATGCTGTTTTACACCACTGCAAATAACAATAACCCTGTTGACATCCAAATATTTATGGAGCAGACTATATAATAAAACTTCTTGGTACAAAGAACAGTCTTCAGGGTGAATCTCGAGAAATTGTCTGTCTGATTGGTGCAAAAAAATCACAAAGCACATTAACTATGGGAATACAAGAAAAGCATGGATTACTTAAATCTGTTGAACTACATAAGACATCTGTTTTAAACCAGGTTAGGTGGAAACGTAGTTCTTGCAGTGAGGGTGGTCTGTTTACTACTTTCAGCCAAATTTATGTTCGAAGTACAGCTCATGCATGCCAGTAAGAACACAGCAAAAAGCCCTTAGGAGACCTTGTAGAAAAACCTATCAAACTGAACACAGTGCTCTCTGTTTCAACTCCTAATCTTAGCCATACAACTTGCGAAAATGAGCCTCAGGTGTTCAGTGTCTTGCCAATGACGCGTCACTCCCAGACTATCTCTATCATTAAATGATGGAAGCAGTCTCTCCATCATCAAGTGTGTCCTTGACATAGAATTATTCAGATAACCTTATGTGTGCTGGGCTTCCACAGGGCATTGTGTGATCCAGTGCAGTTATTCTGCCTGGAGTTAACAGTCCTGAACTTCTCTGTAATTTGTTCTGAAGCACTGAAGCACTGAAGCATGTAGTTAAAATGTTTTATATGTAGTTGAAATGTTCTGCATACCTTCTGCTTTAAGGCATGTGGGATCCATGCAGTATGACCGCTACATTTGAGTTTGAAGTTCAAGTGAAAAAGAAAAGACTCTAGTGCTCTGTATAGCAAAGCCATTAGGTCTTCTGTAGTGCTCTATTTACTTCAGCTTCACTTTGGATTATGTAAAAGAGGCGTTGTAAATTCCCCTCCAGATTTTGTGTTTATGCTGAAATCTGATAACCAGTGATTTGGACTGCAGAGGAAATGAGTTGGAAGGTTTCCTTGGAGTTGGAGGCAATTTGGTTGGAGGCAAGGTGGAAAGGGTAGTTGAAGCGTGGAGAGAGCGGTGGTTTTTAGTCCTATTGTGGTTTGTAGGGGTGGGAAATTGTCACATGTTGCCTATCTGGTAATACTGTGGGTATCATCCATACTTCTGTACTCCTAAACCTCTGAACAGCAATCACAGATTAAACCTTTCTGTGTTGCAGATTGTACCCTGTAGTCCCTGGTAACGGACGCCTCACCCTCGAGAACGAAGTTGTTGTGGATAATTACTGGTTCCCGAAAGGGGTAAAACTAACTATAAACCACATAAATGCTCCATTTACTAATAAAATGACCTCAGAAGTCTTACACATTTATTGAACCCCTTACTTACTTCACCATTCATCCCATTGCCCATCTATTGCTCCTCTAATCAGCCTCTTATTACTGTACAGTTTATGTAGGTAGTTTGCACTGGTTGCTGTTTACAGGCTCTGTATAATTAGTCTAAATCTTTTATGATTCAAAATTTTATAATGACATGATATGATACTACATTTTTATGATGGATGCAGTTGTTAAGTATTATTGCATCAACAGCAACATCGGTCACCTGTTGCTCCTCCTCCTCCTCTCAGACGCAGTTCCACCTTTGCCACTATGCAGCAAGTCACGACGAGAACGAGTTCCCTGACCCTGAGCGCTTTGTCCCGGAGCGCTGGCTGAGGGGGTTGCCGTCCCGCTCTCAACACCACCCCTACAGCTCCATCCCATTTGGGGTGGGAGTGCGGGCCTGTGTGGGTAAGAGGGTGGCCGAACTGGAGATGTACTTTGCTTTGTCCAGGGTGAGTTGGCTGGTGCTGCTGCTTATTTTTTTTATACACAATACTGTTCTGTATATGAGCTTTACTCACCCCATTTTTGAACTTTCATTCAAATTATTTAACTGAAGACCTAAAATTATTTAACTGAAGACACAGTATTAAGGAGGGACGTTTCTGGTGATAGGTGGAGGTGGTGGGAGTAGGAGCTGAAATATGATATTATTGGTTAATATTTCTTTTCCCTGCCTACTGCTTTGTGGTGATGAAATTATGATATGATGAATCATGTTTAATATGCCTAATGTCAGTTTTGATTCAGGCTGGCTGTTGAGGAGCACCTCCCTCACAAATGTTCATGTGCCTGACAGTGAAAATAGTTAAAAAGATTAAATTTTTTCATAACTGTTTATATTCATTATTAGCCGTGCAAACATTTCAGGTACTATAATTAATTTGAGATCTGATATGCTTAATTGTAACATAGTTAAAGCAATAATTATATTAACACAATTTTCCCCCTTACCCCAAATGCAGTCACAACAAGAAATGTTTGGTGTCCAAAGTTTGCTTCTTTAATTTTTCAATTTTGTTACAAGACTTGCTTATATGGTTCCGGACACTACATGAAATACTGTTATTTATAAAATAGACAAAAATATGGACAAAATACTTCTGCTTTAAGCCCTTCAGCATGTTTTGTTCATGTTTATAGATGTTATACCATGTTAGAAATCCCTAAATCAAGTATATTGTAGTTTGCACATGATGCTAATGGTGTCATATAAGCTTCACTCGCTTGTTAGATACATTTGCCCTGCAGCTCCAGTGCACAACTGAAGAAGCAAACTTCCAAACGCCTTGGCTGATCAATTACATGTGAAGTAAATGGGAAAAACTGCATAAATGACTAATCTAGCTTCTGAATGTGGTTGATGCTTCATTCCGTTGTCCTCTCCTTATAGTTCCCTCATTCTTAATTGCCTTTCCTCCTTGCTCCCCAAGCTGATGCAACACTATGAAGTTCATCCTGTGGATGGATCCCCTAACATACAGCCTAAAACCAGAACCCTTCTCATTCCCTCTGAACCCATCAACCTGCGCTTCATCCCCAGGGCCTAAGGAGGCGGCAGAGAGAACGTTCAGATCCGGTGAATCTTCTCAGCTCAGATCAGAAACTTCTATACATTTAGCTTGCGTTTTCACTCCAGTGGTATCTGTGCCTGTCGACACTGTGATTGAACTGAAAGTGGTGAAATGAATTGGAACATTTGAATTGTATAACTTACTTCACAGCTTTCTTTGAGTCAACGTGAGGGCTTCCACAAACTCCTGTTTCCTTAAGTCATTAAATAAGTTATATTAAAATTTTTAATTGACTTAACTTTTTAAAAATATTTTACAGTGTAGTACATCCACTTTTAGTACACCAGCGACATCATGCTCTTACGTGATGTGACCCAGCATTCGTTATTGCTTAAGGGTCCCTTAAGCCTTTAGTGCTGACATGACTATTATCTCACTAAAACAACGGCCTTAGCACTGTAACCTTCACATTTTAAGACTTTGCACTCTCACTCTCTAAGAAACAAGGTCTGTAAATAATAATTAAGCCCCACTTGCCCAACTACATAGTCATGACTACGGACTACCTGACACTTGCTGACACTTGAGCCTAATAATCTGTGTGCAGATTGTGCATCTGTACAGAACCAGTCAATCATTTGAACAGCATGTGAATGTATGTTTTTTCTGGTCTTAGACATTTTGATCTAAAGGTTATGCTCAAAAGCTTGAAATATATTGTACAAATAAAAATAGTAAAGTTGAAGCTTATGTACAGTGCTGTGCAACAGAGACCACCCTTCATTTATTGAATTTCAGTTCGGTAGTCAACATGTTGTTTATTTTTCAGCATCAAGTAAAAAAAAGCAAATATTTTACAGAAAATTACACAGAAGCCTCAACAACAAAATGTCCTTTTTCAGTACTTAGTCCTTTATTACAGCTTCCGTTCTTTTCAGGAGGCTTGGTGTCAGTTTTTCAAAGTGATCTGCAGGGATATTTTTCCCCACCTCTAAAGTTCAGTCTTAGAAGTAGAGCTGTCCCGAATTCCAGCTCTGGAGATTTGGCACTAACTCGAGGTAAGAAGGACATTCATCATAGCCCTAGTAAGGGACCAGTGCGATGGGGCACTGTTTGCCTTGGAAATATATACTGTCTAGCATCGCGTTAGCATGACGTTCGCTGCTGTGAGTCAAGTAAAATCAAGTCAAATTTATTTGTATAGCGCTTTTTATAACTGATGTCACAAAGCAGCTTCACAGAAATCCATTAAAGACAAAGTTTTAACATGAAATGTAAATCCTCCAGGTGAGCAAGCCAGGGGCGACAGTGGCAAGGAAAAACTCCCTCAGAGCTGAGGAAGAAACCTTGGGATAAACCAAGGCTCACAAGGGGGGACCCATCCTCCTCTGGTCAAACTACCTACAAAATTATTTTACTAATATTAGTAGTAGTAGTAGTAGTAATAGTTAGGAGTCCACTTCAGTGTAGGGTGGGCAGCTAGTCCAAGGCAAGTGGCGGTAGCTGGGCAAGTGGCGGTGACTGGGGCGTGGGCAACTGGTCTGAAGCGGGTAGCAGGAGCGCTCGACAGACAATCATCCATCAGTGTCCGGCCGGACAGGTGGGCAGTCGTTTACTCGGAAAAGATAGGGAGATAGAATTAGTTTTGTTCTGTTTGAGTGTATGTAAAACAGAGAATGTGAACATTTCCAGAGTGTGGCTAACGACTCCGGCAGATCTGACTATAACAGCTTAACTAAAAGGAGAGAACCAAAAGGGCACACAGACACAGGAGCACCCTGAAACAATTTGGCATCCCTCCGCTCCACCGTCCACAAACCTGAGTGATTGCGTGCGAGAGGCGGGACAACAGCACCAGCATCTCAGTTTACTATAATTCCCTGTGTCCATGGACCCCTGGATCTGCTGCCTTTATCTAAGGGGGAACATTAACTACCAAAAGCTAAACTAAACAAGCGAGTTTTCAGCCTAGATTTGCGGCCCGAACATTTTCCGGAAGATCATTTCAGAGTTTGGGGGCTTTATAAGAAAAGGCTCTTCCCCCAGCTGAGTGAGCAGATCATCAGATGCCTGAGCTGAGATGGTATTTTTATCCTCATTTTAACAGTGCAATTAAAAATATATAAGCTACAAGAATGTGCTGAAAAAATGAATTGTGGCCTCACTATGTCACGTTCAGTGATTCAGTTTTTTTAAGGAGAAGTAATGTTTATGTTGGGCTGTTTTAGGTTCATTTGTACAAGGACTTTTTATGTTGAAGAGCCTGGATATGGGTGGGGTGGTGGGTTTTGCATAGTAGAGCAAAAGGCTGTGGTTTTAGCTGTTAAAGGTGGAGAGGCTGTGGCATACTGTGTACTATGTACTGTACTATATACTGCCTAATGCATACTGAATACTGCATGCTACTCTATCAGTATATGACAGAAACAGTGTGATGTACTACAGGAAAGGGGCGTGACTAGCCTGCCGAAAAGTCAAAGTCATCTGCCCAGGACTTTCCTTTAATTGTGGAAACTAGAAGGATGTATTTCACTAAAAAAGTAAAGAAAACGTACCTGTATATTTCCTTTTTATCTACAGCAAACGGGTTTTGGGCAGCAGTATGTTAACCTTACTGCAGCTGAGAAGTACCACTCCTTAATGTCTCCAGGGTTCCTTAAACACTGGAGGGCGTTCCTGAGCAAAATGAATGGATTTACCAGTTATATTTTAAGAGCTTTTAAACTCGAGTTATAGGAGTTTAAAACTGTGCCTTATATACGTTCATGATGTCAGTGAGCGTGAACAGCCAATGAGCTGCTCCGCTCGACGACCAGTCAGCACTCAGTAGCAGTAATGCTGGTGTCCTGCTGCCCAAAACCCGTTTGCTGTAGAAAAAAGGAAACATACAGGTAGGTTTTCTTTGCTTTTTTAGTGACATCCATCCTTCTACTTTATACAATTAAAGGAAAGTCCTAGTGTGGTTTCAGTGTTGCAGTGAGTGCAGCAGTATTTGGTCTCATTTCTTTCTTTTTGCTTTTTTTTTGTATATCTCTGGGTGTGTTCTGAAAGATTTTGCTGGAGCAGAAAGTCGTCTGGGAATTTTTCAGATCTGAAGCAAGAGTGGAGCTTGATTTTCTCCTCTTTGTCAAAGATGAAAGCTTTAAGTGCTGTTCATCTGATAGGGACAGTTTTGATGGGTCTTGGCAGGGGGGTTGTTAGGAGTCCCATTTTCTCAGTGTTTTAATCATATTTTGAAAACTCCATCTTTCCTTCTATTATATCATGTCTAATTTCTTCAGAAATATTTCTTTGTTCTTAATGGTCATTTTGACAGGAAATTCAATAAATGTAGGGTGATTTGCACTGTACTTATTTAAAAACTAAAAATACAATTAAAAACACATAGGTGGCTCAACATTAAGCTCTATGAGTGAGTGCCATTAGTAGGTTTTATTTTTTGGTTACTGCGTAATTCTATATGTGTTAATTCATAGTTTGCAGTCTCCATTATAGTTCTAAAATTGTACATAAAAAAGGGAATAAATTATTTCTATGAGTAAATTGTGTTCAAAATAACTGGAACTGTAAATGCACGTGTTCAGGTGTACGTGTGCTCTGGCACATCGTTCAAGTGCAAGGTAGCATTTGAATTTAGCTCAAAAATGTACCATTGTGCTTTAATCTCTTTCTGTGTAGAGAATATATTTTTGATTTTACTCTATTGGATATTACAGGCTACAGAAATGTGTGCTAGATCATTTATTATGTATTATAGGAATATGTTTCTTTAGAAATGCAGCAATTGCAGTACTTTCTATGCTTTGTAACACTTTCCTGTACACTGCATATAAAAGCAATTACACATTGGTATCTGTATGGACATTGTCATTGAATGTAAGCAACTTGAAAAAAAAAAATAAAGATGTCTAATTTTTTAAAAAGAGAATAAGCTTTTATTATTCTAAGAATGCCTTAATGTCATCATAGTATATTTTTGTTTCATTTCTTTGTCCGTCCACATTTTGGCCTATTCCAGGCTTCATTGAGGAGCCTCTTGGAAAATTCATTACTGTTTTGCTGACTGACAGTTCCACTAGGGGGCAGCAGTGGCACAGTGGAAATAGATTTTGCAAAGCGAAGATCCTATAAGGTGAACCCAGAGGGCGCATGGCTATTCAAGTTAACTGGGCAAAAAGTGACACAGTTACTGTCTGCTTAGTTTTGGTTCTCCAGAAGGATCCATCTGCAGAGCCGCAGAGCTTCAGCCCCCACACTTTCAGCTCCCCTGCGCCTCAGTTTAGGCACTGCAGCCGCAAACGGCCCCCTATTCCCTGTGTAGCGCACTACTGCTGCCCCCTAGTGGGACAAACTGTGTTAACACTGAAAAAAAAGGTTAGTGGACTTTTCAAGGGGCTCCTCGATGCGGCCTAAAATAATGACTCCGGCACCCAAACAATGCATTATATGTTTAACAAAGGGCCATTTGAGATTCTACCACATACTGCCTTTTCAAAAACAGACAAATTAATGGGTTAAGCTGTTATATTTTTAAGAGCTTTTGAACGGGAGTTTAAGACGCCGCCTCATGTACATTCATAACAATTGAGCGCGAACAGCCAATGAGCTGCTCCGTATACCAACCAATCAGCACTCAGCAACAGTAGTAATAGCGTCCTGCTGCCTAGTAAATGGGTTTTAGCAGTACTGTTACTGAGTGCTGATTGGTTGGTGTTATTGCTACGGAGTGCTGATTGGTTGGTGTTATGGCTACTGAGTGCTGATTGGTTGGCGGCTGATCAGCTCATTGACTGAGCGCACTCACTGACCTCATATACGTGTATGAGATGCAATTATAAAGTCTTATAATTGGAGTTCAAAAGCGCTCATGCAAAGATTTTTGCCAATCCGATTACAGATTCAGACTGAGGTGTTTATATGCTCACTCTACTCAACAGTCTGATGGAAAATCTTCGTTTACATGCTCGCTAGCTACAAGTAATCCGATGCAAAATGACGCGCATGACACGCATCACGTGAGGTCCAGTCCGCGTGAGATGAGTTTCCAGTTGGCGCGCTTGTGTTTTAATTGCTTAAAAATGAGGTCAGACTCAGGAAAAAGTGCTTCACATGTGCTTATAAAGGAAGCGGCGAGAGGAAGACGTCGTGTTCTGAGACTCATAAGCTGGTCGTCCGTCCCACCGCCGTCTTTTAATGATCAGAGCATAAACTTCGTCTCCTCTGCAGACCAGTTTCTGCTCCGCCATGCTGAGCGGTATAAACTTTCGCCATGACGCGACGCACATGCGCAGAACATACTTATACGTTCCGATTAGAATGTAATCGGATTCAGGCGTTTACATGGCTATTATTCTTCCATTTAACGGATTATTTAGAGGTTTACCCACCTCGTTCAATCGGATAGAAACTGTATTCCGAATGGCCTCAGTCGGACTATTCCGATTGAGGTGTTTACATGGACGTGTTCTATTCCGATTGAGCTATTAGTCGGATTATTAACGGATTATCAGGCTGTATGTAAACGTGGCTAATCGGACTAGACTATTCCGATTGAGGTGTTTACATGGACGTGTTCTATTCCGATTGAGCTATTAGTCGGATTATTAGCGGATTATCAGGCTGTATGTAAACGTGGCTACTGTCATCCTAAAGGGGTAAAATAGATCTTGTCTCCTCTCTAAAAGCTTGAATGCACTCAGGTGTGCATGAAGGCAGAATTAGGGTCAGAGTCCTGATCCACACAGCTTGTACATTCCAGTTGGTGACTGAATTCCATGAATGAATCCCACTGAAAATCTATTTAGGAAAATCAGATGATTTTTACTGTATTTTACCTTCAGTAATACAAAGCATCCCTGTGCGACTCCGTGGAGCTCATTTCACCTGCAGTCCATGTAAACCCGCTCTGTGAACAAGGTCGGAGAGCGGAAAAGAAAATAGGCCATTTCTTTGCTTTCTGCCGTTCCTGATGACACTTCTGAATATTTCATGGTTTTGTGTGTTGAAATCAGGCAAACAGAACAAACACTTGCCGATGCAGGTGGAACATTCGCGCAACGTTCCGCTCCATTTGCCAGCACTTCACACAGCAGGAGGGAAGAGCAGAGACTCCAAACTGGAACAAACGGAGATTCAGCACTTCAGCTCTTCATTACTGACTGATACCGCATTACAGGGGACCTCCGTCCATTTTTCAGAATTTATGCACAGGATGTCCCAAAAAATTTGACATAATTTGAGATGTGAATATCTGAGTGTGGCATGCGCCCGCCCCCTGGGCCCCGAAGATGACGGCCGCGAGAGCCGGCAGGAAGGCGGGGCCCGAACACCCATGGCTCCGCCGCCTGGGCCCCGCCCCCTGTTACGCAGCGAGGCCGCTCCATTACACCCCACCTTCGACCCGGGCGGCTGAGCTGCCAGCTGGGGGCGGTGACAAGGAGGCGGAGCAGCGAGCTCTCGTTCCCTCTCGGCTCAGGTGCTTTTAAAGGAACTGAGAGGGAACGGAGCGAGGGAGAGAGGGACGAGCAGCAGCAAAAGACTGAGGAAGAGCTGAAAAGCTTAGAAGAAGGATTGAGTAAAAAGACTGACTGAAGCCACTGAAAAGTGGCCAGCGTACCTTTGGTTAAGGTTTAGAGTTTGTTTGTTTTGTGTGGTTAAATAAATATGGCTGCTGCAACCCTAAACCCTGCCTCCAGCGTCCTCCTTGAGCCCGGGGTAGCACATGCTGTACTACACTGAGTAACTACATGTCCTGGCATACGAAGTTAAATAGGCTTCATGTTGAACAAAACAAGATTTATTTATCAAAATTCGAACAAGAAATTCAGAGGGATGCAGATTTCATAATCGATGTTTTGTAATATCTTCCGATACTGGTGGTCGTCCAGACCCCTCTGTCCTGCACAAACAGCCTTCCTCTTTGAAGTTTTTGTGCCATGTCCAAATCTGCTTTCCAGTTGGTGCAGTTTTATTGAAGTTTCTCAAAAATGTTGCTGCACACTCTTGTCTGACTGTGTTCGAGCATATTCTAACACACAAAATGCCTTTTCATTTCTAGTGAACTCCATACAACCTGAAAAAACATTCAAATTAAACCTGGTTAGTTTTTACACATTATGTTAAAATTTGAGATCATTTGAGGGAGAATTGGCTCTGTTATTAGACTACGGAATGATGTCAATTTTTTTGGGACACCCTGTATAGTTAAATGGTCATGATGTGACATAGTAGGCCAATGTTCTAGATTTCTAGAGAACCTGCTGAGTCTAAATTTGTTCACAGTGGTGGTGATAGGAACCGGACGTCTGAAGAGTCTAATGCCTCTAAGAGCTCCTGCACGACGTTATTACATGAAATGGTCATGAATACACGGTCTGATTTCTGAGACATTGCTTTATGATAGTGTTGAGAAGGTTTTGGCCTAAAACATTTTTAACTTCCATTCATGGCGGAGGGTTACATGCAGGGCATTGCATGGCAAAGTAGTCCCAAAAGAAAACTTCAGATTTTACCACCATCAACATCACATATAAAACTCAGAAGACATGTAGGTTCACTGGTGGTTTTGGACAGTAAATAAAGTGGCTATATTTGTGTTGTAGACATTGAGACCCCTGGTTTCTATCAGCACCACTGTAAGGAAATCTAAGTCAGTAGGTTTCTCTACAGTGAACCTTTTCACATCAAACCACTCTGAATGACATTTAAACATCTCAACGACTGAATTATGCAAAACTTTGGAACAATCAAGGGAATTTCCATTTAACTACAGTAGATTAAATATATGTGTCCTGGACTAGACGTTTCGGTTTCTGAAGGAACATTATTTTAGCAACATTGTTGTGGAACCTGCAGTGTTTTATAGCACTACAATCACTCCAAATCCTAAGAAAACAAGCTAAACATCCAAGATGAAAAATTGCCAGCTTTATTATGAACCACATTCCAGAGATTAACAAGTGAAATACCTGCTGGATTTTCTTTTTTTTTTTTATGTACACACATAGTTCTGCAGGAGGATGCTGCAACCATGAGTCCACCTGAAACTGCTAGAGCAGATACTGACAATTATAAAGATCTTCCATTGACAACACCAACTTTAATTAACTAATTTCAGTAAACATTTTGGCCTGATATGATCTGGATGACTCTTAACTAAATCTGTTACTAACTCCGAAGATGTCGAAATGTAAAAATAACTGTCAGATTGAGGAGGCAGTGTGGACTACCGTAATTTCTCTGATCCTTTAGGGCAAACAGCTAAGACTTTCCTCTGGTAATGTTTCTATCATGGCAATGTCAAAAATATTATGTACAAATTTAAAATGATACAGAATAATACATTTAAAATTCTTAGTTACATTAAAGGTACAATGATGAGCATTGTGACTATTGTGATATTGCACAACTTGGCGTCTTTGCGATACATCTGTTTCTGGAAAGTGCAGAATGTTTTTTTCTTCTACAGGAAACTGAATCTGTAAATTAAAAAAAAATAAACTAGAACAAAACAAAAAAAAATGCCACATCTGATTTCTGTAAATCATAAAGAAGACAACTTTAAAAAAGCCTTTCAAAAAATAATCTCAACACAAGAAAATATAGTACACAGTGTGCAAATGACTTGGCATAGACGGCTGAGAAAGAGAGAGAGAGAATTCTCTCCGGAGAGAAACGTCCATTCCAGAGCAATGGAGGATGGCGATGAAAAACAGTAGAACACTAACATTCAAAAGCATCCACACTTAATGCACTAACAATTTCACCTTGAGTTCCTCTCTATACAACACAATCTTTATTATTATCATCATCATCATCATCATTATTATTATTAATAGCATATTTAATTATTTTCCTTTTTTGTGTTTTGTTTTTAACCACATCCACAGCAGGAAGTGATGTCACATCCAAGTCTGACTTAGCGTGCATCTCCAGTTCAAAGCTGCAGTGCGATAGGAGGCGGGACCAGGCAGATGTCCATTTTTTGTTCAGCCAATAAGAACTCAAGAGGAGGTGGACTGGCATGTTTCGAATGCCTTCTTGGCAAAGAGTCCACTGTGGTGAAACTGAAAGGTGAATGCTGATTGGTTGAGTAGTGACTGGAGGTTTTTATTCCCCGGGGTGGAGGAGAAGGGGGAGGGGGGGGGGGGGTGGGGCGTGGCTTTACCGGGTTGAGGAAAGCACGTGTCCCGGCACCCAGCCTTCTGCAGCAGGCGATTGGCTGTTGGCGGGTCGGTACACCAGGCACATGTTCTGCTGATTGGACGCCAGGATTTGCACCTTCTCTCCCACCACCACGCATATCTCATCCTCCTTCACCGCGTTGTAATCCTGCGTCACCAGTACTGAAGACAGGCCGTTACACTCTGCCTCGTCCAGCTCCTAAAGTCAAAACACAAACATGGCTTAAACAAAACTGTATTTGCTTGAATGTCCAGCCAGCCAACACGAAAGACAGCTGCTTAATTCACCACTGCAGATGTGCAAACATGTTTTGCTTCTTTTCACTGGAGCTCTGCGGCTAACATAACTAACGTAATGGAAGTTTAACTACCAATTGCCATTGTGTTAACTGCATCTTTAAATCATCACATAAATTGCCTAAAAATAATGTTGTGTTGTGACAAACAATAATAGCAGCTTTGCTAAGGCCTAAATTTTCTCTGTACTTTTGTCCATTTTTATAGGTAAAAGTAGTAGCATCATATCATACAGCGTTAATCACTAACCCTACTCTACGAATGGTGAAGCAGCATAAAATGGTCTGAAATAAACATCAAGTTTAGTCAACTAGTTTTGATGTGACAGTTGGGTTACTGGATTTAACTAGCAGGTACAAAAGATTAACAGTTGGTATTTTTAAAATCAGGACTGGCTATTCATGGTAAAATATATGTATCCAATCACCAGTACTAGTGCAAAAATCATTGGACCTAGGTGATCTAAATATGCATGATTATGTCATTGTGTATGTTTTTGAACTGACTGGTAAAAAAGATTAACTGATGTTGTCTATAAAGGCAAAACAGTCCATTCTCAGCCAAAAACAAATTGTATCCAACCACCCATACTGTTACCAAAATGATTGGACCTATGTGATCTAAACTTTCATGATCTCACACACCCACACACACATACACACACACACACACACATTTTCTAAGCTGCTAATCCTTCTGGGTCATGGGGGGAGTATACAGGTATGGACAGGTATAATAATGCACACTGCATCCTTAAGTCATCACACAACTGTTTTTACTACTACAGTCAGTAGTAAAAACAGTAGTATGAGCTATGTACGCTTGAATTCCTTCGTACTTTTATACTCTAATTTTATAGATAACAGTAAGCCACATAAGCAGGTCTATTAAACCCTTGTGTGGTGTTGGGGTCTGAGATTTTCAGTGTTTACCAAAAGAAAAAATGTGATTTATTATTATTATTATTATTATTATTGTTATTTATTATTATTTTCAAGAACATATAAAGTAACACATTTTCAGTGCCTTCACACTGTTTTACTCCGCAGGGAATAACAGTGTGGAGGTGCTGTGTCCCTTCACTCTGTTCTCCTCCTACATGGCCTGCTGTTAGTGGGCGTGTGTGTCTGTGTATGTGTGTGTGTGTGTGTGTGTGTGTGTGTGTGTGTGTGTGTATGCGCGTGTGTGAGAGGGTGGACAACATGGACAGGCTGCTGACTGGCTACAGCTGCTAAAGGAGAACCCTACACTGGACACTTGTGATATTTTAAACATCTGGTATTTTTATATAAATTGTTCTGGCTGTATTGATTTAAAAACAATAATGCGGTTGGTCCACCAGACCACTGAGTAACAAACTCATCAACACCACACAAGGGTTAAGATTACTTAACGACTTGACATGGTTTCAGGCAAGCATTTAGTGTGTAGGATGGAGTTTGCGTAATGCTAACTGGTGTCATACCAGCTTCCATTGCTTGTTACCTACATTACCCTTGCAGCTTTAGTGCAAAACTAAATAAGCACTTCTCAGACTCCACGCGTGTCCTGGCTGGTGAACTACATTAAGGGAAAAGTGAACATTTTGTCAAACTACCACTTTAAACATAACTGTATTTACTTAAAAACTCAGCAGCCAAGCAACACAAAGTCAGTCCAGCACACTGCTCTAATCACCTCAGTGTTCAAGTGACCTTAACCTAACACAACCAACACACTAAGGCTACCATAAACAATGAGCATCTATGTACATATATAAATATATAGTTCATAGCTGAACTTCTTCGCATGACTAACCAGGACAGGGGCTCACATGAGTCAGTGTGCACCTATCCCTCTTTCCTCGCCTGGGCCAACCTTGACCTGCCTCTCACTCGCTGAATAAATAGCCGGGGTGAAAAAGCTGAGCTTTGAGACATTTAAAAATAAAATGTAGCAAAGCAGCTCCTCGAGTCTGGCTCTTGGTGACAGGCTGATTTATTGAGGCCCCAGAAACCAGGATATGCCAAGGCCAAGATGCATTATCATGAGAGAGAAAGAGAGAGAGAGAGGAGAGAGAGAGAGACTACAGAAAGCAGAGAGATGAGGAGAACAGAGGGAGAGAGGTAAACTAGGCCACTTGCTCCACTAAGAATAACTCTTCATTTTTTTCTCATGAAAGACAGTGTGTGTCTGATCTCTGCAATGAGGCTCACCTGAAAACAGACTAACACTAGACTTAAACTTACGGCAAAGTTAACCTTAAACCTACGATTGGCAGAGCATAAAAGTAATAACACTAAAATAAATACCTAGTTAGTTGGTTTCAATGAGGTAGCTGGGTTACTGAATTGTAGGTAGGCCAGGTGTCGGCAACCCTAAATGTTAAGAAGAGCCATTTTGTCCTTTCAACAAAAAACACTTTGGGAGCCACAATGTTTTATGTCCATTTTACCATCTTCACCGTAAATATTTCTCAGTATGTGCCAATGTAAAGTAGAACAGTTTCTTGTAAAATGTCTCTAAACGTTCGATTTTTTACGAGGCTGAAGTCGTCTTCTCATTCTCCAGTTTCTTTTTCAGCTTCAAGTTTTCTGTTCCACCTTAAACGGTGCCTAAGGTGCCAGAATGCAACTGCAGCTGCATTTAAGGTGGAAACTGGAAAATTTGAACAAGAAGCTGGCGAATAAGAAGCTGACTTCAGCTTTGTGACTTTTTAGTGTTTCTCATTGCAGATTAAACATATTAGGAAACCAGCTGGAGTGATTATAAACACAAATAAATCTGTTCTTCTACAAACCATCGATCATCGATCGTTTGTTCTAAATCTTTCTCTTTGCCTTTCGTTAGCTACTAGCTAGGTGAGACTGTGGTGTGTGTTGCTATGGTGACCAGCAGTCTGCGTGACAACCTTCAGAGTTAAAGGGTGAATTAGCATTTCTACATTAACTCCAGCGTTTAAGACCATTTATGGTTAAAACTGTGTTAGAATGATCAGCAGAGCTTTATTTATCTTTATCTAAAAATCTGATTTTGCTGCGGAGCCGCAACAGGGCAGTACAAGAACCACAGGTTGCTGACCTCTGTGGTAGGCACAAAAGATGAACAGATTCATTGTTTTAAAGCAGGATGGGCTATTCTTAGTAAAAACAAACTGTATCCAATCACCCGTATGAAATACTAGTAGGAAAATTATTGGATGTTGGTGATATAAACTTGCTTATGTATGATTATGTAATTGTGTGGGAGCCTTGTAGCCCTGGGAGGCTTGTTTTAGTTTGGCTTTCTGTCATCAAGTTTTTTGTGTACTAATATCATTGTCCAACAAAACTGCATTCAGTTGGTACAATAAACATGATTCTGTGACGTCTGCTTCTGCTTGTCTTTGTGGAACACATTAGTCTACTGAGCTTTCAAATATACAAACATACTTTGAAATCTGCATTCAAAATGGAATCTACATGACGAGACTGGTCTAGATGAGTGACTGAGCTTCTGTTGGGGACAGATTTGAGATTGCCTGGGCTGGTCTGGACACATGTTGAGCTGAAACAGTCTTTGGCTTCAGGTACATTCTCAAAACAGGTGTTCTTGACAAAATAGGGATAAGAAACTATTTTGTTATTATATCATTTTGGCCAGAGCACAGTTTAGTACTGCATGTCTGTATGACTGTATGACTGCGCTGACCTCTTCCTGCTGCTTGGCGGGTTTGTGGGCGGGGCTTCCGTTGGCAGCAGAAGCGGGTTTGAGGGGGGTGGAGGGGTGTGAGGATGAGGAACGGCTGCTGCTGGACGCCTGGCGGCTGAGAGAGTGAGAGCTTCCAGACTCCTTCTTCTGATACTCTTGTGGGTTCTGCAGAGCTGTAAATGATGAAACAGACATAGAAAACTATATATTTACAAGCATCACACAAAACTAACAAACCGCTTCTCCGTTCATTCTAGGGATTTGTGGGCAGATACCAATGCTGATACATAAACATTTACAAAATGTAGAAACTGGGAATAGATCCACCTGAATTAGCATTTTGGAGAAATATAACATTTATTTCTGTAGGGTTGCAAATACTGTAGGGATGCAACAATGCCTTTTTTTAGAATGAGTAAAAGTACGAGTAGATGTTTTTACATACATGCTGACGCAGATACTGATACCATACTGAGTAACCCACTTATTTCAAAGTAGTTGTTAGTGTAAATGAGAGCAATGTACCTTAGTAGTTAGATCATTTCAGCTGATTTTAAATTAAGTGCATTATGCTGCATTAGTATTTTGGATTGAGTAGTGCTGCAGTGAAGAAGAGTGGGTTTTGGTACATATCAGAAAAGAGCTTCTGTACAGCTGTAAGAAAAGTATGTTTCATAGTTTTGATCCCCTCTCCTCGTCTGTCTCTTTCAACAACCGTCTCTGTAGGCTGATGCATCTGAGGAGCTCACTTTTTGGGTTTTATGTCTTGTTGGAGTCTTTTCGGCTGGTTGAGCTATGGCTCGATGTCCTCTAAAGCCAGGCACACACTGTGCGATTTCAGAAATCTTGTTCTTCGATGCCTCCCACAGAATGTTTGAATAGACCACCATGTACGGAAAAAGCCTACATTTATATGCTCACACTGTTTGAAAATGCTCAGTCCTACTGACCCGCTATGTGAAATGCAACCTCTGCTGAAAGCTCTATCCATAAACAATGATCAATAAAGCTGTTTCATTCAAAACAACATGCAGGTATCAGGTGGTATCGGATGTTGGCATCAGTGCATTTTTTAACAAGCACAAGTAAATGAGCACAGTAGCACGTCGAAACCTGATACCAGTATTGGTATCGATGTATCTCTAAAATGCAGTCCAGATAATAAAATGCACATATTTTAGCACAGCAGCTCAGCGCCATCTAAAGGTTCTACTCCTCTGGAGTACAATAAGTACATCATCAAATATCAGCTTGAAACATTGAGCAAATCTAAACATCTGTCCGCTGCTGAGTTTGCCGCAATCTCCTACCTGTGAGGAAGTTGCTCTGCAAGTCCAGCAGCTCTCGTATGCTGTGGACCCACTCCATCTTGATGTCTATGTTAGCAGCCTGTAGTGTTAGCCTCTCAGACGAACCGCGGCACGCCAATACAAACTTGCATGGGTCACTGTCCACATGCTCTTCCATGCTCAGATAGCTCACCTGCGCAAGCAAAGACATGAACACAGCACTTCAGAGACGAGTCAAAGAATGTTGAAATGAAGGGTGTTTAAAAAAAAGCGCGGTGATGCTTCAGTCTGAACGCAGCAGTTGAACTAGATCAGTTTTGGGACGTTGGAATTGATTTTAACCAATTATAATGCTATTCGATTCAAAGCTTCTTTTTTTACCAAATAAAAAATATCTTGAAGTGTCTTCAGATGGAGAAATTCCTTTAAGAACTTACAACTCTTTGTTGTCAATACACAACTACTGCTCTTTCAGTCACAAGCTGTGTCCCAATTCAGGGGCTGAGTCCTTTGGAAGCTGCGTTTTAAGGCAGATTGCTTCACAGCGGCACGACTAGACTGTCCCATTTCGAAGCCTCCTTCATATGCGGCCGAGAAATTTGTCCTGCTTCTCCATGGCAACGAAGGATCCACTCGTCAAAGTACTGACTTTGAACTGAGGCGAGTAGCTAACGATACAAATGTTAAAAAACAACGCCATCTCATCAGCAGCCCCCGGCGAAGCATCTCCAGCTCTAATAAATAAAAAAATAAAACAAAAATCAAAGTTTCTGGCTTCGTCTTTAAGGAACTTAAAAAGAACCTGGCAGAAGTGGCCTTTGTTGCAATGGTAAGGGCAGGAACAGCGATGCCGGATTCAAACAGGAAATCTGCCGCAGAGCAGACCGTCTATTTCAGTTCAGTTCAGCCTTCGTGGGTCTAAGCTGCCTTCGAAAGACATGCCATCATAGACCATGTCCTTTGAAGGATGCAGCCCCTGAACTGGACACACTCACAGTGTATTTTTGTGTATTAATGTACTGTGTATTCACGTGTATATTATGTATGTAAGGGTGTATTAAGTACATATGCATATTATGTACTTTTAAAAATGATTCAGAATGATTCCACATTAACTTGGAAATAATAAATCGGGGTGCAATTTGAGATTTTATGATGCACTGAATCATTTTCTAAACAATCCCAATTAAACTGAACCAATGTGAGGTCACAGATTTACAGCCCTAAATGAAACCACACAAATAAAATCGATTATACTAGCACAGTTTTGTACAGGGGCAGTCGGTGGGACTCCACAGTCAGAAAAAGAAAGGAGTGGTCAGTAATTAACCCTCTAGATTGGCGCTCTGTACCTTGATGCTCTTCTTGAACTGGTATCCAGGCGTTGAGGATCCTTTGCGAAGAAGCTCACTGAAGATGACGATCTGTTCGAAGAGGAAAACCCTGCGCTCTTTACTGCGGGAGAGAACGCCCGAATCCTGCTCAGTCACGAAGAACGTGTCTTGCTGAAGCAGCTTCCCCTGAGCCGTCAGTTTACCCTGCACACAGGAATCAACACCACTGGGTCAGTTATGTACCATCTGTATGTCATTCTATTCGACAGAGATAAAAAGTTTAAGTGTTTAACTTCTAAACTACGCCATTCTTAACAAAGTACCCGTTTTACTAAACTATCCTGTTTAGTCCTTATAAACAGGCCTGATCACAACTATTGAAGCTGATAATGATCATTTTCTACAGTTATTGGTTTTAATAATCACACTGTATCAGAAGAAGCAGACTGAAATAAATGCTTTTTCTTCAGCTGGATTAGGACAAGTTAATGTGCATATAGTAAACAGCCTATCATTCAAGTCAGTGCAACCTAGTATTAGCTACAAAGTAAATATAGCTAGGAACTAGAGGTAGCCAGGCTTCTACTTTCATAGTTCCATAAACTGAAAAAGGGCAATAAAACTTGATCAAAATTCTTCATATGAAAATTCACCATCAGCGAAAAATTTATTATAGGCCTACTTAGAAGTCACAAGCATCACCAGTGATGATAAAACCATGTTGAAACTTTTTATTAACTGTTTCTTCACATCTAGCTCATTGAAAAAGTGGAGAAATTCTATTGAAAGCGTTAAACTTTCAACCAATAACACATTTGTGCTTGAATGTGAAAAAGGAGATCTTCTATTATTACTTGAATTTGAATTTAACAAAAAACTCATTGTGCTTACAATCTTGTTTTGTGGAAACAGGGTTCGGTAGATGTTTTTACAAACTGAAACCAACACTAAGTCTTTGTTTTGACCCCAAAACAAACAAAAAAGTCAGAAGTGTTGATACAGCATTTAATTTTAATTATAGGGAATTTAAATGTAATTTATTACATTTCTACCCATGTAGTCTAATTAATCATTATGTAATGCAAAAAAAATTCACAGCAAAACAACAATAACTCTTACACTTCTAAGACACAAAACTCTACAGAAGTAGGAGTACTGATCTAGAATCATGCCAAGCATTTGCAAGTTCCAGTGTTCACAGAAGTTGATCCTAGTCCAGAACTCCGAACAGCCCTGATCTGTTCTGAACTGCTCTCTCCAGCGATGTGTGTGTGGGTTGGTGCTGTGAGGACGGTTAGTGCGGTAAGTAAAGCTCAGTGGAAGGTGAAAACTCACCTCATACCCCTGCAGCCTGCCCAGGTTCATCATATCGTTGCAGCGCTTGGGCACCAGGAACATCAGGTCAACTGCTTTCTGTGGGCAGGTGGGGGAGTGGGAGAGAAGCAGAGATGGATACTTATGTAACACTTTTAAAAGTGGTCTAAGAAAGCTGCTAAACTGTACACACACAAATAAAAACAATATGAAGTCTCTTACCTCTATCTCCTGACAGTCCAGGCCTGCCTTAGAACTGTATTTCAAAAAGTCCTAAAAGAAACAAGTCATATATTGTACAGATCAAGGCTGCAATATTATGATGCTACATGGCAAAAATGATATTTTGGCAAGAGAAAACATGTCTACCATATGGTGTCATAAGATTATTTAATGTCATTCAATGGGTGTCATGATGCACATGTTTTTTGGTTTAATGCGAGTTTCAATTTTGAGATTAAGATTTAATGCGATTTTCAAATCTTGTATGTAATGTCTTGATTCTACATAGCTCTGATTATACTAACCAGATTGATTTCACTCATAAAAATACAATTTTTACTTGAAATATTACAAAGTACCATGTCCAAATAAATGAAACATTTATAAACAGTGCAATTGATCCACAAACAATACAAAACTAGATAGGATGCCCACTTTTAATCAGTGACAGTGGGTTTCCACTAAGAGAAACCCTCCGAAGAGACCAAGGGGTGCATATGAGCAATATAGCTTTAAAATTCCGATATATTGTTCGTAACATTTCTTTCTTGATATTTCAATACACACTTACCTATTCCTATACATTTGCACCTATTTTAAGTAGTTTTATCAGGTGAAATGATCTTAATGCGTTGGCAGACTGCTTGTTTCATTAAATACTGCTTGAAGGAAGCAACATTATCTGCCACTGCCCAGATAATTTTACTTGATATGATCACTTCATGTAAGAAAAGTCTAGAAACAAGTTGAGTAATCTTGTAATGTTTTAACAGCAATGGATGTTGGAACAAATTGGAATAAAAAGTCAAAATGTGCACTTAAAACATTAAAATGTAAAAAAAATAATGTATAATATAAAAAAAAGTGGAAAAGTAGATTCAAAATCTTAAACGTTCCTACAAAAAAGTCTGCATTACAGATCTCAAACCTGCTGATACAGAAAGTGAATGAAATATAAATGTAACTACAGATGGAATTATGTACTTACATCTGAAAGTCTAAAGCATACAAATGAGAAATATTAGATGTATCTCCCACCCTAAAAAGTTTTCACTTGCCAAGGTATCATTTCTCGCAGCATGTTACAGCACACTCTGATTTTCTATTCTATTTCTAGCTGTTACCTTGAGTAGTAGCTGATATTTGGTGATGCGCTGAATGGGTTTAATCAGATAGTCGCTGATGGACATCCTGGAGTTGATCTCCTGCTTTATTTCCTGTTTAAGCACATGAGGAAGACAGTGGTCATAAAACCACGTTAAATCACTCAGCAAGGGGGAATAACTGTGTTCCTTTTCTAACTGTGTAGTGCTCACCTCAAAGTATGTGTCGTATTCCGCCACTATGAACTCTGAGCGAGGTTTGTTCTGACAGTAAACCACGTACATGTGCAGTCGCCTCTCCTGCAGTTAAAAAGGACTCGTGATGATCACGTCGGACACAGACACATATAAACCATTTCTTTATACTGAACTCACATGCTTGATGAAAAGCTCGGCCAGTTTGTCATGGTCCTGCAAGCATTTCTCCAGTTCAACCATGAAGAACCTTTAAAAGACCCAAAGAAAACATTTAAATAATGCCATGGAAATATCCAGCCTACATTCAAGCACAACAGGGATACAGTTCCATATGAGCATTACACGAGTATCGTCTTTCCACAGGTGAGACTGTATACAGTGCAGAATCTGTTATCAACCAGGAAACTTCCTAACATTTGCATTTGTGTTTGCCTGATGCAAAACAACACGTCACAGACATACAAAGTATCACGCAATCTAAACTATCATTGTTAAAAAAAGGCTTTCAAAATAGTAAATGTGATTATTTACATTTACCATTTTTAAATGCCCTTTTAAAATGAACGATACTTTGGATTGTGTGACATTTTGTATGTCTTGATAATTTGTAATAAAAAGTGATTATTAGTTATTACGCTAAACCACATGAAAACTGCCTAAGAAGCTAGATCTGAATTCCTTAAAGAAATTTTCACATCTTCCAGATTTATCAGTGTTATTGTTTAACATGATCCAGTCTTTTCAACACAAATCATTTTGAATTTTTCATATATAACTGCACAGAATCATTAGGAAGCATCTAAAATATCTGCTTTCAGTTTGAACATTTTGCTTATGAGATGATTTCTATGAATACCAGGACGTCAGCTGCAGGTAAATACAGTAGAAATTTGCATAGGTCAGTCTTGATAGACTTTCTACATGTAATGAACATTATACACTGGGCATTAGGACAGTACTGTATACAGACTGTCTGTTATGGACCTTGCGTTAGTGTTTTAAAAATGTATATTTAATCTGAGGTTTGTGCTTAAAGTTGTTGATAAGCTTCACATACAAGCAGACTTAACATGTATAGTATTACAGCGCTATTCATTTCTTCAAATAATACACTGATGTCCTATACACAGTATATTAATAACATTTTGATTATCTTAAACAGAACATTTAAGTATTATTGTTGCTTAAAAAGCTTTAAATGTCAAGACAACTTAGTATAACTAGGTCTGGGTCTACACTACACGATTTTAAGCCCGATTTGCCCCTTGCGAAAAATTTTCACCATCATTTTCCGGGTTGGGAGCTCGATCGGAAGCAACTGACAGCACAGATGATCTGGCTTGATATTTATGACTCAAAATGTTCACGAGTTCTGTAGTGTGAGATGGTCAGAGATTAACTCAGTGAGTGGTTTAAACAACAGCCAATCAGAGAGCTAGAGGAGCGGAGAAAAAGACGTGCATGAACAGCAGAACAGAGGAGCTGCGTGTAAAACGCAGGCAAATAAGAGCTGTTATCATGTTTATAATGTGTGGATCCAGACATCAGGTGACTCTCTTTACGATTTGCAAGTCACCTGCCAGTTTGTAGTGAAATATTTCTCCAGCTCTCACTGTAATATCTGCGTTTCTCAACCCCATATTAATCCTCAGTGGGCATATTAAAGTAATAACAGATCCGGTCCAGTAAATTTAGCTTTATTTGTGCGTTGATCTCTGAGAAGATCTGGGAAATTTGTGATGCTCTCCGGTTTAGAAATCTGTGAAGATGTCGTGTAATGAACGTCCAGCCTGAGTCTGAAAGACTTTTTTTCATTGTTGACTGATTAGTATGAAATATTATGACAAATAATATATACCATTCTGGTTTCAGGTAATCAGATTTAGGTGATGATATAAGATTTGATGACCACTTGATGGACATTGTAGTGAGACGACACCAAAACATGACTCACTCTTTGTGCCAGTCGTAGATTTGATGAATGTTCCCAAAAACAATCTTATCTTTTCCCGTCATGTCTTCTGGAACACCTTTCTCCGTAACTCTTCTCATAAAACCCTTTAACAAAACAAAAAACACATAACGTTCAGCCAAATTTGTATGTCTAAATATAAAACAATATTGCAAATGTTCAGGCAATTTTTATTTATATAAGGTAAAACAGGTGAAAGATATTACAACAAGTTATAATGACTCCAATACAAGCATCTCCTCTGGCTTACTACATATTTATAGAAGTCATTTAAGAAATAGTCAATCAGCCTATTAGTCAATCAGCCAAAATTCAAGTTTGCTTCTTTAGTTTTGTATAAAAGTAAATAAAATGAAAAAAAAAATCAAGCTTCAACATGGATGGTACTCATGTCTTAAGCTGTAAGAAGTGCTTTAGTTCATTTTTACGGATAAAATGATCTCTTACAGTGTTAGGAACCACAAAAGCAAGTCTATCTGAGATTAATGATTAACTCAGTAGAGTCTGAGGCAACTGTGTGATGATACAGGCATGACGTTTGCATGATGATAACTGGTTTACTTAAGTCTTGTAGCTCCAGGGCTAAACTAAGGAAGCAAACTCTGAACACCAAATATGTCTGGACGATCGACCACTTTGAGAGGAAATGGAAAATTTGATCTTTTGCTGACCTTTTTCTTTAATAGTGTTTACAGAGTCTCCACCAGCCTCAGTATTTCAAACTCACCTCTACCACTATTCCCAGGTCTTTTACATAGTCCTTCTCCGTCTGCACCATCTCATTCAGCACAAACCTGAAAGGAGATGAGAATCAGAGAGAATTAGACTTCTCTCACTCACTCACACACACACACACACACACACGCATACACACACACACACACACACACACACAAACACACACACATACACACACACACACAAACACACATACATGTAAACCTGCACATTTTAGTGCAGATGCCCACCTTAAACACATGTACACACACATTTCAGGCGGTCTCTTACATTCGTCCTCTCATGGCTTTGTTCTTCTTCTCAGTTTCTGGGTCTCGGGGTGTTTGATCAGATGCTGTCACACTGCCAAACGCTGGGAAAGAGCCAGGCTCAGGAGTCTGGAGGAAAGACAGACGAGAGAAAAAAAGGACGAGAGAGAGAGAGAGAGAGAGAGAGAGAGGGTTAACACAGGGCATGAAATTCAGGAACCAATAGGGACAGTAATGAAGAACAAAAACAACAAAAAAGTTAAAAAGAAAGAGAGAGAACAAGATAGATAATAAAACTAAACTAGACGCTGAAACAACAGATGAGAAAGTAATGTAGGTAGTTAATTTCTCTTTTTTTGACGTAGTGGTCACCATTTAACGCCAGAAACAGACAACTAAGGCTGAGGCCAAACTGGATCCCTATTTACATTTTAGGGCACTGGACATTTTTCTCACACACACACACACACACACACATTTTCTAAGCCGCTTAGCCATCTGGGTTGTGGGGGTGGGGCTGGAGCCTATCCCAGCGTTCAATGGGCGAAAGGCAGTAATTAAATGTGTAGTCTGGTCACGTTTTACTTTTTTTGTCTGCTGCATTTTTCAAAACATTGTTTCCATGTTTTAGGGCCGATGTGTCAAACACACGGCACAATCCTATCCGGCACGCAGAAGTATTTTAATTTTCTATTAATATTGTGCTGCACTACAGTCCTCAGCATGCACTGCAGCGTAATGTGCTCCGACTCTCCTATCCCAACAGCTGTCTATGGGACAGCAGTTACACCTCAATTCTGCACAGCTCCACACCAGTCATATCACCAAAATGCATTTCAGCTGCAGTTCAACCAGCATTAACACTTAAAGTCAGCTCAGCAGCTCAGAAATTGAGCCCAAGCATTAATGAACCTGTAGCAAAGAAAGGATGCCAGGCATAGTTAAAGCAAACAGGTAGGTTTAAAATATTGAGCTCCTGGGGACGTTTAAATTTAGAACATTTCAAGTATTCATGTAATATTTCAAGGTCTACTACAAGTGTCTGTATTTTACCATTGAGGTTTTTGCATATTTTGAATGAACAATGGCCAGTTTGGGTTACAGCACAACATTAATTAAAAATGAAATAAAAACATTTTTTTTCTGGCCCACAGATTTGTTGAGATTTTTTAATATGGCCCCTTCAGTGGTTGAGTCTGACAACCCTGTTTTAGGGCTATTAATAAGAAGCCAACTTCCTCTTAACCAACTTATGTTGACTTAACCTCTAAAATAATACTTAGCGTTTTTTGTTTCTTATTTAAAGATCTTTTTTTAAAGATCTTTTTGAGTTCATTTAAAGTGAAGTTGAATGATTTAGATTTATCATCAGTTTCATTTTTAAATAAATGAAAACTTTCTTCAAAAAATATTATGATTTTATGTGTGTACAACTGTTCAAAGCTGTGTTTGCTGGTCATGTACTGGCCAGCGTTTTTGGGTTCTGCTCAAAATTAGCTAAAATTGACACTACTGAAACAGTCACTACTGAAACATTTGGTAAAGTTTTGAAAATGCTATTTTATTGGCAGTGACAAAGTGGAATGTTCCATCATTTGTTTTAATAAAATAAACATAACTAAGAAGTTGGGTCATTCAATGTAAAAGGATTTTACCCTTAAGTCCAAGTCAGTTAAAAGTCTGAACCAAATAAATAACAAACAATAAGCTGTTATTTGTTACAAATATAAGACACACAATGTTGCGCTATAGCCTTCGGCCTTCAGCCTTATGTCTATGACTGTAACACACCAGTGCCAGTATCTCATGTTAATCACTCGCTCTTGTGTATCACTGTGTAAGTATCTGTCTATCAAGACCTTCACTGCAGTGCTATACCTTCTCCTCCTGAGCCGAGGGATTATTCATGATCTCCATTGGAGGAGGCAGAGGTGTGTGTGGCTCGTCTTCTGCTTCTTCCTCTCCTCCACTGTTTGCTCCTCTTCTTGTTCTCTACAGAGGGAGAGATCGAGGGGGGAGAAAGGGACACACAGACAGAGAGAGAAAGGCAGAGGGAGGGGGAGAACAGTAGTTGTTCAAAGGAACCCTGACTGTGAAGCAGATGAAACTCTGACAGCCAACTGAGAGCTTATCTATCATTTATGAAGTCTAATACAAGAACAGTAGTTCATAAATGATGCAGTCGCGCCAAGCGCCAGTCTAACATTTACATAATGTGGTTTCCGCTTCACTCATTGTATACTGTTTCCTTCTGCAGCTACAGTGGTGCATTCTACAGTAGCTAACATTCAACACGACATATTATAGGTTAACGCTGAATGAATGTCTTCCTTTGTCTTTTTTTTAAAAGTGAGTTCTTTCATAGTAATTCCTATGAAAGAACTCTTAAGGAATTACTCTAACCAGTAATACTGACCGTCTGCCAAACAGGACTATTTAGACCCACTTCATAACACTTCAAAATAACACAGCTGACTGGATCAAAGGCTTGGAGAACAGACCTTCTACTAACTAACTTTTAAAGAGGCTATGATGCTGATTGTGGTTCAATATTCCCCAACTCTGATCTTTACTTTAGTCTTTAAAGGAGTGATTTAGTGAAAAATCATACGTACACAATTTTCCACTAATCCCACATGTAGTCAATCAGACACGTTTGGGGTACAAAATGAGCCTCTTTAGCTCAGCACTAAAGCTGCAAGGCTAGCACTGCTAACAAACACTATAAGTCAATAGTCACCCAAATCTTTTTTTCAATAAATGCAGTCTCAAAGCTTCTCTCAACCAAAATGCTTCAATAAGGTTGCACAGACTTATCTACATGGTTTAGAACACAGCCTAACTTGCAGTGAACTATAAAAAATGAACAAAACCACATTGTGTGGCTGAATGCTGGTGAAAGCTACTGACTTCTAGTCTTTGTTAGCAACACTAGCCTCACAGCCCCAGTGCAAAACTATGGAAGCAAAATCTAGGCACCAAACATCTATTAAAATGAAATCTTTTTGCTTTGGAACTACACGCACTTAACGGTATCAACTATGAATGACTGTAGGATTTATATATCTGTCTTCAGATATTTTTTTTATCTGCCACTGCATCACTGGACTCTGGACGTTCACCTCTTCAGTGCTGTCCTCGTGCTGAGGCCCAAGGTCCACGCTTTTGCGGCCGTCCCGTTTGCGTTGCTTATTGTTGGGTTTCTTGGCGTTGGCGTTATCTCCTTTGCCGTGGCTGAGGCGCCGAACGGGGCTGGTCAGCCACTTCTTCAGTGTGTTCCCAGTGGTTCCCGAGCGTTTGGTTCCAGGAGAGCTGGTGGTCAGAGAGCTCACAGATGCCTGAGGCTGCAACGACGCCACTGACTCCGACTTTACCTCCGAGCCGCCCGCTGGATAGTTCTCTACAGGAGAGCACAGGTGACATACAGATAAAACTACAGATACCAAAAAGCAGAAGAACCTGCATACTCCCATACCAGATACACCGGCCAAAAGTTTGGGTACAGATTGCTGTATTTTGAAATTGGCATTTTCTTGCTGTTACTTTTCAAGATAAAAAAGTAACTGCCAAAAGTTTTGATGACATAAAACAAAATAAAATCATACTTTGGGTATTTTTTGCAAACCTCAGCTTCAATATCATCAAAGTGTCTTCTTTTGTGTGAGCAGTTTTCTTTCCTAAAGATTTACCTGACTTTTCATTTCCTACTGATAAAAAATATACATTGAAACTATTTTGGCTGATGAGTGCTGAGTGCATCACAACAAGGGGAAAAACGTGTGGAGTTGGCATTATTCCCAAAATAGCACTCTCACTAATACTGTCACACATATTCATGTGTAATATTGTTCTCCTCAAAATAAACCTGACTGGACTTCAGTATATTAAAATATTGAAACCTGACAAAGAAAACATACTTATTTACTAAAAACATTTAAAAAGCTGGGTGTCCCAAAGCTCTTGACAGGCAGTATAGCTAGAAAGTACAACTAAGATGCCACAAAGGTATAGACTACATAGTGACAGGTGTTTTGAGCCATAGTTCAAACACAACAGCAAAAAATAGTTATTTCAAGCATTTGAGATGTCTTCTGTAGGAGAACGCACCACCAGCACAGCAAAAATAGAACCAGGCACATTCAGCCTTGGCATATCTAAACAAGACAGGATGTGAGCAGCCATAGAGTCTTTCAAAAGCTTTCAGCCTACAATTCAGCAAGAAAATCAGCAGTACCAAACCCAAGCAGACACTATACCCCTTTCTTGATGTCCAAGGCTTGAGGCAAGTATTGAGAAGAATCTACTGGCTCAAGTGAGACTCAGGAAGCGTTAACCAGCAGCTCAAAGTCCATGCTTGTGATTGGACGATAAGACAGATGCACAGACACAATGGCCAAACCAGACGAACCTGATCTTAGAATGCTGCTTAACGTGACTCTTCTCAGAATGCACTACAACATACCACTGAGACGGCACGTGACTCATTGGGTACCTCTCAGTTCACCGTAAATGGAACTGCGCCAATAAGCATTTTCTATAGGCCAATACTTTTAAAATAAAGAGTAAGCTTATGAAAGCCAAATATGAAAATGGAAGAACATCATCTCATTCAGGAGACTTGCGATGTGTAAAATGTAACTGTACACAGTTTTCAAAAAAATGTATTGGAATTTATGTTGATAGCTGCATCAAGAGAAATCCTTCCTACATCTTGTACTTAGAGAATAAAGATTGTGATGAAAAAATTCTCAACATGGTGAAACTTCTCTTGTAAATGTCTATATTGTGGTGTCAGCATAGAGTAAGACATGGGAGAAGCCATAATTCCCACAAAACACCCACACCCCTGACACAGAATAATACAAATAACACATACAGATACCTTTAAACTGTCAGACAACAACATAAACATTATATATCCTTTTACAGGGAGCATGCACCTCCCATGAGCCCTTACGGCAACACAAGCAGTGGGACACTACAATATTTTTCCACTCAAATGAATTTTATCCTCGTGAAATATTTTGTATTAGCTGGCTTCTTATTTCCTTAAGTACGTGTCGACGTGCGTGAAGATCTCTTGTTAAGTTGTGCGGAGATCTTGAGAATTATCAAGCAAGTCAGTCAGCTTCATTCATTCAGCTCATGCATTCACCCATGCAGAGCAGGCATGGGTGGGTAAGTGGCCTGGGTAGGTATGTGGGTAAGTGGCTTGGGTAGGTATGTGGGTAAGTGGCCTGGGTAGGTATGTGGGTAAGTGGCTTGGGTAGGTATGTGGGTAAGTGGCCTGGGTAGGTATGTGGGTAAGTGGCCTGGGTAGGTATGTGGGTAAGTGGCCTGGGTAGGTATGTGGGTAAGTGGCTTGGGTAGGTATGTGGGTAAGTGGCCTGGGTAGGTATGTGGGTAAGTGGCCTGGGTAGGTATGTGGGTAAGTGGCTGGATGGGTAGGTAGAGTCATCTGAGAACTTCTGCAAGTTCCATGAAGTCCAATGTGTAGACGATGAATAGAAAGTTTGACAGTGTCACACATCCCTCTGATCCTGCTTCCACTATAGACTCAATTTCCCAGAACTCCCCGGGAGATCACGAGAGTGTACAGACGTGACAGCTCCTAGTGCTGCTCACCACAGTCTCCAACGGTCTCCGAAGTCTCACAATCTTGTTGGTCATCCAGGAAAATGTACTACCATCAACCTGTTTTGTCCTGAGCTTGTTTCACAGTAGGAAAGGCAGATTAGTGTGAAAGCACTGATGAAATTCAAGAACGTGATCCGGACTGTGGTTCTGGCTTTGTCCAGGTTTTTGTGTTGACACTGAGTAGATATTCAGGTCAGTTATTTTTTTTTGTAAACTGATTTTTACAGCAGACAATGTCTCAGAGCAGCTTTATAGAAATGTGGGTGGAGATCTTTAATGCTCGCTGAGGGAACATGAGGACGAAACACTGAGAGAAGCCAAAACTCAGATGGGTAAACCATCCTCCTTCGGGCAGACAGTGGAGTTATGACACAAGTAGGGCAAGTTTACAAGTGAGATTTAACAGAGGAGCTGGGGTCGTACAGAGAAAAGATCCAAGAGATGAGCCAGTGACCACAGATCCGGTGGACTACTGGACATATACACAATGAGATATGACGGTGAGAACATGATAAAACATGATAAGCGTAAGGCACAACTAGAAGGTGCACTATAAGTACATCAACACCACCTGTCAAAAGTTTGGGGACACGTAGACTGCTGCTCAAAGGTCAGAGACCACCAGCCATTTATTTAATTAATTCATTAATCCGGTCAAAACAGCCATTAGGTACAAGTTATTTATTTTTCAGGAGATATTTCAGAGGAGACTAGATACAAGATAGCCCACTGAAGTTAAAAAATTATTAAAGGTTTAGAGAACATGGAAATCCTAACAACCATGCGAGACCTGACAGACCACTGAAACTGCCCCCGTCAGATCACAACACTTAAAGCTTTCATCTTTGAGAAAGAGGAGAAAATCAAGCTCCTTCAGATATGAAAACATCCACAGGTGTTTCTGTTCATCCTTCCACTGTGAGAAGACAACTCAGTGCTATGGGTCTGAAAGGATGTGGTGCTGTCAGGAAGCCTCACCGAGAAAAGGAAATGAATACATTTGCAAATCGAAGAAAGAAGCTGCTGCTATTCTCAGACTGACCACCCCAGAGTCCAGACCACAACATCTGATTGTAATTGAGATAACTTGCATCATGAGAAGCAGAAAATGTAACGAACATCTAAGACTGAACTTTGGAGGTGCAGAAAAATAACCCTGCAGATTTCTTTGAAGAACTGAAAGCAAGTCTCCCAAAAAAAGATGTAAAGCTGTAACAAAGATAAAGAGCGGACAAACTAAATACTGATAAAGACATTATATTTATCTGTTGAGACTTTTCTGTTAATGACATGTTTTCTGTTGCTGAAATATGAATAATTTGTATGTAATCGCCATTTTGACTGGAAATGAACTACTACGGTGACTTTTAAATAAATTAGCTTTTTTGTTGGTTGCAATAACCTATAAATTAAACAGAAAGCTAGTTAGATATTGCTATTTTTCTTAGCAAAAATTACAAAATTGACGGAACATCTGATTGAAGACCTTGGGAATAATCATGTCACCAACATATTGTATTGCCTTTATTGTGATGTCAGCACTGAAATGTTTTAGGTGTTTAAACCACCTTTGGGCTAAAAGAGTTTCTATATACGGTTTTATCACTAGTTTGGAAAAGAAAACTGTTACATCACTATTTAGGCAAAACATACTCTTCATACCAAGGCAGACAAAAATATCTCCAAATCATGAATAGTTGTTTTATGTTAATAAACCCTTTCTATGTATTTTTCATACTTGATTGATAACAGTGGAAATGAAAACTGCTTTGTTGTAAAATGTCAAATGAAGGTAACGTTTGACGGGCAGTATATGTACTATAACTAACACACAAATTAAGTGTCAAAGGTCATTTCCTGTCTGGTACCTGTGTAACCCCCAGCGGTTCCTTTCACCCCTCTCAACTACTCACTCTTCACTCTTCCTGTCTCTGCTGCCCCGGGCAAAATCCCTACTGAGCGCGTGCCGAAAAACAAGGCCGTGTTGTCTACAGCAAACAGTTTTATTTCCTCAGGCTTCTGACGCTACAGCACTGCAGTCATCGTGACCATAGCAACAAGTCAATGGGTTTCCAGTCTCATGCCAGGTTTTCGCTACAGTGTCTCTGTATGGGCTGGACAACGCGGACCTTCGCAGCACAGCTCTCGCAACTTGCTGAGTCAACTAAATTCCACCATCCGCTGGGCAAAACAAGACAAGTTCTCAACATGAGGTGGAAGGCAGACCAGAGTAAAAGTGAGAGTGATGGCAACCCGTGATAAGGATTTTTCCATTTAGTGGATAAAGTGATAAGCCCAAAAAATGCTATATCACATACAGCCTCACTCGCAGAAAAAATAAACTGATAAAACAGCCCTTATGAGCTCACCAAACACACACCATTTCAACAGTTACACAACTATTTGCAGTGATGCTAAAGGTTATTACTTTTGGATTGAGAGGAGGCTTCTTTTTTCACTTTTACAGTCATATGCAAAACTTTGAAAATCCACAGTCAAAAAACATGGTTTATTAATTTTCTAAGCGAAAATGAGTTAACACATCCTCTGCAGGGAACACACTTAAACAGGTCATTTTTTTATTTTAGTGCACAATTTCTATTTGTTTGCCGAGTTGAACACATTAAAAAAAGCAAAAAAAAAAAGATCCAATAACTTCTGCACAGGCCACAGTCTACGTCTTATTTTTATCCTAGTATGTTAAATTTAGCAAATAAACAGTAATTCTGCATTAAAATGTGCAGACGTGTATTCACTGTAGAG